CTCTTGCACCTCATCCAGTCTGCTCTTAAGTCCTTCCAGTGATTGTTTTATTTCTGTATTCTCCCTTCTAACTTAATCCTTTAGCTCTTGCATATTTCTCTGCAGGTCCATCAGCATAGTTATGACCTTTATTTTGAATTCTTTTTCAAGAAGATTGGTTAAATCTATCTCCCCAGGCTCCCTCTCATGGGTTGTCTGTGTGATTCTGGTCTGGATCAAATTCTTCTGCCTTTTCATGGTGATAAAGGTAGTCGTGGGCAGTTGGCGTGTATGTCAGCTGGGAGAACAAAGTCCCTTCCCGCTTGCTGGTCACCTTCCTCTCCTGCAAGAACGGCGACCCCTAGCGGCTTGTGCTGGGTAGCTGCATGCCTATGGGGCCTCTGAGTCTCACCCAAGCAGCTGTGGAGGAGGCTCTGGGTGGTTGCTGTGGGCGGGGCCACTCTTAGGCTGCTCCCCTGCTATGGCGTTGCCACGCCAGAGTGGGAGTGAATGGGAGGCTATTTGTCGCTGTGAGGAGCTTCAGAGCTGCACTGCCTCCCAGGGGGCTGGAACACTTGAATTTCTCCAGGATTCCCAGCTGCTCGGCTGAGTTTGCTGAGACACTGCCACCCAGCTGTGAGGCCCCTGTCCCTTTAAGACTTTCAAAAAGTGCTCACTTTTCTTTCGTCCCAGGGGCGCTGTCTGCGGGGACCAGCTCTCAGATTTTACTGTTCAGTTTCCCCAATATCCAGCACACCACTCAGTGTGTGTCTGTGCTTCTGGTGCGGATGACTAGGGCTGGGTATTTAGCAGTCCTGGGCTTCCACTCCCTCCCCGCTCCGACTCCTCTCCTCCTGCCAGTGGGCTGGGGTGGGGGTGGGTACACTTGGGTCCTGCCGGGCCGTGACTTGTATCTTACCCCCTTCATGCGGTGAGATGTAGCCTGGCTGTTGTACTGTATCTTCTGGTCTCTCTTATAGGAATAGTTGTATTTGTTCTATTTTCAAATATGTATATGGTTTTGGGAGGAGATTTCCACTGCCCTATTCACGCTGCCATCTTGGCTCCTCCAAAGCCTTGATATATTTTTTAATTCGGTTTGCTAATATTTTGTTGAGTATTTTTGCATCTATGTTCATCAGGGATATTGGTCTGTAGTTGTTGTCGTTGTTTTTTTTTGTGGTGTCTTTGCCTGTTTTTGGTATTAGAGTGATGCTGGCGTCATAGAATGAGTTTGGAAGTATTCCCTCCTCTTCTACTTTTTGGAAAACTTTAAGGAGGAGGGTATTAGGTCTTCACTAAATGTTTGATAAAATTCAGCAGTAAAGCCATCTGGTCCAGGGATTTTGTTCTTAGGTACTTTTTGATTACCAATTCAATTTCTTTGCTGGTAATTGGTCTGTTCAGATTTTCTGTTTCTTCCTGGGTCAGTCTTGGAAGTTTTTATTTTTTTAGAACATTGTCCATTTCTTCTAGGTTATCCAGTTTGTTAGCATATAATTTTTCATAGCATTCCCTAAAAATTCTTTGAATTTCTGTGGTGTCCATAGTGATTTTTCTTTTCTCATTTCTGATTCTCTTTATGTGTGTAGACTCTCTTTTTTTCTTGGTAAGTCTGGCTAGGGGTTTATCTACTTTGTTAAATTTCTTGAAGAACCAGCTACTTGTTTCATTGATTCTTTCCATTGTTTTATTCTTCTTGCTTTTATTTATTTCTGTTCTAGTCTTTATTATGTCCCTCCTTCTACTGGTTTTAGGCTTCATTTGTTCTTCTTTTTCTAGTTTCACTAATTGTGAGTTTAGACTGATCATATGGAATTGTTCTTCTTTCCTGAGGTAAGCCTGTATTGCAGTATATTTCTCTCTTAGCATGGCCATCACTGCATCCCACAGATTTTGTGGTGTTGAGTTATTGTTGTTATTTGTCTCCATATATTGCTTGATCTTTATTTTTATTTGGTCACTGATGCATTGATTATTTAGAAGCATGTTGTTAAGCATCCATGTGTTTGTGGGCGTTTTTTTTTCTTTGCATAATTTATTTCTTGTTTCTTACCTTTGTGGTCTGAGAAGCTGGTTGGCATAATTTTAATCCTTCTGACTTCACTGAGGCTCTTTTTGTGGCCTAGAGTATTATCTATTCTTGAAAATGTTCCATGTGCACTTAAGACGAATATGTATCCTGATGCTTTTGGGTGGAGTTTTCTGTAGATGTCTGTTATGTCCATCTGTTCTAATGTGTTGTTCAGTGCCTCTGTCTCCTTACTTATTTTCCATCTGCTTCATCTGTCCTTTGGAGTGAGTGGTGTGTTGAAGTCTCCTAAAATGAATGCCTTGCCTTCTATTTCCTCCTTTAATTCTGTTAGTATTTGTGTCACATATGTAGGTGCTTCTATGTTAGGTGCATAGATATTTATAATGGTTATATCTTCTTGTTGGACTGACTCCTTTATCATTATGTAATGTCCTTCTTTTTCTCTTGTTACTTTCTTTATTTTGAAGTCTGTTTTATCTGCTACAAGTACTGCAACTCCTGCTTTTATCTCCCCATTAGTTGCATGAAATACCTTTTTCCATCCCTTCACTTTTAGTCTGTGCATGTCTTTGGATTTGAAGTGAGTCTTTTGTAGGCAGCATATAGATGGGTCTCATTTTTTTATCCATTCTATTACTCTGTGTCTTTTGATTGGTGCATTCAGTCCATTTACAGTTAGGGTGATTATCAATAAATATGTACTTATTGCCATTGCAAGCTTTACATTTGTGGTTACCCAAAGGTTCAAGGGTAACTTCTTACTGTCTAAGAGTCTAACTTAACTCACTTAGTATGCTATTACAAACACAATCTAAAGGGTTTTTTTTCCCCGTCTTTTTCTTCCTCCTCCTTTTTTTATATATTAGGTGTCATATTCTGTACTCTTTGTTTATCCCTTATTACCTCTGGTGACAGCTATTTAACCTTAAAAACACTTCCATCCAGAGCAGTCCTCCAAAATGCACTGTAGAGATACTGTAGAGATGGTTTTTAGGAGGTAAATTCTCTCAGCTTTTGCTTATATGGAAATTGCTTAATCCCTCCTTCAAATTTAAATGATAATCTTACCACATAAAGTATTCTTTGTTCCAGGCATTTCCTTTATTATTTTTAATAGGTATGATACAATGCTATTCTAATTAGAAAAATGTTGTGAAAGGTTTTATTTAGATTATCCTTCCTGCATTAAACAAAATCTGCATTTTTTAAAAACAAAAGTTAGAAATGAGTAAGAAACCTATATATAAAAACTAGAATTACAAAATTTCTGAAAGGACACAGCAGAGTATCTACTCCCACACAGCAGACAACTTCACAACCTTGGAATAGTTGAGGGTTTCTTGGATAGGGCCCAGAATGCTTAGCTGTAAAAGAAAAACAAGGTTGACCTGATCAGAATTAAATACCTCATCAAAAGATACCACTAAGGAAATGAATAGGCAAGAAAATATTTATAATACATATATCTGACAAATAATTTGTATAAATAAGGAACTCTTACAACTCAATAGCAAGATAAACAACCTGCACAAAGAAGTTTGATCAGGCACTTCATAAATGGAAATTTACAAAAGACCAATAGACTAAAGAAAAAGTGCCTAATATTATTAGTCCTCAGGGAAATGTAAATTGCAACCACAGTGATACTCCACTATATGTATCCATTAGAATCCATGAAGCAAGGATTGATCACACCATATGCTGATGAAGGTGTTAGGCAGCTGGAGCTCATACTCTGCTGCTGGGGGTGTGAAGTGGTATCAACACTTGGTCATCAGTCTGGCAGTTTCTTATGAAGTTACACATACACCTACCCTAAAACCCAGTAATTCCTCTCCTGGGCATTTGCCCAAGAAGTCACAAAACGTCTGTCCGTACAGACTTGCACAAGAAAAGCAGCTTTAGCCGTAATGGCCAAAAATTAGAAACAACTCAAGTGTGACTGTTTACCATCAGGGGAATGGATAAACAAAATGTGCTATAATTGTAAAATAGAATTCTACTTAGCAATAAAAGGAATGAACTACTGATATACACAACAACCTGAATGAACTTCAGAAAGGTTATAAGAAGCCCAACCGGAATAGTACATGCTGTGATTAGTATGTACTAATATTAATATATTGTTAGTATGATTCCATTTATATGGAACTTCAAAACAGGCCAAACTAATCTGTGCTGAAAGAAACCAGAACAGTGCTTGCCCCTGAGAGAATGGTACAGAGAGGGAGGGATCACAGAGAATCTGGAGCAACAGAAATGTTCTGCATCTCAGTACAGATGTGCATTACTCTGCTTTATCCATTTATTAACTCATTGATCTGTGTAATGGAGATCTGGGCACTTCATTGTATTTACATTAAACCTCATTTTTTAAAAAAAGCAAAATACGCAAATGTACTGCATTCCTCAGTCCTTCCTGCTGATGTCTTTACAGTTTAGGAATACATTAGCCCAACTTTATTTTAAGAGCTAAAAACACTGGGGTGTCTAACCTAGTGTTAGGTTGGAAGGTGGGGAGCTAAAAGGAAAAGTTACTGGAAAAAATGTATATGAAGCTGATACCTAAAAGAGAAGTTGATTAGTTGTGTACAGAAGCACAAAAGAGCATCTGAGAGGAGAAAACAAGTGAAAGACCCAAAGACAAGACGGTGCAGCTAGCATGTCAGTTAGAAAGATGGGAGGCTGAAGGGGGCAGAGGGGTGATCACACCCTATGTTGGGGTGCTGATACCTGCCTACCTCCTCAGTTGTGCAGGCAGAACTCAATAACAAGTCATTTTTATGTGAAAACCCTTCATGAATTTACATCACAATTCATATAAAATTACACCTATGGTGGTGGTTTGAGTCTAATTAGTACAACAAAGGCTGATGAAATATTTGGGCTGGGAAGAATGTCGAGTTTAAAAGTTTTGCAAGCACAGTATTTCTTCTGATCTGATTTTTGGTGACATAGTTTTTGGCCTATTTTTTCTTGGTTTCAGGGTTCAAAAAGGATTCTTCGCTCCAATGAGATCATCCTTCCAGCTAGTGGACTGGTGGAAACAGAGCTCCAGTTAACCTTCTCCCTGCAGGTGAGAATCTACTCATTTTAGGTAACTCACAGGCCATATCCAGTCTGGTTCCCAAACAGTCCTCTAGTCTGGAGTCTGTTTGGGCCAAGAGCAGCCATCACTCAGTGGACAGAAGTCCCCCAGCCAATTCAGCGCATTGAATTAGCTATAGCAGGCATAAATTGAAGTCACCCAGAGCTTCCATGGCTAGCCTGGAGAGCCAACCAGTCATGCAGCCAGCCACGAGCCAGGCGGGCTGCTGAACAGCACATCGCGTCTCATTCTTTTCTCTTGGAGTGCCTGTCCAACCACCTCAGTAATCCACAGCACACACCCTAAGTGCATCCCCTTGTCTCCTGCCCTGCATCGTAGTCTCTGTCCCTTCCCTTCTCCTCTTTATCCCTCTTAGTATGCTTCTCCCTCATTGCAATCCCAGTAGCCCAAACAAAAACGCAATGGAGAAAATACTCGAACACATGGCAAGGAAAGAGGCAGTTTTCTAAACATGTGTGAACCACAGAGCTGCAGATGGAAGGCAAGGACCAAGCAAAGTCAGACCCTCAGCAGCAACTCAATGACATTTCCTTTACCCCCTAACTCCCCCCTTGCACAGACTGATGAGAGTGGAGCACATAAAGAGGGTGTATCCTCAAGCAGGGCCAGAACCCCTCAAGGACCTATTGCTTATTAACTGTGCTTGACTCTTGTTTTGTGTGTGGCAGTACCCTCATTTCCTGAAGCGAGATGCCAACAAGCTGCAGATCATGTTGCAAAGGAGAAAGCGTTACAAGAACAGGACCATCTTGGGCTATAAGACCCTGGCTGTGGGACTCATCAACATGGCAGAGGTGAGAGGAATGCAGTCTCTAGTCTTAGGTCAGAGAGCCCAAGGCAGATACCAGGCCTAGCCAGTTGAGTCCAGAAATCATTTTCCCAGCCTGCTGGGTAGATTTTTTATTCTATTTTACAAGTTAATTATTTTATTAGAAATCCAGGATAGACCTCTTTTTATCAAGTACTTTCTCTCACAAAAGGTTTTTTTCTTTAACTTTTAAAATAATTTCAAGCTAATAAAAAGTTGTAAGAATAATATAAAGAATTCCCATATACCCCTCACCCAGCTTCTTCAGTGTTAACATATTACCACATTTGTTTTATTACCTCTATGTATATATATTGTGCATTTTATTTTCTGAACCATTGAAAGTAAATTGCAGACATGATGCCCCATTATATGTAATACTGCACTATGTTAAGAATAAAGAGACTCTTCCTATGTAGGCAGCAGGCCACCACAAAGATAGAACCCTAACCCTGATATAAGATGACTGCCTAACCCACAGTCCCCATGCAGACTGTGCCAGTGGCTCAGTAACGACTTGCAGCCCAGGATTTAATCCAGAATCACTTGTTGCATTTAGCTGTCATGTCTCTTTAGCCTCCTTCACTCTGCAACAGTCCCTGAGATTTTCCTTGTGTTTCATGCCCTTGACATTTTTTAAGAGTACCCTAGTTAACTTTAAAAGGGTATTCTCCAGTTCAGGTTTGTCTGATGTTTTCTGAAGATCAGATTCAGCTTGAGCATTTTTGGCAGACTTAACACACAAGTAATGCTGTCTTCTCAGCTCAGCGCTCTCAGCAGCACACCATGTTGATTTGTCCCATTCCCAGAGAGGTTAGCTTATCAGTCATTTACAATGGTGTCTGCCAGGATTTCCAATATAAAGTTGATGAATAATTTGTATTTACCAGTGAAAACTTTTTCAGGGAGACTGTGTAACATCTTTTCTCCTCATAGCTTCACCGACTCAGTTAGCACCTATTAATGGGTCTTGCCTGTCCTGGTTATTACTTTCATGCTTGCCAATTAGTGAATTTCTAATCCCATCATTCCTTCTATATTTATTAGTTGGTCTTTTGTTGTAAGATAGAGCTTCCCCTCTTTCCCCATTTATTGGTTGATTCATTTATTGTATTAGTTATAGATCTGTTTAATTCAGTAGGGTTTAGTCTGCTACTGTTTTATTTTATTTTACAAGTTAATTATTTTATTGGAAATCCAGGTAATACTGTCATATTACCTCAAATTTGGCCAGTGAGAACCCCTTTGAGCTGGTTCCTATATCCTTTCTCATACATCCCACCATTCTTTACACACTACTTTCTGGTACAAGATAAGTACAGGCTTATCTTGCATTTCCCCTGACACAGCCTTGGAATGAACTGATTCTCTGGTTCCTTTTAGTGAAGAATGGTATTTAGAAACCAAGATCTGAGTAGTAGGAGTGCTCGTTTTCCCAACTGCGTTATCATTCCTTCTATTTCCTCTCAGCGGCCAAAGCTAGGAAATATATGTGCATAGATGTATATGCACTCATAGACAGACACGCGTCATATCTGTATCCATCTGATCATGAGCTGTCAGCCCGACAACCTTGGGCTTATTCTGGCCTCTCTCCTTTCCATATTTCTAACTCCCTTTTCCAACGGTAAGAACCCAGGCTCCCATTATCTTCATATGTTTGCTCATTTGTGCAGTTCCCCTATATGCCAGGCAAATCCACTCAGCCCTGGCAAAGGGGAAACAGAAAGGGCTTAAAATCAGTTTTAAAACTTATTTCTGTGCTTTAGTACAGTAAATAGGAAATATTTCATGGCCATAATGAGTATGTGAGATAGTCCCAGCTCATCTCTTTGTCCTCTTCAGGTTTCGTATCAGTGAGAGAGACTGTCAGTGGTGAGGTAATGTGGGCACCACATTTCCCCAGCGGTGTCACGCCCTTCCTTTTTATCTTGTACTGTAGGTCTTTTTCCTCATTGCCAGGCACAGATGACCACCATCTGCAGATTGGCCCTACCCAGCCTAGTGAACAAGTTTCTCTGTGAAGGACTTATACTAAAATATAGTCCTTGAGATTCAAGTCATTTTCAATCCCAGGCCTTGATTTTTATCTTTAAGCACATGTCCTGACAAGTGGCTGGCACTTCTGGAGATAGTTTTCAATTAAGATCTTGAAGACAATAGGAGAGCAGTAGGCATGGATTTGAAAGATAGTAAGAAAGAAAATGTTTTAGCAGAATGTCATCCCCATTGGCTTGCATATCCATTTAGATTTATGAAATCCAAGCTCTGTAGACCGCTCCATTGTAAGGCGTTTTATTGGTGCCCTGTGATCCTAGGTGATGCAGCACCCAAACGAAGGCGCCCTGGTGCTTGGCCTACACAGCAATGTAAAGGATGTCTCCGTGCCTGTGGCAGAAATAAAGATCTACTCCCTGTCTAGCCAGCCCATTGACCATGAAGGAATCAAATCCAAGATGTCTGGTAAGATGTGTGCAGTGTCTAGAGACCCTGCAGATCAAGAAGGAGCCCCTTACTTAATATAACGCAAGGAGGCTGAACAAGAGAGCACCTGAAATGCTCCCAGGAAGGAGAAGCTTAGAGACCCTGGAACAGAGGCCTCTGTGGCTGTGGCCCCCTCTCGACCCTCGCCGTATGTCCACCTGAGGATAGCCATGACTCCAGCCCAGCTCTCTCAGGCTGGATCTTCCCATTAGGAGACCTTACCAAGGTGTCTGTTTCTAGATCGTTCTCCTGATATTGACAATTACTCTGAGGAAGAGGAGGAGAGTTTCTCATCAGAACAGGAAGGCAGTGATGATCCATTGCATGGGCAGGTAACTTGCCACAGCCCCTCACATGAAGTACCTGAGAAGCAATTCCAGACCCTCCTGGGGTTTCTCAAGCGCATTCTGTCCCCCTGCCCACTTAGGACCTGTTCTATGAAGATGAGGATCTACGGAAAGTAAAGAAGACCCGAAGGAAACTAACTTCAACCTCTGCCATCACCAGGGTGAGTCTCAGAGGCCTGGGAATGTGAGCTGAGATTTCAGTCAGGGGTCAGGATGGGAGTGCCACACGCAGACTTCCTCTGGGCTTTTTAAAGTCCGCACATGGCTATCGCCTCGAGGTTATGATTCACCTCTCTGTCTCCCTGCCGCCATCACCACCACCTAAGAATCACTATTGTAGAGAACAGGTTACTGATAAGAGTACGTTATATTCTTCAGGTTATCTCTGGGTAGAAAAAGGTTGAGAAACCCTGTTTTAGTCTTTGGAAAAGATAATGCAGCCTCAGGGAGCAGAACACTGCAGACAGCCCACCTTCCCTCTCCAATTTCTTCACATTACGTACTGCCCACCACACAGATGGATGCAGTTCTCTCTCCGTGTCACCATTCTTAAATTATTTGTTCAACTTACCCAGAAGTAACAGGCTAGTGCTTGGAGCTGTGGGTTTGATAAGGTCTGATTACAGTAGGTATAGTTCCTGCCTTAATGGATCCATAACCTCAGAGACTAAGTGCCTTTGGATTGTGTCTCCTGCATAAGGAGTCACTATTTTTGGTGAAATTAGAGTCCTGGACTAAGATGCTCAATACCTGAATTTCTAGGTTAACTTGGACTGGTTCTGAAGGCCCTGTGCTAAAGTGTAGAAGAGTCAAAAATGCTAGGGGCTCACAGTCTCACTTGTCCCCAGAGGCACCCTGATTCTCTCCAATGCAGAGCTAGCCTAGGGACCCCAAGAGCAGAGATCCCCCTCACCTTCAGGAGTGAAATAAATGTGGGCCAGATCTTCCAAATGTGTTATAGCTGAGCCTGGCTTTCCACCATGAAATGACACTGCCATCTCTCCAGTCATCCTTGGATATCACTGGGCGTCAACATAAATCCTCAGGACTGTGGCCTTGATTTCTCCCACTGAATAATGACTAGAGACTGTTTCCTTCTAGTCAGGCATCTGATCCTTGACTGGCATTGTAAAGTAGCCCAAGTAAGGCTTGTCACTAGAGCCGCAGACACCCTACCCCCATTGTGCTCTGAAAATGAGGAGAGGTAGAGGGTCTCTGTTGTAGTGCCCTCTGCTAAGTTTTTTTTTTTTTCCTTCTCTGTAACCACAAAGAGGCCCTATTCTTTTCCTGTATGGTGCCCCTGGAGCTTTATAAATCACATCTTCCTCTGTCTCCTCCATAGCTTCACCAGGTTACATGACCATTCAGTGTTCCTGTTGATATTCACTCCCCCAAATGTTTTTTGTTGTTTTTTTTCAGCTGAAGGCACTTTCCAGAGACTTAGCATCTTTCTCCCTTTGCACACAGGCAATTCTTCTCCCCCCACCAAGAACACATTATTCTAGACATACTAATTGACTTGCTGTTCTAGGTGTTTTATGCTTCTCTGTGAATGTTTTTTTTGTGCTGTTGTGAGTGTCCTCACCACCTTTGGAGGCCCTGCCCTTTCTTGAAGACCTAGGTCAGTCTTATTTACAAGTTAGTCTCCTCCATCCTCTAGTTGGTGAGTCTATAATTTGGTCAGGAAGGACTTAATGGCCACAAGCCAGTCATTGTACCTGTGATTGGAGACAGAGATAAGGAAGGCCCAGTCCATGCCATCAAGGAGCTCATAGTGTTTAGTGACCAAGACATAGCTAAACACGTGATGACAGCACAGTAGGCTAATGCTAGAAGGCGGAGCTTTGCTTAAGGGACAGTGATGGCATGACTCTGAACAGGCATGCTGGGAGAGCTTCATAACAAGATGCCAAGAGCTGGCTTTCTAAGGCTGACTAGAACTTCACCCAGTGGATTTGGGAGGAATGTTAGCCAAGACAGAGGATACCGTGTGTTAAAGGCCACACTGTCTGGTGTATCACAGCATGCAGTTTTCACAGAACAGACAAGCAATTACTTTCCACTTGAATATGGGTGTGAGGGATTGAAGGGAGGGATGAGGCAGAACCGGCCCTGAGACAGACACAGGGCTGACACTACTACAGCCTTGTTCTCTAGGCTGGAGGCCAACCAACTCCTCTAGTTAGAGGAGCAATGTGATTAGATTTGCATTTGAAATGATCACTGGACTCTGGAGGGAACAAGACTGGAAACAGGCCGGGCGCAGGAAGGTGCGGGTGTGAGCTGAAGACTGAGGGCGAGATAACAGAAAGATGTGAGGAGGAGACCCAAACAGAAGCAGCGGTTACAGATGGAAAAGAGAGGGCAGGAGTTAGCAGACAAGTGGGCTGTGGGGAGGAAGGAGAGGGGAGAGACTCCAGGTTCCCACTCGGGTGATTGGGTGGATTGGTGACCTCAGTGGCCAGGGTAGGGAATGCAAGGGGGTGTTGAGTTGTTTTTGAAATGCTGGGTTTGAGGTGCCTGTGTATATACAGGTGGGAGTCCCAGTCAGCACCTGGATCTGAAGGAGCAGACAGAGGGCCAATCTAGAGATGCACCCTGGGGAGTTAGCAGGGCATGGGTGGTGGAGGGCCCTGGGGTGATGAGACCCTCTCCTTCCATCTATGCCCACAGCACCAGAAGCTGGGATTAGTCATGCAGACTTCTCTGCTGGATAAGAAGGGTGTCCCCATCTTTGTGTCCTCCCACAGTTTACAAAAGTAGACTCTCAGTCACTCTCTGTTGACTTGAATTGATCACCATCCACAAGCAGGTGTCATTTGAGACTACTATACAATTTGTCCCTACAGCAACCTAACATCAAACAGAAGTTCGTGGCCCTCCTGAAGCGGTTTAAAGTTTCCGATGAGGTATGACCCCTTGTTCCTGAGGCTGGTGGTGAGTAGAACTCCCTGAGTTTCACCCTTCTTCCTGGGGTGCACTCTGATTTGCCACTGGGAGTCCAGATTCCAGGACCTCCAAGTGGTAGGGTAGCTGAAGAAGGGCTTTCAGCTACCTGGAAAGAGAAAGAACCCAAGGTTTTATGATGTCTGGAGTCAGGGGTAGCACGGTCATACCAAACCAGCAGTTAATATCAAGCCTCTGGCATGGGGTATCAGCAATAAATTCAGTTGTTTAGTTTTCCCTCCTGCCCCAAGGGGAGCATCCTGAGCACTAGCCTGAGAAGTGGGAGAGTCCTTGGTGGTCGGCCCTTGAGTAACTAACAGTTAGCCATTCTTCCCTCGGCTCTGGCAGGCCTGGTGCATTTTCACAGGCTTCTGTTCTCAGTGGACTGACAAGGGGATGGAGATGAAAGTCGAGACAGTTCTCATTGTCCTTCTATGGGCTGTAGAGGAAGGTAGAACCAGCCTGCACAGGGGGTTCCTGTGCCTAGCAGAGGGGACTGACACTTATGCTTTCCTTCCCGGTACCAGCTCCATAGTGTGGGAGGGCAAGGTGGCCTCACCACTTCACTGCTCTCAGGATTGGATCACAGGAAGGACACCAGGACTACCGTATGAGTGTAAGCTATGGCATGTCCCTTAAGAGGGACTAGCTAGGAACAGGAAGGCCAGTTGGTAGCTGTCCAGGAGGAAGGAGATACACATCTACTATAATGTTAATGGGGGTTACCCCAAACTCAGAGATTTTTTTTTCTCCACAGGTGGGCTTCGGGTTGGAGCATGTATCCCGGGAGCAGATACGGGAGGTAGAAGAGGACCTGGATGAACTGTATGATAGTCTGGAGATGTACAACCCCAGCGACAGTGGCCCTGAAATGGAGGAGACAGAGAGCATCCTCAGCACTCCAAAGCCGAAGCTCAAGTGAGACCCAAACCTCCTCTATCAGGTTGTCTCCCCACATCTCTCCTTCCTGGACCATAGCAATCTCCCACTGTCTCTTACTTCCCCTCCACTACCAGGAAATTTTGGTTCCCCACCCTTGTTTAACCTCCTACTGTCTGGATAAATATCATTGTTTTTGCCTCTAAGTGACAAAAGTCCTGACAGGACTCTCCTGAAGTCCTTCAGTCCAGGTCCTTACTTGTCCGGCCTCTGCTGTGTCCTTCCTCACCAGCCATCCCCGAAGCCCAATCTTTCTTGAACACTAGCTCTACCCAGCTCTTCATGAGCTGCTGTTCTGGGCCTTGGTGGCCACTGACCCTGCCTGTGCTTCTTTGCCACAGGCCCTTCTTTGAAGGGATGTCGCAGTCCAGCTCACAGACGGAGATTGGCAGCCTCAACAGCAAGGGCAGCCTCGGCAAAGACACCACCAGCCCTGTGAGCAAGGCCAGTGGCTGGAGCGGGAGGGGAGGTCCAGGGGAGTGTCGGGGCTTAACACTCTGGGCGCTCTGGTCTTGGCTTGTCTTGTGACATCAGAAGAGTCATCTCACGTTGTTTCAACCTTGATTGTCCTCATCACAGTCCTAGCTGGGAGCGTAGTTCTCGGGGCACTGCTGTGGCCGTTCTGATGTTCCTTTTGGTCAGTTTCCCAGTGTGGCTTGGAGCCTTCCCTCCCAGAACACACAGTGCCTCAAAACCTCCTGTCCCATGGTGGCCAGAAGCATGGCATTGGCCACTGGTGAGTGATTCTGCATCCCAGGCTCGGGAAAGAGCAGATTTAAAGGAGCGGGAAGCCCATAAGGTCTGTCCAGAAATGCTTGCATAGGCTTTATTCAGAAGGGGACAGTACCCTGAAAGGATTTAGAATTTAGTGGGCAGGTTTTCATTTTGCCTGGTGAGCAAGAAGAAAAGGGAGCAGTGTTCTGGAGCACTTCAGGAGCCCAGTGTCACCCCTGGACGTGCTCTGTCCCTGCCTGGGGAGGCTCTCCCAGCAGTGGGTCAGAGGCAGGAGCGTAGGCCGCTGCTCTGCCTGCCTTAAGCCTTGGCAGGCTGTTCTTCCCCTTGTGTGCCACCCAAGGCAAGAGGACATGCTTGATTTCAGTACAGTTCATGGTTTGCTGTTGAGAACCCAACATCTTTTCTTTAGATCAAAGAAACTGAACTGTTAAGTCTTCCTGTTCTTGCTGCTTTAATAGAGGAATGCAAACTCACCATGCAAATAGGTATCAGTTGTGAGGAAATGATAGTAAAGTGTGTGAGGTGCCCCATTCCCTGAAAAGCACTGTGGAAGCGTTGCTGTCTGGTGTCTGCAAGCTGGCAGTGGAAGCTCATGGGCTGCGGTACCGCCTGTTGCCACCAGATGGGGCTGCCTTCCACCTCACCCCTCTGGTTAAAGCACAGCAAGCCTCTGGCCCTAGAACAGTGGCAGCAGGCGACATTAGTGAGGAAATGCGGGCTGGAAAACTGTAGCCCAGATGGAGAACCCCTCCAGAGAGACTGCAGGCCTGCCACTTGCAGACCGTCCACTCTCAGCAGCTTTCCACTCAGGGCTACATTCATCTGGAGCCTGCTCAAGGCCTCACTCACTATTTACACTGAGGATGTGGCTTGTAGCTGCTCTGTGTCACAGGGCTGCTGAATGGCCCTGCTGAATCATCACTGTCCACTTGGACAGATCAGTGGCCACAACAGCCATATTCCATCTTAAATATAAATATAAGGAGTGACTCTTCTAGAGAGAAACCTGGGACCTGGCCAAGGAAGACTGTTTGACAGCATCCTGGGAATGCAGAACAAGGACTCTGTTGTAACAAAATGCAATTGAATTTTTAATTGGAATAATGCCCCCCAAACACTAACATATGATGAAAGTCAATAAATGCTAGGGACCATTGCTATTAAATCAATGAGAAACTATTTTATACTAATGAAGGTATTTCTGAGTTGATAGAATTTGTCTGTAGGTTCTACTTTAGTTTCAGTTATATGGATTTCAAAATTCAGAGAGAAAAACCATCTTAATGTGAGCCTCAGGTGCCTTCTTTCTAAGGTAAAGGTGTTGGCATAGGAGCCCAGTTATGTCAAAAGTCAGTTGAGTATCAGTCTTCACAATATGATGGCCTAAGGGTCCCTGTTTGGGCAAACATTTATTTGGAGCAGGGTAGGCCTGGCTTGATAGCATGTGCTCTGGAGCCAGACTTTTGAGTTTGAATCTCGACTCCTTCACCTCACTAACTGTGTGATCTGGGGCAGTTTCCATGCTTTCATTTCGTCACCTATGAAGTTCCTGTAAAAATCACATGCCTTACAAAGCAGTGTGAAGATACAGTGAAAAACTGCAGATAAAACCTCTAGCATGGTGATGGATAGATGGACGGACAGATAGACGGATGGCACAGGAGCATGCAGTAAGTGTAAGCTTCCATTGCTGTTAGAACCGTTTCTAGACGTTCATCATCCCTTAGAACCGTTTCAGTTCCGGACTCCTGAAATTGATAGAATCTAGATGTCTTGTTAGTGAGCCCTTCAAATTCTGGTTCCTTGGCCAAATATCAAACTCTCTCTGCTGATTCCCTGTGATATTTCTATTTTGAAGAGCCCCATATGTCTTGACGTAGGTGTGGAACTTTGGAATCCTTCAGTATGAAAGGCACTATGGGAACTACAGAGAGAAACTATGCCTTTGCATGGAGAACTTTTAAACATATTTGGAAAAAAATACTGAGATTGTGCATACGGAGGCAGGCGTGCACATGCTGGCCTACATTTAGCCTCTCCCTGATTTCCTACCATCTTTACCTATTAATTTTTCTTATCATCCTTTTTACTCCCCAAATTGCAGAGGATTCAGTTTATCACCAGAACCAGAAAGAATTTCTGCTGACAAAAATTATTGCAGTTGTTGAGTTTTCCCAAGACTTGTGTACCCAGTAGCAACATAATTTGCTTCTCTAAGCTGATAACAATAGGGCCTGACAATGCTTTGGTTAGGGCGGCCAAGAGATGCCGACTTTCAGCCAAAACTGCCTGCTGTTAAGAGGTGCTATTTTCATAGCACTGTACAGAATGATTTTAGATACTAGTACTTCATACAAATGACAGCCTAAAATATTACCCCACTCTGGGCACCCTACCTCACCCCCCACCCCCCACCCCCCCCAAAAACATGTACACACACAGTCTGCAGCTGCCAGCACCACCTCACGAGCACAATGCTTTGGACTGCTAGCATCTGCTGCCAGTCCACACAATTAGAAACAACAGCCATTGCACCACTGGTGTTCCAGGGTCCCAGGGTGAGAGAAGCCCTTAGTATTTATTGGAGCAGAAATAGAAACCTAGAGAATTGGGAATCTGCTCTCAGCGGATTGTCAGGAACATGTACGAGTAAAGAGCCAGCAAGTGCCTTCTGACCCCAATCCAAGTTAAAGGTCTGATCAGATGCTGCAGCTTTGCCATGGAAACAATGCCGTAGCCTTCATAGGGCTTGACAATAGGACACACTACTGTAAAACCCTCCAGCACAATTGTATTATCACCCAGTTCGTCCTCTTTAAAGCATGTTTAATTCATTTGTCATATTGAGATCCAAAATGGAGTGAAATCATCTCAGTCTTAAGTCTGACCTGGACCTCGCCATGATTCTGGACTCTCCTAACGTTGGTTATTCATAAAATCAATATGTAAATGAACTTGCTGTGCAGTCTGGAGACAGCCTGGTGAGTGTGGCTCTGAGCCAAACCCTCTCCAGATCTGGAGTCACAAGGTCTGGCTAAAGTGTGTGGGTTAGGCTTGCAGATGGCTTAGAGCAGTAGTTCCTAACCAGGCAGGATTTCTGCCTCCCAAGGAACAGTTGGCAATGACTGGAGACATCTTTGGTCGTCAACACCGGAGGGGTGTGGATAAACGGGGTGCTGTGGGCATCTAGATGGCAGAGGCAGGAATGCTGCTGAATACCCTGCAGTGCACAAGGAAGGATCTGGCCCAAAATGGCAGCAATGCCGAGGTGGAGAAACAATGGTTTGAGTATGACACAGGGGCTTTCTCTTCTGATCCTTGTTCCTTAGTTTGCCAGGTGACCTCTTGAGCTTATTAGCCTGATATTTCTCTTTTTTTTAATTGCAATAAAGTTGATAGACAATATTATGTTGCTTTCAGATATACAACATAGTGACTCGATAATTGTATACATTCTTAGATGCTTGCCACAATAGGTGTGGTTACCCCATTATCATACCAAGATACTACAATATTATTGGTTAAATTTCTTTATTGTACTTCCCTGATATTTCTCAATACTATTTAATTTACTCAGAGGAAGGAAGGACTTGGGGTAATTGGGAGCAAGTGACATATCCTTGATCTTTACGACTTCCTGATTCTCCACAAGAACCAAACAGATTCACTGAGGCTGGTAAATTCCCTGTATCTAAGAGCCACAACCCTCAGCTGCTTATGACTTTGACATTGGTTCCCACACAGCCAAAAGTAATATTAGCAAATATGAAAATCTGGCTTTATGTATCTGTATTTGCAGAGTAATTTTTTAATATTTACAAGAAATGCTAATAAGAGATGGGGACAAAGGGAGAATTAAGTCACACCTAAATGGCTTAATATTGGGTATCTTTTTGCTTAGTATATTTTGTTTCAAGGGTTTTCTAGACATTTCTACCAGCAAAAAACATTTGGCTACCATGGATGTCTTTAGTGTTAAACTTCAAGACCTGGACCCTAAGATCCTCCTTTCTTAGCAACTTCTGACAAACAGGAGAGCCCATATGTCCCTCCTAGGCAAGGGTGTTGACTGAATCTGGAGTCAGAGACTTTAATTAAGTCACTTTATGGATCCTATAGCAAAGCCATCTAAACTTTGAGCTTCTTTTCCCTTGGTGACATCTTGTGAGAGGCAGCATTTCTGGGTTCCACATCACACTGTGCTATTGATTTAATGATTACAAAAGTAATTGACCCTGATGATGCTTCATTTTCACAAAAATATACTCTTTATAAGATGAAAATCCCAAAGATTTTATGGGGTCTTCAAATAAAGTGAAAGTATTTTAAGCTTCTTAGAGATGTAGAAAAAAAGTTAGAGGGATGAGTTATTTGGATTGGTGATGACTAATTATTATAATTTTTGCAGATGGAATTGGCTGCTCTAGAAAAAGTAAAATCTGCTTGGATTAAAAATCAAGATGACAGCTTGACTGAAACAGACACTCTGGTAAGTATGGCTCAGTTTCCTATTTCAGCTGTTTCAAATAGTTTTTGTACCTTTGGAAATAGAGGTAGGGAGACTCTCAGGACAGCCCTGGAAACTGCCTAAATCTAGGGACTTGTGAATGTCCTGTGTTCTTTTTCTCCTGAAATCCTTACCCTGGAGACCAGGTTATTCCCCAAATTTCAAACCAGAGATGTCCCCATTCTGCCCTTTAATTAGATCTGGTCAAATACTAATTTGGCTAATTTCTTACCATCATCTTCATTTATTTCTGAGAAATTATGACCAGTATCTTTCCCTGAAAAACCACCCCTTCCTCCAGTGTTGCTCATAACAGCTAAGAAGCCCACAGTGTTGAGTCCTTGAGTGATTACTGATCAGCTCCTTCCTCTAAGAGGTGTTAGAGTTGCCCAGGAGTACAGGCCAAGACCTCGTGAAATGGAATGAATGGTGGGAGTGCCTAATTTAATTAAACATTAAATTGGCACCTTGATGGTCTCTGCCATCAAGATGCCACCCTCCAGGAGGAAAGCCAACCTGTGCACTCCTGTTGCAGAGGCTCTTTGGAGACCCAGGGAAGAGCAGAGTGATTCTGACTTGGTAGAGGCCATCAGAGCTGCCTCATGGGGTGTGCTGAATTCATCCAGGGGGACTGGAGCCTGGGCACGGTGGTTGGCAGGAGCACAGAACTTTACCAGTACCATCTAGGGGCGTGCTGTGTAGCAACCTCACCGTGAGACCTAGTGATTGAATGGAGTCCAAGGAAGAATTATTTTAGGCTTATATTTCCTATAGTAAATAATGCTACATTAAAGATCTGGTGTATGACAAAACATTAGGCTTGATGCAAGCAATTTGAAGCTTACCGTAGTTGCTTACACTTTATAGTTCACCAGCAATCTGAATAACCCGGCTTCCACTCGCAACCCACCAGGCTCCCATACTGCACAGTGGAGGCTTCAAAATGAAATTCCAGTCATGTCACTTCTTGATTAAAACTCTCTCCTCCCCACCTAGAGAAGCTAGAGCATCAGTCCAGATTTGTTCATTGACAAACAGCAAATGTAGAAGACAGACTGAGTAACAGGAGACAGTGGCCAGCAAACCGGGTGTGCTAAGTTAAATGAAGGAATAAGTTTCCCCGTCAGGTGAGATAGGAGCCTAGGAGCCACGTGCTTCTGAGAGAAGAGAGCAAATGACTGAACTCCATCCTCATCATCAGGACTCCTGGGGTCACTGCTTTCTTTCCTCCATGGCAGGACATCACTGACCAGGACACGTTTGGGGATGTGAGCACAAGTCTGGTTGTGCCAGAGAAAGTCAGAACTCCCATGAAGTCCAGCAAAACAGATCTTCCAGGCTCTGCTTCTCCCAGGTACTCAGGAAACATGGGGCGGAAGGCAGAGGCCAGGCAGACAGCAGGAGGCTGTGACCATACTTAGCATAGGCTCGTGGCCAAGGGAAGAGTGATCTGACAGTATCTGGGGCTGGGGGGGCTGTTTAATACCTTCTTTCCATATCTGTGGCAGCAAAGTGGATGGGGTGCACACACCCCGGCAGAAGAGGAGCACACCCCTGAGGGAGCGGCAGCCCTCCAAGCCCCTGAGCGAGAGGACCAACAGCTCTGACAGTGAGCGATCCCCTGAGCTGGGCCACAGCGCACAGGTACCATGTCTCTGCTCAAGGCCAGGACCCTCTGAGCATCCTTGGACCTCAGGTTCTGTTTTGTCATTTTCCTTGAGCAGTTAGGTGGTTGGGAAAGGAGGAGGAATACTTTGAAGTGCTGTGCATAAAATCTTGAAGACAGACCTAAACAGATAAGTCTAACATATGGGCTACTTAATAGCAGTGTGGAATTGGTTTCAATGCTGATTTTTAGGGAGTGGGGGAGGGAGCAAGAAATGCTGGCATTGCCCCAGCCTGCCATTGGCCCCAAGTGGCAATTCCACACCTGGTTTGTTCTGCCTTCATCAGATGATAGTCTGGAGATTGTGTGGTGAATCAGTTGCCCTAGAGCACAGCAAACATTAAAATCTCATTGGACGTCATTGATCTGAGCTCTGATGCCTGTAGTACAGCTGTGGACTGGTTGCTGTGATTTCAAGCTAGCAGATCAGTAATACTAAAAGGACCTAAGAGTGGGCTGCTGTAGAAGCACAGAAGGAACTAGACCTTGAGAATTGTGTGCCCTTTCTGAAGGCCAGTGGTATCAGCCTTGGGGAAGGAACTTGTCTAAACTGACACCTGGCACAACTGCTGTTCCAGAGTCAACGCAAGCCCATTCATTTCCCTGATAAATATCACTGACAGAAAAGTTGGTGTCAGCGTGCTTCCTGAGTTTGAGGCTCTTACACAGCTGAAAATGAACCAGAGACTAAAATAGCCTAGTGCCTGGGGCGAGGTGTTGTCCCTCTTGTTAATCACTGTGTCTGAAATACCTTTGTTCCTTGTGGCAGTTGGCTCCCTGCACAGCCCTCACTGACACCCATCAGTCCTCCCCACGCCCTCATTTCATTTCATCACCTGCTCTTCTTCGTGCTTCCTGTTGCCTCTCCTGCCAGCCCCACACCTGTACCCTCCATGGGATGCTTCCTGGGCTCTGGCTTTGCCTGCCCTCCCTCTGGTGGGGCAGCTGCTGTGGCTTTGTTTTGGTGTATGAGCCTGTTCTCTAAAGATTCTGCTTATTCTTTGTCCTCTTTCCATTTTGATCTAGCTGGTGGATACTGGGTCTCCTCCACAAATTCCTAGTGTCTGTTCTCTCTGAATACCCCAGCTCCCGCGATTCAATACCCTCATCTCCCAGCCCCACCCTCAAGCTCCCTGGGGACTGCCTGACACTTTTGTCCCTGCAGATTCCGCGAAAGGTGGTATATGACCAACTGAATCAGATCCTGGTGTCAGATGCTGCCCTCCCAGAAAATGTCATCCTTGTGAACACCGCTGATTGGCAGGGCCAGGTAAAACACTGAAGATCGCAGGGGTCGGAAGTGAGAGACACCCCAGGGTGTGTGATTTGAGGGCAGGGCATGGAAAATAGGAAAATGATCACCAGATCTCAGGCTCCTCCTACCCAGATCTCTGGGCTCTAGTACCAGTTCTGTCATTTTCCAGCTGATAGGGGACCTTAAGTCACTAACTTTTTGTACCTCAGTTTCCTCATCTGTAAAAAAAGCAGCAGTATTACCAGCATACCTTCCTTCCAGCCTGATTGTATGTATCAGATAACATAACAGAATATAGGCACCTTGAGAAATAAAGTGCCATAAAATGTCAGAGGTTGCCCCTAATTCACATGAAGGCAGTTCAGAAGGGACCAAGCAACCCCCTCTGCTCCCACTCACCACTGTCCACTGGTTAGGTCCTGGTGCCAGGATCCCTTTTGCCCAGGGTCTGCACCACCTGGACTGCCACCTGGAACATAGGCTACAGAGTTATGTTAATATCTAAAGATTCCTAAACCTTCCCACATTGCCCAGTTCATTCATCCAAGTGGGGTCTGCCCCACCTTCTCACTGGCAGCCAGAAGCCTGACCTTTGCCCAGCTTTGGTCTAAAGGACAGAGGACAGGACCCTGCAGTTGGTCGGGGCCTTGCCTGCCCTCTTGGCACCTGTGGGTGTGCAGCGTCCCTGCTGCATGGTCTCACCTGTGTCCCTGTCCCCCCACCCCCCCCTACCCCCAGTACGTGGCAGAGCTGCTCCAGGATCAGCGGAAGCCTGTCGTGTGCACCTGTTCCGCTGTGGAGGTCCAAGCCGTGCTGTCTGCCCTGCTCACCCGTATCCAGCGCTAGTAAGGGCTTGGCTTATCTCCTGCCCTTTGGGGCTGCCTCTGACTTGATCCTCCTACCCTGACTTCCAAGCAGTGACATGACTTCCTGGCCTTGTCAGACCAAGAACCTGTGATCCTTGCATGCATCCATGATGCTCTGATGTTCCTGCTGACCCCAGAGGTCAGGATGTGAAATGTCACCTTCTTGCCCTCCCTGCCTCCCTTCCTGAACTCCTGGCATACCTTGACCTGCCTCAACCTTTTCTTAAACCCGTGATGAAGGCGGCCAGGGAAAGAGGACCCAGAGTTTTACAAATATCTTTTCCTCCCTTTCCTCTAATAGTGCCGTGTTGCTTGGCATCCAGAGCCAGGGCTTTCTATCCCAGGACCTCCCAGGGGACCCAGAGTCCCTGCCTGAGGGAAGGAGAACTGCAGGCCTTCTGGGCATCTGAGCTCACACCCACCATGGGCCCCCAGTGGCACTGCCCAGTTCTGTCTCCCATTAGCCTCAGCTAATTCTAGACAATTAGCTGCCCTCTCTGAAACTGGATTTCCCTTCTAAGTGCAAAAGCACTGTAGCTTTTTACCTCTCTATTATTTTGTTTACTGGTTTGTGTTTCCCCTTTGGGTTGAGATCAAGTCAAATCAGAGCTGGGGGCATCCCTGCCAGTAGGATGCTGGTGCACCTCCTGAATGTGTTGTGACCCTCCCCTTCCTCCCCAGCTGCAACTGCAACTCCTCCATGCCACGGCCGGTGAAGGTGGCGGCAGTGGGAGGCCAGAGTTACCTGAGCTCCATCCTCCGATTCTTTGTCAAGTCACTGGCCAGTAAGACCTCTGACTGGCTCAGCTACATGCGCTTCCTCATCGTTCCCCTCGGTAAAAATGTGGCAGATCCCACTCCTGAAGGGACAGTCTGGGAGACCAAAGGCCAGGCTGTCATTCTGTGTCCTAACCAGTTCACTTCTGGTTTCCATCTACAGGTTCTCACCCTGTGGCCAAATACTTGGGCTCAGTCGACAGTAGATACAGCAGTATCTTCCTTGATTCTGGCTGGAGAGATCTGTTCAGTCGCTCGGAGCCCCCAGTGTCAGGTAATGGCCCCTTGGGATTGAGGCAGAGTGCCCCCTGTTCAGGGAGAGCCCGGCTTGGCTGAAGGGGAGCCAGGGGAGCGTGCTTCTTTTCCTCCGCATGGTTCTAACACTCGCAGTCACTGTTCTCAGTAAGTATTCACTAAGAGGAGGCCGTCATGTGCAGCCCCTCCACTCTGGATGGCTTCAGGCTCTGCTATTTGCTGCTCCTATACATCTGAAAATAAGGAGAGCCATGAGGATGTGGTGAGGAGGACATTTCTAGTTATAGAGATCAAATAGCGGCAGAGAACAGTTAGTGGTCTACCGCTAAGGAGCAGCACCACCCCAGCACGGCTCCTCTGGGGCGCAGAGTAAAGGTGGCAGGCATTAGCGCAAGCCTGCAAAGCTGAGAGGCCTGCGGACGTGCTAGGCTGAGATTGGTGGATGTGCAGGAGTTCCTGTAAGTTACGAGACTGGAAAAAGCAAAGCCCAAGGCTGCAGCATGATATGCCTGGAAAAGGAGGGCTTTGAGGACCTGCAAAAGGAGATTGGAAGGGAGAGGACGGCCATGGGTTCGTAACTCCTGGAACTCACGACCAAAGGCCCTTTAGAGCCCTTTCTCTACCTCAACTCCTAGGGTCTTCTGATGGGTCTGAGGAAGGAGACTCTCTCTAACAGGGTTTTCAGATTTACCTGCTGACATAAACCGGCACTTATCTCTTGGCTTTTCTGCAGAGCAACTGGACGTGGTGGGGCGGGTGATGCAGTATGTCAGTGGAGCGGGCGTGACACACCAGCTTCCTGTAGCTGAAGCCATGTTGACCTGCAGGCATAAGTTGTAAGTTTGACTTTGGGGGATATCTTAAAAACAGGTGGGTGGCCCAGATAAATCTTGAATTTTCTCTGCTTTTTCACATTTTCCTTCTCCCTGCTCTATTTCCCTTCTTAGAAACCCAAGAGAATAGGAGAGAGAGAAACAGAGTTTTGACTGCCTCCCATCCAGTCCCTCTCTTCTTTACCCTGGGCTTCCCCACATGGGTCCCCTCATTACAGAGAAACCCATCCAAGGACTGAAGTTCAGAGGTGGGGGCAGAGGTGTAGTGTGCAGAATTGGGTCTTTTGCCTCCCTTTTGTGGCTCCCCATGCCATCCTGAGACGTGATGACAAGATGTCATGTAGTGTCTGGACTCCCTAGAAGCCACAATAAAATGTGAAAAACTTAGGTCCCCAGTTCTCCATGCCATCTCACCCAGTAACTGTAAAACTTCCCTGTCTCTCCCAACAGCCCTGATGAAGACTCGTATCAGAAGTTTATCCCTTTCATTGGCGTGAGTATTGCCTCCCCTCTCCTCTGCACCTCCCGAGGACCTCCTGGCCCCCTGGCCTCCCCCAACGCACACACAAAAATAAAAGACTCATCTAAACAGGGGGTCTCATCTAGAGACAGTTTTGCCCCCAGGGGACATCTGGCAATGTCTGCAGACATTTTTGGTTGTCCCAGCTGGGAGTGGGGGTGTTACTGGCATCTAGTGGGTAGGGACCAGGGATGCTGCTAAACTTCCTGCAGCCCCTATGACAGAGGATGATCAGGCCCCTAATGTCTATATTGCCAAGGTGGGGAAACCCTGGGCTGGGACGCATACTGAGCTGTTCTTTCAGTGTCCTCCTTTCCCGAACCGTGGGCCATCCCAGGTCATCACTGGTATCTTATGTTTGTTACCACAGACCTGAACCTAGGGAGTGTTTTCTGAAGCATAGCTTCTATGGCGCCAGGGAAAAGAAGGCTGCCTCAGAAATAATGATAAGATGGTGTTATAAAGAGAAGTCTGAGAAATAGGTTATTTCTGTCTTCAGGGTCAGATAGAACACTGAGAAGAAGAGGCTGTGCCCCTCACCTCAGTCTCTAGATGAGTTGATTTTGAAAACAAAGGGGAAACACCTTGAATGTCTCCAACATCGGTAGTACTGGCCTTTGTTCATTCGGCAGTAGCTGGGCCACAGGGCCGAGGCCACCAACCGAGAGAGGGATCCCAGAGGGGACAAAGCTGATGCCTTGCTGGGGCCAAAGCCCACTACAGAGGCCTAGCTGAAAGCTCAGATTTTCATATATGAGAGGAACAGATTTCCCTTCCAGACGAGCTTGTATCTTTTCCTATAGTCTCCTTGAGGATCCCTGCTAGCTTCTGTGGGGGAAGGGACATGTACACATGAGGAGCCCAGCTCCAACTGTCCCTATTCTCTACTCACTCCAGATTGTGCGTGTCTTGAGGTATCTTGGGAGATGCCTGAGCCTGGGGAAATTCTCTTGCCCCTCCTCAGGCCTTACAAGCCCCCCATCCGGCCAGTCCAGTCAATCCCTGTTAGCTCTCAGGGCTGCTCCCAAAGCCACTTTGGAGGCTCCAGACCTTGGTCCATAGCCTGAGCTGATGGTCTGACTCACATCTTCATGGAGCTGTGGGATCTTCAAGGAGCTATGGGTCACTGTCCGTTCTGGCTTCACAGCCAAGAAAGAGACACACAAAATTTTTAATTCAAACAAAGGAGCTGGAAGCCTCCTGCAATGCCAGGGGAGCAAAGGGAGTCCTATACAGAAAGCTCAGAGTGTTGATATGTTCTTTTCCGGGAACTAAAATAAGGCTGCATTAAGAATTTGTACAGACTTCAGTGAATGGCAGCACTGTGCTCTGGGCAGCCTCGACGGGACCACCTGCATTTGATCTCCACTCCACATCAGTCCCTAGGATCCAGGTTTGACAACCTCCCAGCTCTGCTGCATCTCTGCCAGGGGCTAGGTCCCAGGCCTGCTGGTTCACAGGACTTTACCTGCCCCTGCCAGCCGCAGCCGTGACATTTAAATAGTCTGTTTCTAGCTGTGCCCTTTGCTGGCCACTGGAGGGCCCCCTCTGTCCCCAGGATTCTCTATGAGGTATCTAAAATTCTTTAGGAAGCTGAAATTAACCCTCCTGCCTTGGGGTGGGTACCCACCACCCACCCCTCATCCGTATTCCTCCTGATTCCAGGAAGTCTGGAAAGGAGGGAGCTGGTGTTGGCACGTCAGTGTGTTGTCTTGGCTTGGTGCCGCAGGCAGGCGTGCAGAGCCACCCTCACTGTGACATCCCGTGTTCCCACGCCTTCTCGCAGCAGCTCCCCCTCCCTCTTCCTCTCTGACATGAAAAGGTGGCCTCCTACAATGTGGTCTTGGGAGAAATGAGATCGGGATACGGAAATGGTTCCTGCCTTCAAGGTGGCTTTGGCCTTATCCCCGGAGAAGGGCTGCACAGTCTCATGTGCCCCCACCTCATTATTTGGACTGGCTTTTTCACATCTCTTAAAGATCAGGGCTGCTCTGGATTTGCAAAGATCTTAAAAGCCTCTGACCAAATAATGTGTAGTAACAGCTATTATTTCCAACCATCTGCTTCCAGCTGGATCAAAACGTGTCCAGCTTAGTGAAAGGATCTAATGCAGTATCTCTTTTCTCCCAGGTGGTGAAGGTGGGTCTGGTTGAAGACTCCCCTTCAATGACAGGTGAGCCTGGGGCCCCTTGGCTTCTGTAGTGAGGGTGGTGCCCTCCTGGCCTCCTTTCTGGCCCAGCAGACCAGAGGGTGATGCCTTTGGGTATCCTCAGCTTAAGTCAGAGTTTGAGCAGGAAGATGGTGGGCCCTCCCACTCCCCAGGTAAAGCCGTGGCAGGGGTGGTGAGGAGGCATCTAAGGCCCAGAGAAGAGCAGGTCGCAGCTGAGACAGGGACACCTTGACTCCTTGCCCCCTGCACGTCAGGGTGGCTTCCTCTAGCTGTGTTTGTCCCCAGCAGGTGATGGGGACGACTCACCTGTGGTCAGCCTTACTGTGCCCTCCACATCACCACCCTCCAGCTCGGGCTTGAGCCGAGATGCCACAGCCACGCCACCCTCGTCCCCGTCCATGAGCAGTGCCCTCGCCATTATGGGGTAAGGCCCTTGCCTGTACCTGTCCCTCCATCAGGGCCTGGGGGCCTTGACTTTCCCGCTGTCTGCAGCAGCATAGAACAGGACAGCACACGGGGTGGTGGAGGGGGGCTTAGAAAGTACTATGGCGGTGAGGACACGGAGTTAGAATTCTGAGACGTAGGTCACTAAGTAGGCATGTCATGGAACAGCTCTGTGGAGGGTTCTTTCTGCCCTATCTCACACGTTATATGGCTGAACGAGAGAGGGCAGAGAGGCCCTTTGTGGCTATTAAGTGCTGTGTGTGTCTTGTGACACTGCCCAGCATGGTGAAAAAGTGTGGGTAAGGGAGTCTAACCCAGGCTCAGTTTGAGTTGTTCTGTGTATGTCTACTGTATTAGCTAGGGTTAAAGAACAAATTATTCAGGGACATGGGTTAAAGCACAGTAAAAGGGGGCTTTATTCAAAGTGGGGCTATCATGGGGATTTATAGCCAAGGAGAAGGTAGGGGCCAGGATGGAAATTACTAAGAGGAGACATCAGGGGGCAGGGGTGTCTGGCTAAACTGACCCAACAGGATCCTTGATGAATGGGCTGGGGATCAGAAATCTCCTGGGGGGCTGGGGGTGAAGAATCTGGGAATCAAGGGTGATCAGATATGGGGTAGGGGTGGGGGTTCTTGTTAAAATGAGATTTTACATGGAAGTGCACAGGTAGGAGCAGAGGTTCAGGAGCCTGATGAAGTTTGGTCCTGCAAAGAACCTTTGTCACTCAGACAGCTTACTAAGCTTCATTTCTGATTCTGACAGTTGGGGTGAAATAGCCATATCTCAGTCTTGTTGTGAGGCTTACATAGAATGTGTCAGGGCCCAGTGTGAGGGAGGTGTGGCCTTCTCTCCCGCATTCGTCTGTCTGTCCGTCAGCGTGGTGGCCGCATGAGGCCCTGGAGCTGGAGCTGCAAATGGAATGGCAGTCCCTGGTCCTGGTGCCCAGGCTCCTGGTCCCCAGCGGTGCCAAAGCAGCGAATTCAAGCTGTGTGGGTTGCAGTAAGTGCTGTGAAAAGTTAGTGGGGGATATCTTTAGGATCTGAGGTACCTAGAGTAGATCCGGTGGCCAGGGAGGCCTCTGGGTTAAGCAGCTGACAGGGAGGGGCAGGGGGTCTCCCGCAGGGGAGCCCAGGGAACAGGCTCTCAGGGGAGGAACGAGTGGGGCCTGGCTCGTAACATCAGGGCACCCTGCTCCTCCTTCTGCCCTGCATTGCTTCCTCTGCCGTGCCGCCTCCTGTCCCTCTGATGAGGGCCTTTGTAGCAGCCGAAAGGGTAGGACTGGCCAGTGGCTTTTCCAGAGCCACCAAGGATCCTCATGATCCCCCAAAAGAGTGTGTTCTCAGAGGCCAGCTCTCCCTTGCCCTCTCTTTCCCTGGTCATCACACTTCAAGATCTTACACTGACTGGAGAAAGAAGTCGCAGGAGAGGAGGAGTCCCACACAGCCAGGTTATGCCCCGGTGACCCACAGTTCAGGCTTCCTGGGGGCTCTGGGCCCCAGCCTGCCTCAGCCTCCTTTCCTGCCCCACTGAAGCTGGTTTCTAGTGGAAGGCTGCAACCAGACAGAAAGAAATAGCAGATGACTTTTGTAGCCTATGTACCTATTGTGTCTGGCAGCTCCTTTCAAGAAAGCATCAGCTCTTTCTCTCCTTGGAGCTAAAATTATCCCTGAGCCAGAGGTGCCATAAACAAGAGAAAGGCAGGTCGGCATCCGTCAGCAAGCCCCGCGCCGCCCACCACGCTGCCTGCCATCTCTGCCCCATTGAATCTCTCCAGCCCTGGCTGGTTTTTGCCCAAGCTCGATTTGCTGGGTGTGTGCACAGGTGTGCACGGGTGTGTATGCGTGTGCATGTGTGCACGCGCGTTCTTCCTTTGTAAAGCTTCCTTCTTTTCTGCCTCCTTTATGCCCCACCACCATGAGTTTTTATTTGGTTTTTGTCAAAGTGACTCGGGACTTGAATATCTCCTGGCTTTGTCCTCACATCAACCTGACTCCTCACTGCCACACAGACCAACTCTGTGAAACCGGAGCCACAGAGCCAGCCACCTCCTCCTCTCCCTCCCAGAGCCTGGCAGGCCCCTCTCAGCCCTCTCTGTCCGTGTGGTGGGCAGCTGGGGCAGAGCCTGCTCTGTTCCTGTCCCCTCCAGGAGCCCCAACAGCCCCTATGGGGATGTGATTGGCCTCCAGGTGGACTACTGGCTGGGCCACCCTGCAGAGCGGAGGAGAGAAGGTGACAAGAGGGATGCCAGCTCCAAGAACACCCTCAAGAGTGTCTTCCGCTCAGTACAGGTTTCCCGCCTGCCCCATGGTGGGGAGGGCCAGCTTTCTGGCACCATGGCTATGACTGTGGTCACCAAAGAGAAGAACAAGAAAGGTAAGTGATATCCGAGGCCAGAGACAGTGAGGGCCACCAAGCCACTCCACCTCTTCTCTGAGTCTGGGAGAGACTGGGAGACCTAGGAAAGGGCACAGCAGCGCATGCACCGCACAGTCCAGCCTGGGGCCCTGCAGGGGTCCTGCCTCACCTTGTGAGACAAGGCTATTCCTGCTGTCATGAAGGAAATCGAGGTCCCCAGTGAGTCTCACTGGTCCCTACCTGCTGAACTTCAGCACCTTAGGGCTGAGGCCGCTGGTGCTGCCATAAGGAAGGGAGCCTTCCTGGCCACCACCCTCAGGGATGGACCGTGTGACAAAAGAGGACATCTCCCTGGTCACTGGCCCCATGGAGCACAGCATACACACTCAAGCCTTCATGAGCAAAAGGTCATGGTTCTTTATAAGAATTAAGGGAAATACATACCATTCCAGATAAGAGGGGTGGCCAAAGGCACCAGAGGTAGAGTTGAGGGTGGCCCTGGGCCCTGTGCTCTGGGGAGTGAGGCAGGAGTTCCCCCCAAGCCTGGCCAGGGCTGGGGCAGTGCTTGCTGCTGTCAGCTCCCATTGTAAATCCACAGATCTGGCCAGGGTGACTTGAGGGCCCTTGCTCACCCACTCACCCAGCTGTCAGGAAGGGGGCTTTAACTGTGGGACCCACCCCTCCTCCTCTGGGTGCTCCCAAGGCAGCTGGGGCTCTCTGTTCATGCCTCCGCTCCATAGATCTACCTTGGAGGGACAGGCAGGGGGCTCTGCAAGGCCAGCAGCTGAAAACAGACCTGTACCCCAGAGACTCGCCTGGGGTGGCCAGTCAGCTCAGCAGGGTCTCCATTCCTGCCTCTTCCCAGGTGGGGAGTAGGCCAGGGAGTGTGCCGCTGGCACCAGGCAGAGGGACAGAGCTGTACATACACTGCTGAGCCTTTCTGCGGCCACAGCGTGAGTGTGCGCGGTAGTGCACCTGAGCACCCAAGCTAGGAGGGACCTCAGAGACCATCTGGCCCGAGGCCCTCATTATACAGACGAAGATCTCAACACCCAGGGAGACCAAGGGACAGGTGGGATATTGGTCAAAGCCAGGAGACCAGTGCAGGAGTAGGGCAGGAGCTGGCCTGAGGAGTGCAGGGAAGGAAGGGATGGCTTCTCGCAGATCACCTCCCCTTCCCCGGGAAGATGGCCAAGGCAGGGACAAGGGAGGAGTGGGACGGCTGCTTTTCCAGGAGCTGTGACAGGCAGGTCCTGCTTGCGTTCCAGTTCCCACAATCTTCCTGAGCAAGAAACCTCGAGAAAAGGAGGTGGATTCCAAGAGCCAGGTCATCGAAGGCATCAGCCGCCTCATCTGCTCTGCCAAGCAGCAGCAGACCATGCTGAGAGGTGGGCAGATGCAAGAGGGGTGATGGGGACTCTGGGAGGAGGTGATGGCCTCCCAAGGGGAACCCCTTAGCAGCCCTGGTCACACCCTCCTTACCTTGTCACCCCCAGTGTCCATTGATGGAGTTGAGTGGAGTGACATCAAGTTCTTCCAGCTGGCTGCCCAGTGGCCAACCCATGTCAAGCACTTTCCAGTGGGACTTTTCAGCGGCACCAAGGCCACCTGAGGGCACTGTCTCGTGGCTACTCTCTCCTGGCACTGCCACCAGCCTCACCGCCTGCAGGCAGGGGTAGGCCAGCAGGCCTGGGCCTCGCGTCCTCCCTTCCTGGCCCTGGGGCCTGCGTCTCCCTTGCCCAGTCCTGAAGGACACTGCCACTGGGGACACTGCTCCCCTCCCCTGTGCTCAGGCCCCTCTCTTCCTCCATTTCTTCCTCACCTTCCTGCTCCAGGCCCAAGGCATGTTGATTTTGCCTCCTGGCGCCTGTCCCTGGAATTGAGTCTGCCCGGCCCTCCTTCATCTACCTTCCAGCCCCTCCCTCCATGTGACACCAGTTTCCTTCCTGGAAATAGGACCTGGGATCCTGGCCCACAGCTGAGAGTCGAGCCCAGCCCTCCCCTCCACATCAGGATCTCATTTTTTAAAACCCAGCTGCCAGACTCACCTGCCCCCCTGAACTGTGGCCCACTCACAACTGCTGCAGGCTCTCCCGCCGGGGGGTGAGAGCCCATAGGACTCCCCCTTTCCCGGTCACAGAGCAGCCCCAGCCCTCCTCACCCCAGGACAGTGTTTCTGTGGCCATACCGTACCGGGTATTTCTGGGATGCAGGGCCTCCTTGCCTCCCCTGCACGACTCCCTCACCACCCCAGGCCCCTGGAGATGTTGCACGCATCCTTGAGCGTTTCTTTGGTTCTCTGCATGGCCCATCTCGGTAGCTCCATGTGCCTCGCCTGGACACCAGTCCCCATCCTTGTGGCTCCCCTCTTTGATGACTCCTACTCTGCCTCCCATCCTTCTGCCTCTCCCCGAAACCTGGAGAGAGGGAGGCAGACCCCCACCCATGAATTGTCTGTAACCCTCTATCTCCCTGTTCCCTCCATTTTGTCCCTTTGTCTCCCTTTCCTGGTCCGGTCTGTCCTTCTCATGCCTGGGCCCCAGCCTCCCTCCAGCAGACGCCGTCCTCAGTCCCGCCCTACCGCACACCCAGGTCCGGCCCTCCGTGGCCCCGGGGGAGGAGCTGCGTACAGAGGGCTGCCCGCCCACAGCACTCCCGGAGCTTTTACACTTGCCCTCCCATCCCTCCCAGAGGTTTTCGCACAGAACTTCATTTGGGGAGGTGTTGTTCTCATTCTCCGGCCCTCCCCAAAACTTCTGCAGGCCTTACCCTAGCTCAGCCCTGCTGTCCAGAACATCGCCTGGGCTGCTCTCTCTCAGGCCAGAGAGAGGGGTGGGGTGCAAAGGACTGAGTGGATGGTGGGTTTTTCATTCAATAAACTGGTGATTTCTTACCAACGAGCAAGCCTTGGGCTTCTGTGCCTCCACTGCAACACTGGATCAGCCCCCCAGCCCCTGTCCCTATACAACGCAGCCAACGCCACTCAAAATCAACAAGGAAAAATCAGCCTGCAGCTGGCTGGAAAGAAGCGTAGTCCCATTTTCTTAAAGAAACAGAGCCAGGATGGTGTCTTGCCCAGTATGAAGCAAGCAGAGGTTAGAAATAGAAATAACACCATTCCCACACCAAAATTCCATTTTTCTCCAGGACTCCTCATCCCCAGGTCACACCACCAAGGCAGTGACATGTTGAGGGCAGTTCCCCATTCTTCTGATTGAAGATTAGGACATGGCTTCTCTCCCCTTAAACTAATGTCCTGCCATAGCTTCTGAAAGTTGCGAAGTCTGAGGCTCAATGGAGGGGGCTGTGGCAGCAGCCATCATCCTCGCTTCCTGGACACCTGGCCCTTCATACACTCTCAGGACCAAGGCCTGTGCACCGAGCCTTCTCTGGTGAAGTGCCCAAAGGTGGGGGCTTGTTGGGGTGGGGGTTCCTTGGTGTCCTCGCCCTACAGGCACAGCCACCAAGGAGTGGCTGGCCAAGAAGGGCAGGCCGTCACTGGTTCCCCAAGCCTGTGGCCAGATGACCTCATGGAGTGAGGCTCTGGGACTCAGCAGTGTGGTCCTGCACAAACTCTGTGCCTGGAAAATGGGAATGATATCTGCCTCCCTGCCTCCCAGGGGCAGGAATTCAGTGAGGTCTACAGAAGCATCCCGGAAATGCAATCTGTGTGCTAGTTACCAAACAATGTACAATCTGGTTAATGAGAGGAAACAGCAGGAGTCAGGTCTGAGGTGAACTGGAAAGGCTGGGACGGTTGCCTTGCAGAGTGAACAGGGAGCAGGCAGTGGGAGGGGGCTCAGGTGGGGCTGGGGGCGCTGGGAGCTCGTGGGAGTCCCCAGGGAGGAGTAGGTGACAAGGACACTCAGGTGGTCGGGATCTCGCCCGGCTCCTGCAGCAAACACCGGTCAGAGCTCCCATGCTAGAAACGACTCCCCGGACTCTGCATCCTCTGGCAGCCACCCCATGTCTTTGCTGCCCTGAGAGCAGAATTCTCCAAGAGTTGTTGGAGTTCCCTGCCTCCACTTCATCCCACTCCAAGCTTTTTTTCTCACGTCCCCATAACAGGTATCCTTACCAAGGTCACGGATGACTTGGCCTGCCAAAGCCAAGGGTCAGCTTCTGGCCTGACTTTAGTAGCTTTTGAGGCACATACTGCCTGCGGAATCGCTTCCTCCACCGGGTCTGCGAGCGGCACTCTGCTCTCCTCCCAGCCCACTGGCTGCTCTTCCCCAGCCTCTGGCCGCTTCTCCCACTCTCAGCCTGTGGTGTGTCCCTGCACACAGACTTCACCCTCCTTTGGCTGTGGAGGCCAAACACTTTGGGGTCATCCTTGACTCCCCTTCTCCCGTACCCAGCAGCCCATCACCAGCAGACCCTAGAGGTTTCGCCTTCAGGACAGATCCAGAAGCCAACAGCTCCCACCCCTTTCAGCACTGCTATTATCACTTGTCTGGATATTGTAATAGCCTCCTAATTATCTCCGCTGCCACCTACTCTTCCTGTAGTCTATTCTCCACACCATAGCCAGAGAGAGCTTTTAAAAATGTTAATCGGGTAGTGTTAAATTACTGATTCAAACTGTCCAAGTGGCTTCCCATCCCACTAGGAATCTAATCCCAAACCTCCTCATGACCTACAGCCTACCTGATCTGACCTCGGGAGGACTGCCTGAGCTCCTCTCCTCTCACTGCCCCTCACTCCCCGTCCTCTGGTCCCTCAGACCCCAGGCACATTCTGCCTCAGGCCCTTTGCACAAGCTGTTCCCCTTGCCCGTCGTGTTCCTGCCTTGATAGGTGGGGCTTGTTTCCTCATTTCAAGTTTTGGCTTAAATATCACTGCCCTGTTTAACTGTAAAAATAGCACCTCCCTTTTTCCTCTCCATCCTTTATTTTTCACAGCACTTCTCACTCCTTGGCATTTAATTATTCATTTGTATGTCTATTCCTACTAATATGGAAGCTCCAAGAAAATGGGGAATTTTTTTTCCTCTGCAACATCCTTGGTACCCAGGATACTGCTTGGCTCATCATACGTACACAGGAAATATTTGTTGAAGATTGGATGAGTATTCATGCTGCTGGAATGGGGTCCCCAATCCAGATGTGCTGTTCCAACTTTAATGCCTCAGCCTAAAGCACACCTGGGTTTTCTCCCAGGCCCTGGCGTGAGAAGATAGACTTGTACTCTGAGCAAAGAGGAAGAAGAGAGTTGTGTAGAAATGGTTTCCAGGATTCCAAACACAAGGGAACTTGGGTGGGAGATTGACATGCTGGCCCAGTCACTGAGAGTTAAGTGGGACAGAGCCGAATTGCCCCCAGGGCTGCCAGAAACATTCTCCAAAGGCAAAGGGGTGGCATTTTGGTGCAAGGTTGAAGAACCTCTAACCTGTGCACCAACTCCACAGTGGTTTTATTTTTAATATAAACCAACTTTTTATTTTAAAATAGTTTTAGATAATTATAGAGAAGATGCAAAGAACAGAGTTGCTTTGCCCCTCCCCCAGCATCCCCTGTGGTTAACATGTTACTCTAATTACATTTATCATAACTAATGGGTGACATTGATACATTATCATTCACCAGATTCCTTAATTTTTCCCAGCATCTTTTCTCCATTCCAGAATCTCACCCAAGATACCAGCCTACTTTTAGACCTCTGAGCTGTGACATTTTCTTGGACTTTCCCTATTCTTGATGACCTTGACAGTTTTGAGGAGTACTGGTCAGGTTTTTGTAGAATGCACCTGGACTGGGATTTGTCAGTACATCATGTCAAGCGTGTGTGACGTCCCCAATTTGTTAACCCAGGTCACCTGTCTGAGGTAGTGTCAAGTAGTCCAGTTACACCTCCATTTGCATACTGTGCTCTTTGGAAGGAAGTCTAAGCACAGCTCACACTTAGGGTGTGAGCTTTCCCCTCTATCCACTATTTGGAATTCTGTGCAGAAGATTTCAGATTGTTTTAAACTATCATCACTCTGCTGTGTCCAAGAACTGATTGCATGAATGGCTGGCTCCTCGTCGCCCATGGGCATTTCTTCTCACCTGGCACAGCTGAGTGCTTCACGTGGTTTATTCCACTGAATCCTTAGAACAGTCCTAGGGAATCAATTCAGCTGATACTTCCTTTTTACCAAGGAGGAGAACAAAGATCAGAAAGCCTCCCCTACAAACTCTAGACTCATTTCTAATCATTCATTTGAGTACTCACAAACCTCTCAAACCTAACACGGCCAAAACAGAACTCGATTTCCTTCCCTCCTCCCCAGTCTTGGCAAGTGGCACCAGCATCCATCTTATTACTCAAGCCAGAAACGAGCGAGTCGCCCTATGTCACAAGAGCGGCTCCTGTCCGCTCCCAAACGCAAGCCAGAGTGCCCCGTTACTTTGCCTGGGTCCTTCACTGGTTTCCTCATGCCCTGTGAATATAGCCACCTGACCCACGGTCCCTCAGACCAGCGCGGTCTACCCCACCTGCCTCACTGACTTCACTTCCAGGTTCCCCCACCCTCACCACCCTTGAGCCACACCTGATCTTTCAGTAATAGACTCCTCTTTCCTGCCGGGGCCTAAATATGTTGTTCTTTCCAACCTAAATGCTCTCCTGGCCCCCAGAGCTAGCTCCTTTTCTTCCATGATGCGACCTACACATCTCTTCCTCAGACAGGCTTTCCCAGCCTCCTGCCCAAAACCGGGTTGTTAGTGTCCCCTCAGCTCTTCCTGCAATCACAGCACTCACTATCACCTGCAATACACATCTGTGCCCCAGGACAGAATGAGAGCCCAGCAGGGACCCCGGCTACCTCAGCACCAGTCACTCCTGCATATGGCAAAGACTTGGAGGCTACCTCCGGATGAATGAGGGTGGGGGGCCACAGGTTCAGTGCACACGGATGAGCTGAGGAGGGGCCAGATAGCTACCCCAGGCCGTCTGGCTCCACTCTCCTCAAGGCTCTGCTCAGATCCCAACTTCCCAACCATCCGTACATGCTACACATATTATGTTCCTCCTGTGGGCCAGTTCCTGTCCTAGGAATGCTGGTACAAAGATGCATACACAGCGGGGGCCTTACCTATATGGGAATGCTAGCTAGCTGGAGAGATGGACAAATAGACAACTGCCACACAGCATAACAGGTTGTGTGGGTGCCCACAGGAGGGATGTCCGAGATGTCTCAAAGGAAATGACACCTGAACAGCATTTCCAAGATGCCCGACAATGGATGATTGGCACAGGAGATCATCTAGCAAAAACTAGAGGTGAGAGAGCACGTCCTGTTCTGAAACACACACGTGATGTAGTGTGGCTGAAAGCAATGAAGAGGTGAGTGATAGGGCAGAAGGGAAAAGAAGTGACCTGAGCACCAAGGAGGCTTGCAGCTGTGATCACACTGCCAAGCTAGGACTGTGCACTCCCTTCCTGAGATCAGCAGCCAGCCAGCCAAGGGTGTTGGGCAGAAAAGCGAGACAATGGAATTTAGAAGGATCACTGCTACAACATGTTGGAGGAAACAAGACTGGAGACCAGAAGAGTTTGAAGGGTACCGGAGCAATTTAGGAAAGATGTGATGAGAACATAGACTAAGACAAGGGTAGGAGACATGAAGAAAAATGGAGTCTTGAGTCCTAGTTAAGAGACAGGGTTCATAGGTTAGGCTGCTTAGAAAATAGGATGGAAGGAAAGAGGCCAGGCCAGGGACTGGCCATCTGCCCTGGTGAATGGGCCAATGGTGGAACATCCCTGGAGACGTTTTGGGTGGGATAGGGTGGGTTTAGGGCAAGAGGTGTGTGCTATTTGGAGGTGGGTGTCCACCTGGAGTTGAATATGTAGGTGTAGATGGAGTACAGGGGAGTGATCTGGGCTGGGTAGGGATTTGTGCTTCCAGGGACAGCTGACGTTGGGGAGGTGTGACCAGCCCTGGCAGGCACTATCACCTGTTCAGGCCCTTCTATTTGCTGCCTCGTTTGTTGTTCCCGTTCATTCTGAATGTGTTTTCTCTCCAACAATGCCATAAGCAGACACCGTCCTATACTTCATATTTTTGCTCCCCACTCTCTAATCATTAGCACAGAGCCTGCAAAATAGTAAGCTTGAGGGTGGTGATGATAAATAACCACTAGTAACAGGGTCTGTTACATACAAGGCATGGTGCTAAGATCTTAACTCTGCTATTTTATTCCATTCTCTCAAAGACTCAACAAGGCAGGCATGAGGAGCCTCATTCGATGGATGAGGAAGCAGATGAAGTCACAGAGCGTGCCTAAAGCAGATAGAGAAGACGGCTTTGAACTTAGCGGAGCCTGACCCCAAACCTGTGTGCCTTCCCACTGAGCAGTCTGGCTGGGAGACCACAAGGGAGAGAGGGTACAGATTTGCCATGTCGCTGCCAGGACAGGAACCAGGATCTTCTCAGGGAAACTCTAAGTAGACTCGATTCCTGACACAGCGACAGAAAGAACTAACACTCAGAGGTGTTCACAGTGGAACAGGCTGCTCCGAAAGTGGTGAGCTGCTCATTACATGGGGGAGATGTGATCTTCAGGAGCCTCCAATCTGAGTGTTTTATGGGTGAACCTGCTGACATTTCAAGGGGGACAATATGCTTGGCAAAAGTGCCTCTCAAACACTTCAGAGAGGAGTGAAACCAGCCAAAGAAAGAAGAATAAGAAAACAGATTTCAGTGGGACGAGTGGATCCCAGGGGAAGGGGTGGGAGCAGTGGCAGTGATTTTCAGGGAGAAGGAATGATTATAAGTAGCAAAAACAATTTCCCCGGGCATGGGACAGACAGGGCAAGCTGATGAATTCTGCGGAAAATGGCATAAGGAGCTGAATCACCACTGGGCATGGACTCCTTTTCTTCTCCATCCACTGAGAGCACCCATCAGCAGCCTGGCATGAGACTGGCAACTGTGGGGAGAGTGCAGAACCGAGCGAGGGAGGGGAATGAAGTAACAGTCCCTTCCCTTGGGAGACACAGTATAGTCCTCAGAGAGGAGATAAAAAAGCCAAGTGGCTGAGAAGGTTGAACACACGCAAGGGTAGAAAAAAAGCAAGATAAAAGCAAGAACTCAGCAGGGAAGGGGCAGCCTTCCCTCCACCCGCTTACAGGGAGGAGCAGGGCCAGATGCCTAAAGGGAATTACAAAGAAACCACTGAAGCCTGCAGGGAGTTAGCAAAAAAGCTGCAGCAAGGACCCAGCAAAAGTCATAAAGGGAGATTGAAAATGTTCTTTTCATTTACCTGGAGAAAGATGACAGAAGGGATGTGCTCCTTTATTAGAGAGCACAAGGGAGAAAGACAGGGGGTACTGATGTCTGTGAGACTGGGCACGTATGGCACACACCTACATGGGCCTGCAGACACGCACGTGGCATGCAGATGTTGGTTTGGGCCTCTGGGTGAAATTGTCTGAAACTGTGTAGAAGGGTGTGAGCAAGCAACTTGACCTCAGTTCTCCTGACCTCTATGTGGTCCTTTACATGGTCAGTCTCCCTTACACACTGGGACAGAATGGCCTGGACTCCAGATGAGGGGAGGACCCTGTGGTCACCGGGAGCCTGAGCTCCCCAGGAACAACAGGCCCTCTTACTTTGTGAGGCTGCCTTCTCCTCTGTTGGGCTCAGTTTCCTTACCTGTAAACAAAGACATTTATGTAGCAACTTTCAACCCAGGCTGTACATCATGGCACAATTGAAGTTGTTTTTTGTTTTTTTTTGGTATCGTTAGTCTACATGAGGAACATTATGTTTACTACACCTGAAGTTTTAAAATAGTAAGACATGCCCAGGGTCCACCCTGGCACCACCAAATCCCAATTTCTAGGAGAGCCTTCCAACAAAGTTCCTTCCCAGGAGATTCTGAAACAGCCTCCCTAAGAGTAACAAAGGTACCCTGGGCTCCAGATTCCGTTGCCTCCCTGTGGACGTCCCCCAAGTTGGGAGGGCAGTTGTGGTCTGATGAGTTTCTGTGCACAGAGAGCACATCCCATCACAGCCAGCATGCCTCTGGGAGACAGTGCCAGTGTGACAGCTAAAGAATGGCAGACCCCAAACACACAAGGGCCCTGGAGGAAAACTGACCACAGGGAACTGACAAAGCTAAACACAAACCCTGCACTGATGCAAAATCAATGGACACAAGAAACTGGTAACAGCAGGTGCTTCTGGGGAGGGGAGCTGCAGGCTGAGGACAGTGGTCAGAAAGATCCTGGGCATGTCTTACTATTTTAAAACTTCAGTTCGGTCCATTGTAACTTGTATACGCCTTTTGAGTTTTGCATCATATTGACTGTATTAGCTATTTTTAAAAAATCACTGGGGAAAATAGTGCAGTACTACAAGTTATATGGGGCTGGATATAACTGGGATGCATGCACTTGAGGATTTTAGCTGACAAAGCTTACCCTGAACTGACAGAGTGTGGTGCTGGCTTACAACTTCATGATGGACAGGTGGCATGCTCATTAAGGGGGACTGTCCCTGTGTGATCTGTGAAGTTCACTCCCAATCCAGATTCCTGGGCCCTAGACTGAGTACCAAATTCTGAGCAGTGTCTGGACTGACATACCCAACCACACCCAGAAAAGAGAAATAGGGATGGAGAAGGGACAGGAAATGGGGGCAAGAGTGGGTGAAGGGACAGCAATCTTGAGCCCTGGCAAGGAGAAGCAGCACTGTATCCAAATATCTTCATTGGCAAAAGAGAGTAGACTATTCTTCCTGAAGACAGAGCTTCAGTTTGGTGTGGGTGAGCACTGCACGAAGGTACTTTGGGGGCTAAGGAGAACCTTTCTAGCTGTTATAGTAGTCTCACAGCAGAACGTAGTGAGCTCCCTGTCACAGGGCATACTTGAGCAAGGAGCGCGCCAGGCTATCCTATGTCAGAGGTGATGCCAAGGGGATTCTTGCATCCACTGGGGTACTGAACTTGGTGGAGTCTGAGTCTGAACCTACCCTGACTCATGAGCAATACCCTAGATCCCTGGGTACCAGTGCCAGGCCCTACTGTGCAAGTTTTGTCCCTGCATAGTAAGGGTGGTTATGCTGCTGTCACCTACTAGTGACCCAGAAGCAGTAGGGTAATGCCAAGGTAGCCAGCAATCCAGGGCAGCAGAGCATCAGAACAAAACCTAGGCCTGGCAGGGCCTTGGCAAGAACAGGTGCACCCCTCTGACATTTTAATAAAACCCGTATTTTCTGAGTGTTGCTATGTGGCTGGCAAAGGGCTACTCTGGAAGTAAAGAAGAAAGGCAGGTCTTGGCTCACATTCTGGGAGGAGACGGAAAACTGACAAAAATGTTGGAAGGTATAAACACTAGAGAAAGAACAGGGTGCACAGAGATGGACTAGAGGGCTGATCTACATGGGGTGGAGAATCAAAGAAGGGCTCTCTGAGGACATGATATTTGATCTGAGCCCCGGGTTGACATCACCTTGTCTTGGTCATCCAGTCAACAGCATTTGTTGCGTTCACCCACGGGGGAACAAGTCCTTGTTTCTGCAGACGCTGGGCTGTCTTTTGCCACCCTCTTCTCCCTTACAGTGGAAGCCTCCGGCCCTTTCCCCCTCCCCCCACTCACCCCTCCTGGAGAAGCAGCCCTAATATGCCTGAATCCCGTACAGGTACACGGACAGCTCTGAAAGACGGGTGGGGGCAAAACCAGTGTCTAGAAACAAAGGATCCTAGGGTAGATCGGCGAGATGTGGGTAACAGCAGTGCCCACTCCGAGGGGTCTTTGTGAGAAGCACTACATGAGTTACCGCACTTACCGCACCACAGCGCGGACACACAGTAAGCGCTCAGAAAGTGGCAACTATCTCAACGCCAATTAATGTCAATAAATGTCAAGAGTCTCGCTTTGGACTCCGAGGCTCCCGCCGTCCTCTCTGGCCACGGTGCTGGGTGCCTTCTGCTGAGCAATCTCTGAGTCCCCAGTCACCCCGGCGGCCTGGGGAGCGGCATCGCCGCGGAATCCCAGGCAGCATGAGCTGGGGAAACGGCCGCAGGGAACCGGAGCCCTGGGGCAGTCCCCGCCCCCGCCCCGGATGGCCACGCCCCATGCCCCCCACTCCCCTCTCCACTCTGGGAGCTGGCCAGGCCGGCGCGCTCCTTTAAGGCAGCCGGCGGGCTGAGAAGAGCGCGTTTAGCTCCCGACGCCGCCGCCTAGGTAGCGGCTTCACCTTTAAGGCGGCGCGGGGACTCCTGGGAAGGCCGGCGGGATGGAGGCGGTGGGACTGGCTCACGGCTGCCGGTTCGGGTGAAGCGGGGCGGGAGCTGGGGCCGGAGCCGGAGCCGGAGCCGGGCCCGAGCGGGAGGTGCAGGTCTGCGCGGGCCGATCGGGCAGGGAGAGGGGCTCCGGTCGGCGGAGGGGAGGGTCACTGTGGCCGCGGCCTGTAGGAAGACCAGGCCGCCCCGCGGGGAGGGGGCGCGGTCTTGGGTGGCCGGGGGCGGGAGCTCGGCCTTTTCAGGGGAGGGTCGCAGGGCGTCGCTTGGGCCTATGGGAAGGGGTCGTGCTGGGCGCGGCCTATGGGGATTGAGACGAGTCGTCAGCTCCGCCCGGCAGAGGGTCTCCCCGGGGTTGGCCTGTCCAAGAGGAGGAGCCCTGTGACTCGGGCTGCCCGCTGGAGAGAGGCGCTGCCCGAGGGGCTGGGTCCGGACCTCGCGGAGAGGCCAGGTTCCCCGCAGAGGAGTGACCCTCCCAGGATCCCTGTCCTGTCCTGGCTGAGCGAGTCCCCGGGAAAACCCGAGGCTGGGCCGCCTAAATTCGCCTGAGACGGCGGGCTGGGCCGAATCCGGTGGGCTGGGCCGAACCTGGTCCAGCCTCAACGGGCCTCACCGCATTGCGTATCCCCGGCAGAAACTAGCTGTGTGCGCCCCCTATAGGCAGAGCTCGGGCACGGTGCGGGCTGCCAGCTGGGGGACAGGGGCACCCCCGGGGACCCAGGTGTCCGGGGACCGGACGTGTTTACCTAATCCAGGACGGACGGCGGTGTGGCCACAGGCCCGGCACCCGCCTGCCCGCCCCCTCACCTCCACAGGCAGCACGGCTATGGCCACGATGGTGCTTCCGCGGGAAGAGAAGTTGAGCCAGGATGAGATAGTCCTGGGCACCAAGGCCGTCATCCAAGGACTGGAGACCCTGCGCGGGGAGCATCGTGCCCTTCTCGCACCCTTGGTCGCTCGTGAAGCCAGCGAGGCTGAGCCCGGCTCACAGGAGCGCTGTGTCCTCCTGCGCCGATCCCTGGAAGCCATTGAGCTGGGACTGGGGGAGGCCCAGGTAGGCTAGACTGGGTGCTGAGGTGGGAGGTCACCTGAGGGATGGGGCCTTCCAGAGGAACCCTGGCAGTGTAGGAACAGAATCTGACAGGGGACCACCTGGCCCCTGGAGCCCCATGGTAGGACCCCAGTAAATACCTGCTGAGAAAAATGAAGTGGCTTTGGACCCCAGCTCTGCCTTCACCCAGGAGAGCTTGATCACCCTTTAACCCTGACACAGAACCCTGCTCGTGGCTTCTCTGCCAGGTAGCAGAGACTGAATGGCATAGGACAACAAAAAGGAAATCCTTAAGGCAAACCTCTCACCCACCTGGTTCATTCTCTTTATCATTCCTCAACAGGTAAGTTATGAAGTGCCTACTATATGCCAGGCTGTGTGTTAGGTGCCAGGGATACAAGTCCAACAAGACAGATCTCTGTTCTAGTACAGTAGGGAGAGAGTCAGAAAGACACATGCATTTGTTCCAAATTGTGATAAGTTCTCCAAATAAAAGAACAGATTTTGTGATAGTTGATAACAGGAGGTTTTACCTATTGGTCAGGCAGGACTTCTGAGGAAATAACATTTAAACCAAGGCCTGAAGGAAGGAATGAACTAGCTTCCAGAAAAGGAAGGTGAGAGGTTGCATGTGCAAAGGTCCTAAGGCAGAAAAGATCTTAATTGTGGTGAAAGAATTGAGAGAAGACCTGTCTGACTGGAGCTGCATGGGGAAGGAGAGAGGGACAGAAGAGGCCTGTGGAGAAGGTAGGGGCCAGTTTATGCTGTGCCTTATTAGTTTGGGTTTTATTCTCAGGAAATTGGGAGGTCTGGACTTAAGTTTTGAGAGTTTCCCCTGGCTAAGGTGTGGAGCATGAACCATAGTGGGTCAGTGGTGGACGCAGGTAGGTAGGAAGCCACTTCTGGAATTCAAATGAGAGATGGTAGCTTGCACTAAGGGTGGAGAGGAGGGGACCACTCTAGATGTTCTGGAGTAGGCCTTGGGGGTGGAGTGAAGTGGGGAGAGGAGGGCAGGGTAACCTCTAGGTTTGTGGTTTGAGCATGTGAAGGGGAGGAAAGAGCCTGGGTGATCAGGATTTCTGTTCAGGCCCTCTTCAGTTGGGACTGCCAGGACACTGTGTAGGTGGAAATAGCCAGGAGGCATTGGGGTATACAAGGAGTCAAGCTCCAGGGGAAAAAGTCTTGGCCCCCTCAGATCTTGGCTGAGATACTGCCTGACTCTGAATCCTGGGCAGGTGGTATCATCTTGGTTTCCTTGTCTTTAAAACAGGGATCATGCTGTCTGGTATATGTACTTGCAGGCTGTTGAGGGAATTTTTTAAAAAGCTAGTAGTTGTGAAAACACCTGTCACTTAAGTGTTTGCTAATCAACCAGAGAGCATAGGGCACTTGGCCCTCTGGAAGGGCAATTTGTTGTCATTCAGTATTCAGCCAGTTGGCTGCCAGGTGCAGAGATGGACACACAGGGCACCCCCTCCTAGTGTGCACAGGCGCTGGTGCAGATGGGCAACAAGATGATGTGGAGGGGGTGGAAGGTGCCCTGCCTTCCTGGGGCTAAGGGCCTAAGAGGGAAGAAGCTTCACTGCAGAAATCACTCTGACGGTGAAGGCTGGAGAAAGGATAGAGCCTGTGCAAGGCCTCAAGGCAGGGAGAGCCCGGATGCTCAGGAGGGACGGGTGGAGGCTGAGGCCTCTGAGTCCCCTTACCTGATTCTGGGGTTTTCCAGACCATCTGGGGATTTGGGCATGCACTCCTCTCTGGGAGCTACAAAAGGGCAGGAGCTAACCCGAACCCTTAGCAGAAGTCAGAACCGAGTCTTGCAGTGGCCCTTCAGCCATCTCTCAGGGTTCTTTAAGAAGGTGCTAGCCCTGGAGCAGGGGCAGTGGTCTAGCAGCTGTGGCTACAGGATAACGAGCACAAGCCCCAGGAGAGAGCAAGGAAGAGAATGGACAGCTCAGGCAAAGCACAGCATCCCAGCCAGCCCTCTTTATGACCAACCCAATAAGGTGGAACCTGGATCATCAATGCGGAGGACTAGCTGAAGGTCCAGGAAAGAGGAGCTGGCCTGGGAGCCCAGGGCTCCGGACCCCAGAAGGAAGGAGTTGGGATTCAGTCCCCAAGCGTCTTGGGTTCAGGTCTTAGACTACAGTCTGTTTGGGGCTTTAGGGAACCCCTCTCCTGATGAGAGGAGCTCTTCCAGGCCCTCGGCCCTGTAGCTCCTTATAGGTAGGACCAGGCTTGGCTCTTCACTGGGCCCCAGTGCCCAGGAGGCCCAGGCTGGGGGGGTGGACAAGGCCCTGACCCTTGTCCCGGTTGGCTCTCACAGGTAATCCTGGCACTGTCAAGCCACCTGGGGGCCGTAGAGTCGGAGAAGCAGAAGCTGCGGGCTCAGGTGCGGCGCCTGGTGCAGGAGAACCAGTGGCTGCGGGAGGAGCTGGCAGGGACGCAGCAAAAGCTGCAGCGCAGTGAGCAGGCGGTGGCCCAGCTCGAGGAGGAGAAGCAGCACTTGCTGTTCATGAGCCAGATCCGCAAGTTGGACGAGGACGCCTCCCCCACCGTGAGCCCCTACCTTGGCCAGTGCAAGGCCCCTGGGCAGGGGCACCTGGGAGCAGGGAGGGGCAGCGTGGAACAGACTGGGCTCTGGCCCAGCCATTGATCCCTGGGCTACCGCACATCTCCTTCCCTCATGCTCTTCCTGTCTCCCTCCCCAGGAGGAGAAGGGGGATGCCCCCAAAGACTCTCTGGATGACCTGTTCCCTAATGAGGAGGACCAGAGCCCAGGTTCGGAGGAGCAGCTGGTTCTGCGGTTGTGGGAAGGGAGGGCAGTGTGAACTCCTGGTCTTTGGAACCCGAAGGTTACTGGGAACAGCCCTGGCCCAGTCTGGCCTTGCCCATAGGGTCAAGCATGTATAGGAGTCTCCCTTTTGCAGATGAGGAGGCTGAGGCTCAGAAGTGGGGCCTTGCTCTAGAACACACAGCTTGAAGTATTGGAGCTGGGACTCTACCCACTCTTTCTGGGGGGGTGACTAGACCCACTTTACAGATGGGGAAACTGAGGCAGAATAGTGACTAGCCCAGGGCCACATGTCAGCTGGGTCAGATGCATGGCTGGCATATGCCAGCCCAGCCCAGAGGGCAGTCAGTACATCTGACATCCTGCATCTGGCCTTGCAGCCCCCAGCCCCGGAGGAGGGGATGTGGCTGCCCAGCACGGGGGCTACGAAATCCCAGCAAGGCTTCGCACCCTGCACAACCTGGTGATCCAGTATGCCTCACAGGGCCGCTATGAGGTGGCCGTGCCACTCTGCAAACAGGCGCTTGAGGACCTGGAGAAGACCTCAGGCCATGACCACCCTGACGTGGCCACCATGCTGAACATCTTGGCGCTGGTCTATCGGTGAGGGCTCCTTTGGCCATGGTTGTCCATGGGAGAGCCTGCATTCTCCCTGAAGGCTCTGGCCCTGGGTCACAAATCCTCAGTGCACACTGTGGGCCAGGACTTGAGCTCTACTGTGCAGCTGGGCAGCAGAGAGAAGGAGCTTGTGCCCCGAGGAGCCTGAGCCCACAGGGTACCTGGGGCTCGTGGGCTTGGCCTACAGATGTGAATAAGCCTCAGTCCAGTGAGGAGAAAGGCTTGGACATAACAAGGGAAGGGGGCAGCACATGGGAATCTGAGGGCACTGGGAGTTGGCTTCTCTAGGCCCCACGGTTCGAGTTGAGTCTTTGGTGAGATGTTTGCATAGAACATGAAAGGACTGGTAGGGTTTGTCTGGCAGAAAGAAAAGCATTAGCAAAGGCACTGGGGAACAGAATAAGGTGCGCTGGGTGTGCGGTGGTGGTGTGGTCTGGGTGAGTTGTGAGCTCCTGGAGGGCAGGGGCTAACCCAAGGGTCCCCACACTCTGGATCATAATCATGTCCACTTGACAGTCAACAGGAGTGTCCATGGGGATCTGGGACCGCTAGGGGGAGGGCTTGGCCTGGAGGACAACCCTCACCCTGGTCCTTCTTGCCCCCAGGGACCAGAACAAGTACAAGGAGGCTGCCCACCTGCTCAACGATGCCCTGGCTATCCGAGAAAAGACACTGGGCAAGGACCACCCGGCTGTGAGTGAGGCTGGGAGGGGGGTACTGCCACTGCCCCCACAAGTCCCAGGTCCCAGGCTCCCCGCCCTGAAGGGCCGGGGGTCACAAAGTCTCCATTCTCCACTCCCCAGGTGGCTGCAACATTAAACAACCTGGCGGTTCTGTACGGCAAACGGGGCAAGTACAAAGAAGCTGAGCCGCTGTGCAAGCGGGCGCTGGAAATCCGGGAAAAGGTGGGAGCGGGCAGGGCCAGCTGGGCCGGGTGCGAGGGAAGCGGAGGCCGGCCCTGGGCCCAGCCATGGCTCCCACTCCTGTCCCAGGTCCTGGGCCAGTTTCATCCAGACGTGGCCAAGCAGCTGAGCAACCTGGCCCTGCTGTGCCAGAACCAGGGCAAAGCGGAGGAGGTGGAATACTATTACCGCCGGGCACTGGAAATCTATGCCACACGCCTTGGGCCTGATGACCCCAACGTGGCCAAGACCAAGAACAACCTGGTGCTCTGGGTTTGGGGGTCTGGGGAGAGGAAGGAAGGGAGAAGGCCCGGCTTGCTGCATCCTGCTCACCCTGCGGCCCCCACCCCTCCAGGCCTCCTGCTACCTGAAACAGGGCAAGTACCAGGAAGCAGAGACCCTGTACAAGGAGATTCTCACCCGTGCTCATGAGAAGGAGTTTGGTTCTGTCAATGGTGAGTCCATGCTCGCTGCATGCCCCCACCTCACCCAGCACAGGCCTACTCAGCCACCAGCATCCAGGACAAATACCACAGCTGGGCAGGCCTCACGCCTGGGATCTGGCTGGTTCCCAGCCATTTGTGTGCACATGCGTGCATGCACAGCATGTGCTTGGATCACACAGGCCCCACAAGCTTCCACTAGGCCATATACGCCCTTTGCATACCCCATGCCCTTAGCCCAGAGTCTTTTCCCTTTATTGGGCAATTCCTGCTCACTATGAGGGCCCAGTCCAATGTCTCCTGCTCTGGGAAGCCACCTTCTAGCCACTGATACTGAGTCCTTTCCTGCTCTGGGATCCCTCAGCCTGGCCTGTCATTCAGGCCTAGTACATGTCTTGGGCTGTGGGGCTGAGGGGTATGAGGATCTGCTCCTCCCACCCACCAATCAAAAGCCTCTTAAGCACAAGTCTGTGCCTCAGTCCTCTCTGTTCCAGAGGAGGGTCAGTCACGTCTGGAGTCTGTTTCTTGTTTATTCACCCAACAAAGCCCAACCCCAGTCCTTCCTGGGTACTCCTGGCCCCCTCCCCAGCCCCTGGTCCTGTGTCCAGCCCAGCCAGGAGATGCCCGTCCAGGAGACTGGTGACTGCCCCCTTTCTCCCCTCAGGGGATAACAAGCCCATCTGGATGCATGCAGAGGAACGTGAGGAGAGCAAGGTAGCTCAGTGGGGTACCACTGGGGTGGGTATCTGGGGAGGGCTAGGGGTGTGTAACGGGGAGGGCCTTATTCCCCCACCTCCCCTAACCATTCTTTCTCCCAGGATAAGCGCCGGGATAGCACCCCCTATGGGGAATATGGCAGCTGGTACAAAGCCTGTAAGGTAGACAGGTGAGGACAGTGGGGCCGGGCTGGCAACGGAGCAAGATGCAGGGCAGCAGCCTCCTGGGTGGGGGCTGAGGCCGGGCTCTGCATCCCATACTGCTCTGCCCCAGAACACATACCTTCACTCTGTCACCTTGTCTCTCAAGGCCCAAGTGACAGGTTACCTGTCCCAAAAAGGCTTTCCACACCAGGACAGCCTGATTATCTCACTCTTGAGTCTCTCAGCTTTTAGTCCTGGTGGCAACGTCCCACTTTAGAGCCCTGGGGCCAGATTCCCAGTTGTGGGGTGATACCAAGACAGGAGAGTCTGGGCAAGCCTATCAGAGGGCTTGACACACCAGAGGGGCAAGATTCCAGTTGGCCAGTTGGTTCCTCAGGGCCTGACATGGGTTGGATGCCAGGATGGGTCCTGGTTCCTGGGGAATGTGGAATCCGAGACTGTCCTGCTATCCTGTCCACAGCCCCACTGTCAACACCACCCTACGCAGCTTGGGGGCCCTGTACCGGCGCCAGGGCAAGCTAGAAGCCGCACATACCCTGGAGGACTGTGCCAGCCGTAGCCGCAAGCAGGTGGGGTGACAAGTATGAGGGTTTGGGCAGGGACTGACGTGGCCCTGTGTGCTCTGACCGGGACCCACTGTCCCACCTGATATGCCCTGCTGCTCCCTCAGGGCCTGGACCCTGCAAGCCAGACCAAGGTGGTGGAGCTGCTGAAGGACAGCAGTGCTGGGCAGGGAGACCGCAATGGCAGCCGAGACATAGGTGGGGCTGCCAGCAACCGGTCTGAGTCTAGCATCGAGGAGGCAGGGCCTACAGCCGAGTGGAGCGGGGTGAGTCTCAGGGCCATGTGGGCCAGGTGACCATGTAGCCAGTGTGGCACGGACAGACCTGACTGTTCCACAGGATGGCAATGGCTCCCTGCGGCGCAGTGGCTCCTTTGGGAAGCTCCGAGATGCCCTGAGGCGCAGCAGCGAAATGCTGGTGAAGAAGCTGCAGGGTGGTGGCCCCCAGGAGCCCCCTAACCCCAGGTGAGCCTCTGCCCTCATGAGCTGCCACCCAGGGGGAGCCTCTCACAAACTCACCAACCCTGGATGAACTTCTGACCCAGGGAGAGGAGCCACCCCCTCCACTCTCTCATATCAGCCTCCCTACCCAGCCTCAACAAGACCCTTTCCCCCTGCTCCCCAGTTCCACCATGGGAAAATCCCAACCATCCTTTCCCCTCAGGATGAAGCGGGCCAGTTCCCTCAACTTCCTCAACAAGAGTATGGAAGAGCCAGTTCAGGTATGGGTGGGTGGGCGTCGGGGCCCAAGGCCTGCATGACCTGTGTACCACCTGCTAAGCTGCTCCTCAAGCATGTCTGTTCATCCAGCACCATTTCCTGTCCCAGTCCCAGGCCTGGCACTGAGCTGGACACTAGGGAGACAAATGAGTGAAACAGCCCCTGCCTGGGGTGGACATGCCAGTGGCCAGGGCCAACACAGTAACTGTGGAGGTGGGTGGGAGTGTCAGAGCACCAAGGCATGGCCGTGGGCCAGGCTCAGGGACTCTGGCTGGTCAGACCACTTCCTGCCAGGGAAGCACAGACTGCCAGCAGCACAAGGCTGAGCTACCTGTCCTCTCTGCCCACAGCCTGGAAGCACAGGCCTCTCTGACAGCCGCACTCTCAGCTCCAGCTCCATGGACCTCTCCCGTCGAAGCTCCCTCGTGGGCTAATTCTGAAGGGGCAGCCTGTTGCCAGAACCTCCACCCAGCACTGCCTCCACCCCAAGCCCTGCGCATGGGCCTGCTGCTTGTCCCACCTGACTCTCCCAAGGACCCCCGTCTTTTCTGTTCAATCTCAGGGTAACCTCCTCCCTTGTCATCTCAGCCTGAACCCTGGAGACTGGGCCTGCCAGCTCCAGCTCTACTCCTTATTTATTCCTTTCAGCAGGGCCCCCTCTTCCCTATATTCAGGGCTAGTGCAAGGAGCTGGCCTGAGGCTCCAAGGTAGAGACTCAGTGGCCCACCATCCCCAGACCCGGAGCCAAGAACACTTGAGCACCTGCCCTCCCTTCAGCATTCCTGCCCTCCGGCCGTTGCTTCTGTATATAGAGAAATAAGTTATTGGCCGCACCCCTCCCCTCAGTCCCTGGTACTACCCGGTCCTCTTCCTCACCCCGCCCTTCTCTAGTGGTACCGCCCAGGCCTTAATCACCCCCGTTCCGCGCGGTGGTATCTCCCAGGCTCCACATCTCGGGGCGGGGGGGGCGGCACCTCCCTGGGCCTCCTGGCACTCCTTCCGGCCTCTAAGGGGCGTTCCCTCCCCAGCCATTCTCTGCCCCAGGACCGAGAGCCCTTCTCTGCCGTCCTCTCACCGCCGGGTCTTGCATCCCGGCCTTATGCACTGTCACTCCCACCCAGGCACAACCTGACCCCGCCCCGGGCGCTGCCCAACGAGGCATCCTGCCACATAGCCTCCCATGCCTGTAGCTTCTCGCGAGGGTCAGTGATGGCCCCATGGTGGCAGGAGGGGCTGCCCCAGTTGATGGGTGAGGGGGTCGCTATTTTCAAATGTTGCTGTAGAAATAAAGATGGTTTGAATCTGAGCCGGGCTTATTTTGGCGCGGAGGCCAAGGGTTCCTAACGTCGCTAGGTTGGGCATGAGGTGGGGACAGTAAGTGGGGGATGTGCGTGTGTCGTTCATGTCAGGTCCCCAGCAGCTGGAGCCCAGATACTCTGCTTCAATGTCCAAATTGTTTAGGGTTTTTCAAACAACCTCAATCTCTAAGGTTCTAGAGACGGCGGGCTTTGAGATCTGCCACTTATTTGACCTTGAGCGAGTTACTGAAACTCGATTTTTTTCATCTATAAAATGTGGGTGACACGACCTTCCTGGGGCTGTGGGTGTTATGAGCTCCAGCACACAAAGAATCAACGGATAAATGAACTTCTACTAATGTTTACAAAACTCTGTGAGCTGGGAGGGTACGGATGACTGCCTTTGTCAGCACACATGAAACGTGTCAACCTTAGCCCTAAATTGAATTTCCAACCCCTGGATGCTGTCCAGCTCACGAGTGAGGCCATCCAACCCAAGTGCGTGTAGGGAGAGAACTACAAGTCCCAGGACGCAATGCGCGGCGATGATGGGGCGCGGGCTCTTCGCTCGGGCTCCCGGGTTTACGCTTGCGCAGCAGGGGTGACTTGTACTAAGTAAGGAGACTTCAAGTTCCGAGAAGCAACGCTGCAAGGTCCCAGTCGTGAACATTTGCGCCTGCGCGTCGCGGGCGGGGCCTCTGGGGCGGAGCGGCCACCATCTTGGAACGGGAGGCGGAGCGGAGCCGACTGGGAGCGACCGAGCGGGCCTCCGCCGCCGCCATGAACCCCGAATAGTGAGTGAGCCCCGCCCGCGCCGTCCGGCGCAGCCTCGATCCCGAGTACGGGGCTGTACGTTTACCCGGGTTGTCCGGCCCGGGTCAAGACTGCGCGGCGCCCCCACATCCGGGTCTCTGTTCCGCTGACACCCCCCCACTCAACATCCGGGCCCTGTCCCTCCCCCGGGGGGGCCCCAGGACCCCGGCTCAACACCTCAAGTTCTTGCACCCGGGGCCCAGAGACTGCGACCTCGAGAGACACCATTTGGAACCCAAGGCACTGGCCCTCCTCGGCTTTATCGGTCAGGTGACCGTGCAGCCCCGGTCTCTCCAGGCCTCAGTTTCCCCACATGCTGCTCAAGAGTAGCAGTCTACGTGCTGACGATGGTCCCAGCCGTTTTGGAGCCCGTCATCAGACAGTTTCTGGCCTTGGTCCAGACTCGGGCCTGTTTTAGCTGGGGCGCTAATTTCTTCCGTTCTTTCCGTTCTCCTGGAATCCGGTTCCTGGTGCTGGTCGGACGCGGGACACCTCGAGGTGCCCCTCTGGGTCGCTTTCCCGCAGGTCTTCCCCACTGCCGCTGCCGCTTTGTCCCCTGCCAGGTCAAGCTGAACAGCCGCTCCCGGCGGCCTGTCCCTTCCCACCCTCCCCTCATCTTTGAGCCAGCGCCCAGCGCCACTATCAGCCCTTCTCTTCGCTCTAATACTACCAGTGAAGTTTAGATGAATGTGGCATTTGCTTCCCTCCTTCCAGTGGGATTCTCTTTTCCTCAAATTCTTCTCACTGCTTGGTCACTCCCCCTACGGGTAGGTGGCTCAGATCTCTTACCCGGACTTCTCACTGACAGTTTTCCCCAAGTGTCAGTTATCTTCTTCCTCTTCTGCCACTTCCTTTTTCTCCGGCAGATCCCGGCCTCAGACTTCCTTGGGGAAGGGTGAAGTTCTGACCTGGATTATAAGGGGGAACAGAGAAGGGAACCAACAGGCTTTCGCAGAGACTGTGGAGTCTGAACCTAGGTTTCCAGTCTTTAATAGCTGTGTAACTAGGGCAAGTCACTTCCCTTCTCTGATCTCTGGTTTTCTCACTAGTTGGGAATAGCAACATTCCATTGGACTGTTGTGAGGCTTAAATGGGATGATGCTTTTGAAGTGCTTAGCACAGGGCCAGGCACAAGTAGGAACTCAGAACGTTTCAACTGCGGTTATTGGCACTTGTTGACCACCTCCTCTTAGAGGCTTCTTGTTAGGTTCTTAACATAGATACTCAATTAAGAAGTTCTAGACTTGGTCCTGGCTTCCATTTCTGGGGTCTGCCCTGCCAAACCAGGTATGCCACACAGCAGTGTAGGATGGGTTCTCTAAATAGCTTCTCCTGGACCTAAGGCCACGGAGTCTGTCATGAATCAAGTAGGTTATCCAGATACGTCACCTGATTGTGATCCTTGGCAAGTTATGTCCCTCTCAGTGCCTCAGCTTCCTTGTAAAGTAGAAATTCAGATACAGCCTTTTGACCAGCTCTTATGGGGGATGGTCAGCAGTCCCCCTTCCAGGACTTGGGGGATGTGGGGGAGGAAGTGTTATGAGCACCTTTAATACTCTGAGCCAGTGTGCGCTCACGGTGTGGGAGGATGCTGTAGCTGTAGTTCCAGGGTGGTGGCCGGCGAGCTCCCTGCTTCCATTACACCTTCCCATCCTTTCCTTCCAGTGACTACCTGTTTAAGCTGCTTTTGATCGGTGACTCGGGTGTGGGCAAGTCATGCCTGCTCCTGCGGTTTGCTGTGAGTAAGAAGCCTACCATACCATCCATCTGGGGGCCTGGCTGGTGGCTGGAGGGAGAGGGGACAGCCCAGAACACAATAATTGCAAGTTATGGGGGACCAAGTTGAAGTTGCTGGACCTGCCAGCTACATCTCTTCACAAGGGCACAGGGCTAGCCGGTTGGGGTACTGAGAACAGGGGCTTAACAGTTACGAGCTTGGCTAGGGCAGGGACTGGAGGGAGGTTTTCCAAATTGGCCTGTTTAGTCAGGCTGCTCCACTGGCCCCGGATCTTCCAGGATGACACATACACAGAGAGCTACATCAGCACCATCGGAGTGGACTTCAAGATTCGAACCATCGAGCTAGATGGCAAAACCATCAAACTTCAGATCGTGAGTGTCATTCTTCCCAGGTCCCTAGTGCAGAGGCACCCACCTCGAGGGGAGGGGCTCTGGGCATGGAGCCCAGAGCTGACCTGCCCTTCCCTTCTGTCTTGTAGTGGGACACAGCTGGTCAGGAGCGGTTCCGGACCATCACTTCCAGCTACTACCGGGGGGCTCACGGCATCATTGTGGTGTATGATGTCACTGACCAGGTACTCCTGGGCTCAGCATCCCCAGCTTTGCCTCCTCAACCTCTTTTGGCTCTTGCTTCTTTTTACTCTTCCCATCCTCTCTTCCCGCTGCTGCCTAGAAAAGAAACTACTGGGACTCATTTCACAAGGAGGGAAACAGCCACAGGGAAGGATGCTCCCAAGGCCCTGCTGCAGGGTCTTGGCAGAACCAAGCCTCGTACTTCCCAGCCAGTGTGCCACCTTATCCTAGACCTTCCAGGCACCCATGTTTTGTGGGTACTGAGTCAGCTGATGGCTGTGCTCAGCTCACGGCCTCCTGTGGGAAGACACTGGAGAAGGAATGGGAGGACCTTAGGCAAGGGAGTGAGGAGCCTGCACCCTGGGCCCAGTGTGAGCAGAGGCCTGTGTCTGCTGTGGCAGCATTTGTTACGTTTCATTGGCAGCAGTGGCCATGTTAACAACCAGAAATAGTTCCACCGTACCTTTTAGTTTACAGGACCTGCCACAGTCCTTTTCGCTTATAATGCCCTGAAGAGGCCTGTACTATGTCCCCATCTTGCAGATGGGGAAATGTATCAGTGGTGAGGCAAACTTGTTAGGGCTCTGTGGCTATTTAAGTGGCAGAGACAGAAAGCTTAGGTCTGCTGCTACTCCTCCCTGCTTTTTTCTTTCTACTAAACCTTGTTGCCTAATGGGGACCAAGCCCTGGGGACATGAAGATGCTTTGCCTACATCAGCCTTGGGCCAGGAGGTGTCCCTGTCCCAGGGTCAGCTAGGCTCTTGGGCTCACCAGGGACTCAAGGTGCATCCTAGACAAGAAGCTCACCTCTTGACTGCCAAGTCTCATGGCCTCATTTCAGTTCTCTGGTGGCTTTTAACTGCATCCTCTTCCCTCCTTGAAGTTTACTGTTCTCAGCACTACCACCTCCTGCTGCATTAGATTTTTTTCAGTGCTTTTTTGCCATCCTGTCCTGCCCCGCAGAGCCCCATATTTTGTGATTCCCGACTCAGCCCCACGTCTCCACCTGACCTTCCCTACATTGCTCTGTCCACTTGGGAGTTTGGCTTCTGTCTTAGGATCTGTGATTTCTTCATCTAAACAGCTATCATCACTTCAGGTCTCCCCCTCTTTGTCCTACTGGCACTTTGTGTCTATGTTAATTCTAACCTTCACAGTATTGCCCAGTGAACTAAGTGGTGTGGTCCCTGTTTTCCAGATGAGGAAACATGCTTAAGAGAGGTGTTAAATAGCTAGCCTGTGGGCTTATTGCCAGGAAAGGCAAAACTAGTGTTTGAATCCAAGGTTCTTTGCTTCTGAGCACACCCTTTGCTGCCCTCTAGACAGCCTCTCGTAAGCTCCAGACCATCTGCAGAAGTCAGCACGTCCAGCACTGGCCCCACCATCTCTCCCTAAACTAGCTCCTGCATCCCATCTGTATAACAGAGCCCCCAGCAGGCTGACCAGAAGGCTCTCTTCCCCCATCCAGTCAGTCCCAGGGTCCCTCTGTTCTCTGCCCATCATCACTTTGAAACCTGTCCCTTCATGATGATAGCAGTGAGGAGAATAATAGCAGCTCCTTTTAATTAAGCACTGTTATAAGACAGGCCTGCATTCATTATCTCATGCTCACAACAGCCGACTGTGAGGTGCTGTTATACGGAAGAGAGAAAACTGAGGCTGAGAGGTCAGGTGAAATACGTAGGATGCCACAGTAAATGGCAGTGCCAGGGCTTAACCCAAGATGGTCATAAGCCCTGTGCTTGCCCCTGTTTTGCTCCATGGCTCAGGGCACATCTCTTCCCTGGATTATTCGAACTACTCCCCAGTTTGTCTCCATCTTCTTACTGGTCTGATCTGGCCTCTCCACCCCTGCCAGGGCTACCCTCCCAGAACACAGGTGTGCTCCTGCTGCTCCCCACTGTGAGCGCCTCCGCTGGCTCCTGGTCTTAAGATTTAGCAAGGATGAGACCATCGGTGCTCTGGCCTGCCGCCGCCTCTTCCTCTCCTTCCCCACTCGGGGCCTGTGTCCCAGCACACTCAGCTTCTCCCCTGTCCTGAAAGACAACCATGCCCCGCTTTCTGTGACCTGCGGTATGTTGTTTCCTCCCCTTTCACCATTCCCTGTCCTTCTACTTGATTCCACACAAGCCAGGGCATCCCTGCAGGCAGGGCTCGGCCGTGGCCTCCCCAGGCCGAGTGGTCTGAGAGCTCCATCAGCACCTGCCTTCTGGTCGTGCAGCGCTGACCTCCCTGTCCTCCACTGTCCTCTCAGTGCTTTAGTGCAGGGCTCAGGTATGACTCCCTTTGTTCCCAGTGCCCAGTGCAGGGCCCAGCCTGGGACATGGAAGAAGGTATAAGTCATCACCAGGCCTCTGGCTTCTAAGATGGGAAAGTAGCTCTAGCTAGAGCATGTTCCTAAAAGTTCTGTCCTTTCCCCACATGCCAGGGATAGTGGGTGGGGAGTGGCAAGTGACAGGCTTCGGGGGAGCTGGGCTGAATAAGGCTTTTGGTTAGGCTCTATTCCAAGGATACATGTCTCCTTCAGAGGCCACGGTCTCCTCTTCAGGGACCTTCCACCTACCCTTGGGCACCAAGACTTAAAGCCTTAGAGGAATTTTAGGATCACTGTGGGAACTTTGTGATTCCTGCTAACCCTTTACCCTCTGTTTCTGTCTTCTCTCTGGCCTCTCTTCTGAAGCCATTTGCTCCCCACATGTGGTTAGGCCCTTTCTGTGTCACAGGGAGAGATAGGCAGCTGCAGGAAGCACAGCTGGCTGGCCCTTAGGCCTAGGCTGTTTGGGCATTGGGGCTGTGCTGGGCTTGGTTTTTGGGGTCTCGGGTGGAGGAGAGCTCGGCCTGGAGAGCATTCCCCTGGGTCCTGAGCCCAGGGCTCCCGCCTCTCTCAGGAGCCCAGCACTTCCCTTTACAGACCTCAAGGCTCCTGCTCTCCAGGCCTAAGGTTGGCATGGTAGTTGGGGGCAAAATAACTTTGGCCCTTGTCCCTCTAGGAATCCTACGCTAATGTGAAGCAGTGGCTACAAGAGATCGACCGCTATGCCAGTGAGAACGTCAACAAGCTCCTGGTAGGCAACAAGAGCGACCTCACCACCAAGAAGGTGGTGGATAACACCACAGCCAAGGTGAGCAGGGCCTGGGCCAGGCTGCACAGGGTGGCCAGGGCCTGCTGCCCCTAACCCCTTTGTCCCTTCCTCTTCTCTCCTCTCTTGTCAGGAGTTTGCAGACTCTCTGGGCATCCCCTTCCTGGAGACAAGTGCCAAGAACGCTACCAATGTCGAGCAGGCATTCATGACCATGGCTGCTGAGATCAAAAAGCGGATGGGGCCTGGGGCAGCTTCAGGGGGTGAGCGGCCCAACCTCAAGATTGACAGCACCCCCGTGAAGCCAGCTGGTGGCGGCTGTTGCTAGGAGGGGCCCATAGGATGGTACTGGAGGGGGCACCTTCTCCAGATGATGCCCCTGGAGGGGGCAGGAGGTGCCTCCCTCTCCTGGGGCATTTGAGTCTGTGGCTTTGGGGTGTACTGGGCTCCCCATCTCCCTCTGGCCCATCTGCCTTCTGCCCTGAGCCCCTGCTCTGTCAGGGCCCCAACGGGAGGACACCCAGGACCTGTGGCTGGGGCAGGGATAAGGCCTTGCTCTGCTGCTGCCTCTAGGTAACTTTAAAAGCTACCCCACCACACACTTTTCTTTGGGATGAGGGCTCCTCTGTCTCCCTTCCCCCCGCCCCCATGAATGCTGCAGTGGGTTTCCCTCCTTACTCTAGTCCTTCGTTCCCTGGTCTCCCCTTCCCCAAGAGCTGAGGGCCTCCCTGGCCTCTACTGCCCTTGGCTGTAGTCAGTGCATGGGGCTAGGAGTGGGACCAGGGATCTAGGACCTCAGGACAGGCATGGGGGCTACAGGGGCCCAGCAGCCCACCCTGTTTTCTCTTTGCTGCCTTCCCTCATCCCCTCCCACACTCACAGCTTGAGCCGTCCAGCTGCGATAGGGTCTGAGCACATCTAGGGCAGGTAGGCGGGCAGCCGTGCTGGGCCTGTGTCTTGAGCCCAGAGGGAGTCTGCTCCTGCCGCCCCCTGCCCTGCCGGAGCCAGGCCTGTGTGCTGCCTGCCCACCGTGCCCCTTTGTCCCCCAAGGCAGGCGGAGGTGGAAGGCCCACCGTGCCAGGGGCCTGGCACCAGCCTTAACCCTCACTCCGCCAGCACCTTGTCCCTGTCCCCAAGGCCACACATCCGGCTCATTGTCCCGTCAGTTCCTTGGAGCCCTGGAGGGCAGACCCTCATCCCCTGTTGCTACTCTGGGGAATGTGGGTACAACCCTGGGCTGGGGGCATCTCTGCGATCACCCCATCCCACCCAGGGTCTTATCCCCCCTGCCCTCTGGCACAGCTTCTTCCTGCAGAAAAACAAATCTTTGGTCCCTACCTGAGAAGCCATGTCCTTTGTGTTGTCTCTTCCCTGTCCCACCTGTGCCCTGCCCTCCAGCTTGTATTTAAGTTCCTGGGGTGCCCCCCACTCCCAGGTTCCCCTCTGGTGTCATGTCAGGCATTTTGCAAGGAAAAGCCACTTGGGGAAAGATAGAAAGGACAAGAAAATAAATTTCCACTGGCCCTCCTGTGAGCTGAGGGTTTTTGCAAGGAAGTTGTGGTGGCTGCGTGTGATCTGTGGTGGGAGCAGCCTTGGGGTGAAGGATGGAGTGGGATCCCTGGGTTTGGCGGGCTGCACAGGGGTACCGGCCTGGGCAGTGTCCTAAGCTGCTGTTAAAGCCCTTGACCCACTTCCCTGAAGCCCGGAGAGCTACCTGCCTGTACTTCTGTAGCCTGTCCCCGCGGGCCCAGCATGGTTCGGGCAGGGAGGGAGGCAGGCGGCCGTCAGCAAGCACCTGGTGAGCCGCCGCCAACACCCACACAGGCACACTTCCAGGATGGGAAGCTGGGCTGCCGCCAGAGCCCAGGCCGCAGACATAGTGCCTCGTCGCCCCTGGCCTCGTCCTCTCCAGCCCCCTGGTTCAGCCAACCCTCTAGGCTTTGCGCTGGCTTCAGGCGGGCGTCCCTGCACTCCCGGACATTGATAAGGGCTTTGCACTAAGACCTTAGTCGGGCTTCCTGGCCGGTCGTTGAGGCGCCGTGTGTGAGGGTAAGGGTGTGAGCGCCCGTCCGATGGGACGGAGTGCAGCTTTGGTGGATATGTTGTGCAACGCAGGAGGCGGGGGGGGGGGTGTACGGCTGATCCTACGGACCCCTGAAGTTGGGGGAGAGTGTTGGGAGAAGGCGCCTGGGCCAAGCCGGGTAGGCGGAGGGGCGCGCGGAGACCCAGCCCCGCCCGAGGGCGCTCGCACGGCGGCCCCGCCCCCGGCTCCGCCCCGCCGGCTTCGCGGGCTGGAGAGCGAGGGAGCCGCGGGCGAGGGATCGCAGGATGAGCGATCGGGGCCGGGGCAGCCGGCAGCGGACTCGCCCTCCGAGCCCACCGGCCCGCGCCCCGCGGCCCCGCGGCCCCGGTCCCGGCTGCGCCGCCCGCGTCCCCCGAGCCCTGGGGGCCATGCCCGGCCGGCCCTAAACGCGGGCCCGGGGGCGTCCCCTTGCGCCCGGGCCCCGCGCTGGCGCCCCCCGGGCCGCCGCCCGGCGCGGGGGCCATGGCGTTCACCTTCGCCGCGTTCTGCTACATGCTCACCCTGGTGCTGTGCGCCTCCCTCATCTTCTTTGTCATCTGGCACGTAAGGCCGGGCTGGGACTGGGGGCGGGATGGGGGGCAGGGGGCACACGGAGCTGGAGGGGGCCGGGCGGATGGCCTCGGGGCCCCGGGAAACTTGGAGCCTCCTCTCCGCTATCCCCCATCGGTTGGCTCCTTTCCGCCCCCATGAACACCACCCTCCCCACCCCGTAGTCGGCTTCCTTCCTGGGGCCCCCCCCCTTCCTCCCCCGCCCCCGCCAGTGTATGGGTATGTCAGTCGGTCCCTGACCCCCATCCCCTTCCCATACAGCCTTGGGGTGTGGGGCAGAATTTTGAGATTCTGCTCCTTTCCCTCCTCCTATTCCCCCTTCCAATCGCCCCCGTTTGTCCGTCGGGCAGTTTGTCTGTCTGCTCATCACCCCACCCTCCCTTTGTGGGTTTTTCCAGCTTGAGTGATGGAGCCAGTTGCTATGGCAACTGCATCTGTTTACAGGACCCACAGATCGCGGAGTCCATTAACCCTTTACCTTCCCACCCCCGACCCTGACCCAGCAGCAGCTGGCTCTAAGCAGCCCAGAAAGCGAGCCCCACCACCGCTCACCTTGGGTTTTCCTGCCCCCTCCTGTCGGGGCTTCCCTGCACCCGCTTTCCTCCCCACTTTACAGCTTCCCTTCTCTTCCTGCCCCCACTTTCCCCTTCATCTCATGTCCCCTTGGTCCGGCGCACACTCTGGTCTGGCCCCACACATCTAGTCCTTCACAACGTCCAGTTCTCACCCCTTTTCCTGCCCTCCTTCCCTTTCAGAGGGTCCCTCTCCTTCATTCTCCCGGGGCTGTCTCCTCAGTAGCCTCTCTGTCTTGCTCCCTTGCTCTCACCGCAGAACTATTGCTTCTGGTTTGGGGCCCTTTGGCCCCCTTTACTGCTGTCCCTCCTCTGCACCCTGAAGTTTCGGCCCCTACCCCAAACCAGCTCAGCGGGCCTTGGCCCGCTCAGCTGGGGCCCTCTCTGCTTTTGCATCCAGCACACACTCCCCAATCCCCACCCCTATGGGAGTTCCCCTTACCCTCCCAGTCTCTCCTCCTGTACCCCCTTTTTTCCTTCCTCTCACCTCCTCCCATTGCTTCACCAGCTTCTTTACTGGTCTCCCCACTTCCTCCTCTCTTTGGTGGGGACTGCTGCCTGCTCTGTGGTCCTCCCAGGCTCTTGCCCAGTCTCTCCCTTGTCATCCCCTGCCACCCGCTCCCCCCTACCGCCTGTCTCTTTGACATCAGGATTCCATGGACTCTGACTGCCCTCCTCTTGTGTGAGGAGTGAGCCCCCACAGCACCTTCAAGTAACCCCCAGCATGTCCAGCTCTCTCTCTCTCAGGCTTTGCCCCTCTCTCTCAGTTGCTTGTTCTTTTCTCCCACTTCCTGTTTTGTTTTGTTTTCCTCCCTCCACTCCCATGAGTCCATCTTGACCTTTCAGAGCCTCCTATCTCATGCCAGAGCCTTGGACAGTCCTTTGGGGTGTGGGCCAGAGGGCTGGGATCCTGAGGTCTGGAAGGAATTGAAGGTCACAGGTTGAGAACACAGAGCCAACTAGGTCCTGGAAAAAAAGGGTTTCTGGAATCCAAGAAGCCCTTTTCCAGGCCCCTCCCTGCCCAGAGGCCTCCCCCAGCCCCCTTGGAGGAGCTGGTTCCCATCCTTAGGGGATCCTCAGAGCAGTGCCTCCATGCAGCACACCTGCGTCTGTGCTTCCTGAGAACAGCTCTGGGGAGCACTGGGGAAGTCAAGGATGGATAAGACTCAGCCTTTTCCATTGCTGGGGCTCCTGGGCTGGGGGGTGGGGCTCAGGCTTTCTCAGCAAATTTACTGAGCACTTACTAAGCATCAGGCACTGTGTTAGCTCTGCTTTTTAGCTGCGTGATAGCAAGTCGTTTGGGTCCCGAGTCTGTTTCCTCAGTGGTAAAGTGGGCCTGTTGTATATACATCACAGTGCCCAGAACAAGGCCTGCTAAGGGGGAAGGAAGCATGGGCCTCAATCCAAATTGGTTAAAGTAGAACCTTCCAGGGCAGGACCCCAGATACCACCCCAGACTCTGAGCCTAGGCCCCACTAGTCACTAGGCAACCCTTGTGGTGAGTGACGCGTGTCAGCTGTCACCACGGGGGATTGTTTGTTCCAGGGGGCTGAGTCAGTGCCAGGCAGCCTGGGGGGTGGGAGGTATGACACCCGTCTCCTGCTGGTGGTGCCAGCTCTGGGCAGACAGACGGCACCCTTCCGCTCCCTGCTGGACCCTGTTGCTGTGCCTGGCAGGCAGGCGGCTACCCCGAGTCAATGGGGAGTTGGTGGGTGCTGCGCCAGATGGCCCCAGCTCCCTCTGGGAAGCCCATGTTCTCTCCCTTAGGTGTCTGGATCTGCAGTGCTTGGGGGTGGTGGGCCCTCTGCCTCTTCCTATGGCTGGTGCTGAGGGGAGGGGACCCCAGAAGGCTCCTCTACCAGCCCTGCTTCCATGCCAGCTCTCCCAGGTCCATTCCATCATCCCATCAAACACCTGTTTGCCCCCAAGAGTTCCCATGCCGGTCACCAGATGCCCCACTACCTGAAGAAAGCTTGGGCCCCTCTGCCTCCACTCTGCTTCTATCCACACCCTCTGGAATCTGGCCTCTGAATGAACCTGAAACCCACCTACAGCCCCCCATCCCACTGCTGCTCTCCTCAAATAACTGGCGGAGCCCTGCCCCCACCCCACCTCCCAGCGACATTCCCAGAAGTCCCCTTGCTGGTCTGGCCTGAGTATGATAAAGTGGTTAAGAATTTAGTTCTGGGAGTCTAACTGGGTTAGAATCCTGGCTTGCCACTAACTAGCTGTGTGGTCTTTGACAAGTCACTTTATATCTCATTTCCTCATCTGCAAAACGGAAATGATAACACCAGTACCCACCTTATAGATTCACTCAGGCATTAAGTGAGTTAATAACGCCTGCTGTATATTGTAAGCACCAGGCATTTCTTGGCTGGAATTGTTAGCCAGTTTGCACTTCTGCTCCATCAGTGCTAACACATCCGCTTGACTGCCCCACTCTGCCTCCCACCCCTCAGGGGTTCCCATTCCTTTGGTGTTGAAGTCCAAACATCTGGTCCAGCCTCACAGAGCACCCCAGCCCATCTTCCTCTCACCTTTCCCTTCTTCCAACCCACTTGCTTCACTTTCATTCTGGCCCCATGGAATCTGTAGCTTTCTGAATGTTCCTTTTTCTTTCAGTCCTGGGCCTTTGTACCTACTGCTTAGACCGCCCTTCCCCCATTTGTCACCAGACAAGCACTCAAGTCCAGCCTGAGTCCCCATCACCCCCAACACTGGACCAGGCACTCTCCCCAGGTTCTCCCTATACTCCACGGCCCTGATCACCATGCAATATAAGTTAAGTCCTCCTCCAAGCTGGGGTTTCCTCCTGGGCACACGCTGTGTCCCAGACCTTGGGGGCCCCATTGCTCAGCATAGGACTCAGCCGAAAAGACACCTTATCTCTTGGGATGGAGGTTGTAGTACACTTGGGCTGACTTGGGCCTCAGCACCCTAGGGTTCCATTCCAGACTGTGTGTGACCTTGGGCCAGACCCCGCCTCTCCCTGGCCGTTTCTCCACCTTTGCAGCAAGCTTCGTCTGGTCCGATCCCCGTGTATGAAATCATATCCCGCGGAAGGACGGGTTGGGGGGCCATAAGCTGCTGCCCCAACCCTGACGGGCACACACCCCTCCCCCAGATCATAGCCTTTGACGAGCTGCGGACCGACTTCAAGAACCCCATCGACCAGGGGAACCCAGCGCGGGCAGTAAGTGATACATGTGCTGTGCCGAGGTGTGTCCGTCCGTCTGTCTTTCCATCTGTTGCGGGCGAAAGGGGTTGGGGGACAGGAAAACGAAGGTGTGGTGGGAGGGCCGGCACCCAGGCCCTTTCTTCTGTCTGTCCCCGCCCCCAGCAAACACCTGGAGCGGGCTCAGGGCTCGGGTTCCTCCGGGCGGGGCGGCAGTTGCCAGGCTCTGGGCCGTTGCCATGGAGACGCGGGGTGAAGGTCCCTCCATGGTGACGGTCGCCATGGGGACGGTGCGGCGGCTTCCCTGTCGCGTCTACGCCGCCGCAGAGGCTGCTCTGGCACCCCCTGGCGGCCACGTGCAGAGCGATGGGGCGCAGGAGGGTGGCGAAGCTCCCCCCCCACCATGCCAGCTCCTCTGCCTCCCCCATCGCGGCCTTTTCCTCCCCCTACAGCGCGAGCGTTTAAAAAACATCGAACGCATCTGCTGCCTCCTGAGGAAGGTCAGTGTCAGGGCTAGGGGAAGGAGGCTCGTAGCCTCGCCCAGCCCCTCTGTGACTTGGAGCGGGCCTTCCTCCTAAAGGGCCTGTTTCGTCCGCTTTGGCACCTGGGAGGGAATGGGAAAGTTAGAGTCCCGTATAGTCCCCAGAAGTAATGTAGAAGCTTCTAAACCCCAGCTCCCCTCTGTGCCCTTGAAGCTTGGCCGGGCACTAGGCAGCTGACCTCTCACCCTCACTTCCCAGCTGGTGGTCCCAGAATATTCCATCCACGGCCTCTTCTGTCTGATGTTTCTCTGTGCAGCAGAGTGGGTGACCCTGGGCCTCAACATCCCCCTCCTCTTCTACCACCTCTGGAGGTGAGGGGAGCAGCCGCCTGAGGGGGGGTGAGATGGGGGAGCAGGGAGGGGCAGGTTGGGGGTGGGAACCTTGAGGGCAGGCACTCAGGCCCCTCCCTTGCCCCAGGTACTTCCACCGCCCTGCGGATGGCTCTGAGGTCATGTATGATGCAGTCTCCATCATGAATGCTGACATCCTTAACTACTGCCAGAAGGAGTCCTGGTGCAAACTCGCCTTCTACCTGCTCTCCTTCTTCTATTACCTGTACAGGTGAGACCCTGCCCGTGGCAGTGAGAAGTCAGGGAAGGGGTGCTCCAAGCACCGTGCCTCTGATCCCAGGAATGGTTGGGCCCCAACTTCTTGCCCTTTTCCCTTGAGGACTAAGGGCAACCCAGGGTGCCACAGAGTGGGCAGCCAGTAGCCGGGTCCACTCAGGACCTGGCTCACTGCCTTGTCTTCCCGCAGTATGGTTTATACGTTGGTGAGTTTCTAAGGGGGAAGCCGGCCAGGGAGTGAGCCCAGAACGGACCGGACGCCTGTGCAACCCCAGCCCTGCTCCTCGGCCTCAGAGGCCTCAGCCCTCAGGAGGGAGGGGGCACTGGTGCCCCCAGCCTTCTCTCCATCCCCCAAACTGCTGCTGCGGGGACCTCCCGCCTTCAGAGCCCCATCGCCTTGGGCTAGGGCTGGGCAGAGCTCTAAATAGGGGCAGGGGCTTTTCTGCCAGCCTGTGGGCATGGCAGTCAATCCTGGAAGGGGTGGGATCTCCAGCCTTGTCCACTTCGGGGGAAACTTGGCCCTGCCAAGGGGCAGGGCTTGACCCTGGAAGTTCTGGGCCACCCCCTCCACCCTCACCCTGAGGCTCCCCCTGCAGGTGGGGGAGTACCCACACCGGGAATGAGCAGGCTCAGCAGCGGGGCAGCCCCACCCCTAGTCTGCCCTCTCCCCTCCCCCAGGCTCTCTCTCCAGACCCCTCCGTGTCCCCATTTGCCCCAACCCCAGCCCACCTTGTCTCTTGGACCTATTTTCTATGTTGCCTGGGGGAGTCCAGCACCCCCTCCCCGGCCATTTGTGACAAAATATGAATAAACTACTTGCAAACACCTGGGCCACAGTTCTGCTCCTGAAAGGCTTGAAGAGATGGAGGCAAAGGGACTGTAATAAAGGGGGCAGCCCTGAGCTAAATCCCTAGCACAGCCAGGCTCACCCCACTAGCCCACAGATCCCTCTAGGGATCCCCTCAAATGGATCAGAGGCCGAGGAGGTCCCCTTGGGAGCTGCCCCCTTTCATTCATGCTCATTTGCCCTGCTGAAACCTTTCCATCTGCCTTCCAAGGCAGTATCGAGGTCACCAATTCCAGGAAGCCTTCCCTGGATCTCCCTCTGCCCATACAACCCGAGCCTGGTCCCATGGACAGTACAGAGGCCCAGAAGTGTCAGCGACTCCCCTCAGTCCCCAGAAACAAGAGTCAAACAAAATCAAGGAAATCAAATCTTCAATGTGTGGAAAAATCAGTGCTAGTGGGGGCCAGGGGTCACCAGACCAGGTGGAAGGTCAGCCAGTATATGATGAGGGGCTGGAAAGCTGCAGCTCCCAGAGTCAGGTAGAGCTGGAGACGCTGCCGGGCCCCCAAGCCCCCCATGCTGTCAGGGCCCAGGGCTGCTGTACGTAAGGAGCGCACCTGAAAGGAAGAGGGTGAAGCTGGGCCAGGAGGGGGAGGCTCGCCCCCTGCTCCACCCCTGGGAAGAGGGTCCCGACTCACGATGAAGTACATGAGCGCAGACGAAGTCCAGGCTAGTGCCACGTAGTAGCCGTCACTGCCAAGGAGCAACCCTGTGAGCACACTGAGGATCATCCTGCAGGGGCGGGTGGGGAGAAGGCTGGAGACCTCCCAAGATCCAGAGATCGGCCGCCCATGAAGGCCCCGAGGCCAGCCTAGGCCCACCTCCCCACCACTGCGTCACAGGAACCTACACTCACAACAGATCCGGAAGGCCCAGGATGCAGCCCTCAGCCCTGGACCTGAGCCTACCCCAGCTCAAGGCCCTTCTCCCTAATCCCCCAGGGTGATTTTCAGTGTATTCCTGACTTCTAGAACACTACCGGGTTCCTGAGACTGACAACAGTCAGTTTCTCTAACAGAGTCAAGAGCTAGAGGCCCAAAGAAGGCAGAGTGGTATCCAGGGTCACAGCTAGAATCTACAGCTATGCAGACCAGGGACCCACGGTGGCAGGCCTCTCCCCGAGAGCAGCCCCTCACCTGGCCCACGAGTACTCACCCCACATATTTGTAGCCACTGTAGGCCAGTAGGTGGAAGGTGCTCAGGTCACTGCGCACAGTGGCCACGTAGATTCCCAGGAGCAGGGCTAGCACCTCCATCACGACCCACACCAGTGCCGTGCTTGCACACAGACCTAGCATCTCTGGAGAGAACCTGTGGCCACATGGGGTTGGGAGTGAGGGGGTGTTCAGAAGTAGCCATCCTGTGGCAGGTATGACATTCGGGGCATAGTGTGGCCTCAGGACCTGGCACAGATCCCCTAGGGAGCTGAGGAGTCAGGATGGAGGGGAGGTGGTAGGACCCAGGAGGGGGTTGACACTGACCTTTTCTGAATGCCCAGTGCCATCCCAGCCAGCAGTACATAGGTGATGAAGGCCATTGCTGCCAAAAGCCATTGAGATGCCATCAGCCTGGTTTCCTCAATCAGAGTCCAACCCCACTAGGCATTCCAGGCCACTGACACCTATTTTCCCTCCAATACTTCCTTCCCTGCATATCCCAACATGCCCAACCTCCACACTCAGCTCTGCCTGGGGTACCTTTCTCTGTTCAGCCTTCTCCCTGTGTAAATGCCACCTGACCCTTCTCTCAGGACCATCATGCTACTTCTTTCCCTGTCGCTGTGTTAGAAAACTCACCAAGAAACTGTATCACACGCCAAGGGCACTGCTCATCCTAGACCAACAGCAGGGGCCACATTCATCTCAGGCAAGACTGTACGACCAAAGTGCAGCCTTGGCGGACAACCCAGGTTGTCCTCAGAGTCCAAGCCACGGGGAAGACTTCACCTCACCCAGAAATTTCAGTGGCCATCAGCACTGGCACTGGCCCTGGCTCTGGCCGCCTTGCCAATACAAATAGCTCCACATTTACCTCTGCCATTTTCATGAAAGCTCAGAGCCAGAGGGAGCTGGGCTTTCACAGCCGTTTTAAATTATCAGTCCTGTCCTCTGCCCCCTTGAAGCACCAGAACTGATGTGCCCATCAGAGGGCACAGTATCTGCAATCAGGAAACCAGCCTCAAAGGTACTCAAGTCTACCTGAACCTTGGCTTCAACACACAAAACGGGGATGGCAGTTTCCACTTTACATGGTGGCTCCAAGAAGGAAAACAGAATGAAGGCTGAAAGAACCCAGATCCCTCTGGGGGCAACTGGGTTGGCTGGCTGCCCTCAGTCTGCTCTCCTGGTAGCTCTTCCAAGGGCTGGCCCCAGCACACTCACCCCCCTCTAGAGTGTCCACCATGGGCCTCACCTTGTGCAGGCCCCAGGACAGAGTGCCATCTGCGAGCCACAGCACACTGCGGTGGCCTGACCAATGCCATGTGGATGGACAGTTGTGGGAACCCAGAAGGGAGTAGCGACTTCCAAGGGAGGGGTGTTGGAGCAGGCCTTGGGGGACAAGTAATAAGGATGGCAGCAGCTAATACCTTATGCTTCCTACTACATGCCAGGTCCTGAGCACACCTTACCCACTGAATCTCAACAAAAATCCTTTGTGGTAGGGACTTGTTATTCCCATTTTACAGAAGAATTAAAGTAGGCCAGCCTGAGGTCTTATGGATGGAAGTTGCAGGGCCACATCTAAATCCAGGACTCCAGGCTAGGGAGGGACATGGTCCAAGTCAAGAGGCAGGAAGGTTTCAAAAGGGAGGACCTAGAGCGCACACCTGGGAAGCTCCTTACTGGCCACCCTGCTCCATCTCCCTGGTATCTAGCAACTGCCACACATAAAAGCACCAAGAGCAGATGCTGAGTCAATGCATGAGCCTCTCTTCTTGATGCTTCAAGGCACAAGTTTCCCCACATTCCCCAGCCCAGGTCAAAGACTCACTGGGGATATAGAGGTCGGGGGCGTTGAGGTCCTGCCGTGGGGGCAGAGGCACATCACGACTGTACTGCACTTCCCAGTTCTGGCAGCCAGGTCAGAAGGAAAAGACAAGAGAGGATAGAAGGGGGTTGAGGTCTTGGGGCAGGATGAGGGAGGCAAGGGGTTTGCTTCCCAATCCTCATCTGGTTAGCAGCTCACCTGGTGTGTGTAGGGGAAGACCAATAGCCCTAGCTTCTTGGCCACATAGGTAGTGTCCACAGCGAAAAAATACTTGAGTTTGTTCACAGACACAAAACGGTGCAGCTGGGAGGGGAGAGAGTAGGCAGTGGGTGAGCTGCACCCTGAACCCTAACCCTAACCTCTGTGTTCTCCTTCCCTGAGGGCTGCAGTGAGGATTAGGTGGGATCCTGTGATGCCCCAGCCCTGGCCAGATATCCTGCCACCCTTGCCCTGGGGGCAGGCCACACCTCCTTGTGCACCATGTCCTTCCCATGGGATGCGATGGAGCTGCCGTAAGCCACAGCCATATTGGCCATTGGGTCCCCAAGCAAGTGGTTGACATTGAAGGCCACATCAGCTCCTGGGGCTGGGTATCCCCCTGCCTGGCTGGAGTAACCACTGCTTGTGTCATCGAAGAGGGGAGGAGGATCTGGAGCTGCCCGGGCTCTGTGCTTGGAGCCTGTGGGTTTGTAAGTACCAGAGTAGCTGAAAGGAAAACCAAGCATGAGCACAAACCACCTCCCCTTCCCTGTATGGGTCCTGGGAGCACCAAGCAATCAGTAAGGGAAACCCTGGCTGGATGGTAGTAGCTAACTGAGAAAGAACTTTGATGAGGGACACTTTCAAGAGTTGCTAAATGTGGGCAAAGAAAGAGCTGGAGCAATGCCTGGAAGTGGTAGCCCACCTGGGCCTTCTCAAGGGAAGTGATCTCTGAACTGAGCCTTAGAGAGTGAACAGAAGTTTCCAAGGTGAAGAAGTTTCCTAGGGCATCCCCGCAGAACAAGGGTGGGAAAGGCAACGCCTGGGTACCCGGAGGTCGGGTACTACTAGGATCATGACAGGGGAAGGAAATTCTGGAGGCACACCCCGTTCATGCTCGGGTTGGGTATGGGGATCCCAGCTGTGCTGTCACTCCCCGATCTCAGGATTGGGCCTAGAGGGCGAAGTCCGGGACGCGTTGCCAAGTCGAGGGGAGCAGGAACCTGAATTACACCTGCCGTCCCGGGCAGCGGTCACGGCCGCCCCTCTCCCTCAGCAAGCGGGCCGCGCCACTGACCTCCCTTTGGCCAGTCGGGCCGCGCCCCGCCCGCCCCGCGCCCCACGCACCGTGGGCTCCGTAGCCCGCGTGATAAGCCATGACCGCCGCTCGCTCTCCCCTACGGCCTGCTGCACCACCTCGTGGGTACGAATCCTAATGAGGCAGCTGCTCTGTTCCCTGGACACCGACAGAGATTACCGAGCAGCCCGACACGTCCCCGAGTTCTTCGACCGCAGCCGCCATATCCATAGCGTCATCCTCCGCCGCCTGCCATTGGCTCCTCAGAGGAGCCGGCTGACTCCTCCCCTTTCTCAATTGGCTACTGTCGTACCCTCGCAAAAGCGGATTCGACAGTAATGAACTTCCGGGCAGGGAGATAGGCGGAGCAATTCGAGGCGCTCTCGGATTGGATAGTGTTTGCTACTTCCAGATGAGTAAAGGTAGGATGGTATCGAGAATTATTATTGCGCCTGCGCAGTGCAGCACTTGACGCTATCCCTGCCACGACTGCACCAGGCTGAGACCCGCCGGAAGCTGGAGTCCTGGAACTAAGCTTCATTCGCGGGACGTACTCCAAGAGGGAGTGGAGTTGTGGGACTCGGCAAAGTCCGCCCTTCGGAGCTCCTACCCTTCCTTCTCAGCGCTCGCTTTCCTTCTTTGTCCTCCCCGTACTCCCAGAGCCCCCAGTCGTGGCAAGGAGCCTGGACAGCTGGAAGGGTTGGTGGGAGGCAGGGCCGGGCAGTAGCAGCGCCTTCGAGCCCGCCTCCCACCCCTCCTCGCCGCACGGGTGCTGTCCGTCGTACAGTGCTGAAATGCTTTATCGCCCTTGCTGCCATCCTGCAGACCCCCCTGCTGCCTACTGCTGGGCTCTCTCCCTCTCTCTCTCTCTCTCTCTCTCTCTCTCTCTCTCTCTCTCTCTCTCTCTCTCTCTCTCTCTCTCTCTCTCTCTCTCCGTCTCTCTCTCCCTCCCTTACCACCTCCCTCTCTCTCTCTCATTACACATATTGAAAAACTGAGGTCCACCAGATCTGCGTGGTATAGATAGCTGAGGCCGATTTGGAGGTACGGGCGTGCTGATACGGCTGATTAAGCTAACGTTGAAATTCCTGAGTCATTGCCGGCCCTCCGGTCATCTCAAAGCACAGTGAGACTCCTCAAACCTTACTCGTGAGCCAGGGGGCTCCTTTCTCTTCACCCAGTTTCTGACCACTCTCACCCTCCCCCGACAGTCTTCAGGGGCCTCCCTTTCCACAGACCTTCAGCCATTACTTTCTAGAGAGCAAGATCAGGTCCTCTGTGACCTGTCTCTAGTTAGCTACCCAGTGTCCAGTTACACCAGGTGACCTTCCTGCTCTCAGAGTTCAACCCAATCACAATGCCTTTACCAAGAAGAAGTTCCCTCCAGCTGAGATGACCTTTCTCCCTGTACCCATATGTCAAAATCCTAGTTATCCTTTAAGAGTCAGTTCAACCTCTGCCCCTCAGCAAGACAAAGGGAACAGAAGCCTGACTGACTTGGGATGGAGGCAAAAGTCTGAGTTCTAAGCCCCCTCTGGGTACACCAGTTTGCCCAGGTGTAAATTCCCTGAAGACAAGTCCTGTGCCATTCTCTATTCCTGTTCATGTCTTCACAGTGCCAAGCACATTTCTTGCATATAGAAGACACCCAGTAAACATTTGTGTTCAATAAATAAGAGGATGAAACCCTGGGTCAGTCCTCTCTTCTCTACCATTTCAGTTACCTCATCTTTAAATGGGTAGCGTTGTTGAACTGAATAGTTATCCTTTGGGAAAAAAAATCACTAGACGAATCAAAACTCACTTAGCATTGCAGCTCCCCATGTGCCATCCACTGATTGTCTGCCTTGGGGGCAGCCCAGACCCAGGGGCAGTGTGAAGGTCTGAGGACCCTGAGGGTCAGGGAGCAGCACCGGGAACACGGGCTCCTGGGAAGGTGCCCTCCCATGCAGGACAGATTCCACTCCACCGTATCGCATGACGAATGCTGGTGTGTTGAATCCAACACCTTTCCATCCCCATTTTTCAGATGGAAAAATTGAGGTTGGCAGTGCAGAGTGCCGACCCAGAGGCCTGCAACCTAGCGCCCCAGGTGTCCTGGCCCCCCACCTGCTGCTCTAAGTGGAGCCTCGAGCCTCTGTCCAGCTACTGAGGTTCATCACACCTCTCTGGGCTGTAACTTCCCCCCGCCCTACAAGCGGGGCTGCTGGGGTGAGGTCTGGGCCCGTTTTAGGCCTGGGCCTACTCCTCAGAGATGGGGCCCCGTCGGTACCCACCCATCTTCAAGATTCCCCCTCCTCATTTTACGGGGGGGAGCGGGGTACTCAGGCCCCAGGGAACAAGGACTCGACCAAGGTCGCGAGTGCGAGCGCGACAGAAAGGAAGCGCGGGTGTCGGTCCGCGCAGTCTGGGCTTCTGGAGCTCTGGGGCAGAGCCCGCGGTGCCAGGCGCGGCTGGAGGCGCCGCCGGTGCCGCGGGGGCGGGGTCAGCGGAGGGCGGGGCGCCCGGCACTGTGGCCGCCAACGCCGCTGCCGCCGCCGCCGCCGAGCTCGGGCTCGAGCTCAGCGCACTCCTCCGCGGCCGCCGAGCGGAGCGGACGCCCTCCGGGGCCGCGCCGCAACCCCCCGCGCTCCCACTTATCATGCCCCGGGCCCGGGCCCGGGCCGCCCAAGCAGCAGGAGCACCATGCCGGAGGTTGGCGGTGGCGACGGCGGGGAGGTGCCTGCGCTCATCCCGGACTGCGAGCCGCTGCGGGAGGAGGTACCGGTGCTGTGTGGCGGGGGGTCGGAGCCGCGGCTGGAGCGGGGTGAGGGGCACCAGGGAAGACACAAACCCTGGGCCCTGGGCGGAGGAGGGAGGGCCCCGAGCCCCTGCAGCCAATTACGTCATCGGGGTAGCCTGAGTCCCGCCAGGGGCCCGGGGGCCTAGGGGCCAGCGTAGGGATAGGGGTGGAATGGCTGGGAAGGGATGAGGGGGCGACTCCCGCCTTCGGCGCCCCCTAGTCCGGCCTTGCCCTCCTGTGACGTCAGCGTCTGGCTCCCGCGCTTCCCCATTCCGCAGCGCTGCCCCTCATCCCCACAGCCCCGGGGTCAGGCCCCCAGCCCGGCCTAGCAGCTCACGAGGTGCACGGGCTGCGCCTGCAATGCAGCAGCAATAGCAGGGACTTGGGGATTGGGGAGGGGAGCAGAGGGAGGAGAAAAAAGAGGAAAAGAGGTGGCCAACGGTAAGGTGGCCTAAGGTGGCCTAAGGCCCCATCCTGCTTGCTGGGACCCCCAAGAAGGCCCGTCTTCAGCCCTAGACAGGAAGAGGATCTGCAGGGGTATGCAGCCCTGTATAGGTATTGAGGGTGGTAGGTGGTGAGTGGGTCTATATGTGTCTCGGTGAATGTAGTGTGTTTGTGGGTGTGTGAATGCCGGTTGTGCTCCCCACACGTTGGGTGGGACTTATGCCCCCTAAAGTCAGGTGAGGGTCTGGTGGGTCCTTTAGCTTGGGTGAAGTGGTAATGCATAAGTGCATGCAAATGTGTCCTGTCTTCCTGCCGTGGATAAGTCTCTCCATGTTGAGTCTGTAGGGTGTGCGGTGTGTCAGGCTGCGGTAGGGGTGGGGGTTGGGGACGTGCACTGTGGGCAGGTGAGAGTGTTCCTGGGCTTCAGTGAATGTGTAATGTGTATGTGCATGTGTGTCCTGCAGCGGGTGGGTCTGTGGGGTGCATGCATGCACCTGTGCACCATGTTATGTTTGTGAGGGGTTGTGCCCTGGGCACAGGTGGGGGTCTTATGTGTCTTAGATGAGCAGGCAGCTTGTACATCTGTGATGAGTGGGTCTGCAATGAGCATGTAGGGTGGAGCAGAGATGAGTGGGTGTGTGCAGCTGGCTGGATCTGCAGGTCAGGGTGGTGGTATGCACCTGCGGTGAGAGATTGGGGGATAGGGCAGGCTGCCCTAGTCTGGGATGAGGGTGGTTCCTCTTCCTTTGGGTTTCTCAAGGCCTGGTGGGGCTATGGTGGGAGAGGTGGGCCCCTAACCCCACCTCTGCTGCTTCCACCAGACCACTTCCATCTTCTCCCCTTTTTACCCCTCGTCTTCCCACACCCTCCCCAGCCTTCTCTCTCCATAGGCATCTGGGAATGAGGTGCCTGCCAGGCTAGGGACCCTGCCAGGGAAGGTGGGCCAAACCCTCTGGGCCAGGGAGTGGCCTCTGCTGCCCAGCAGCTGTGTCCCGCCTCCTCCTTCAGCACAGATGGGGAGAGGAGGATGACACTCCATCTGCTGCCCCCAAACTCACACCTCCCCCATTCCCAGCTCTTCCTCTTTCTCACTTACTTAAAAGCCTCTCCCGGGTCTCCTGCTGTCTCTAGTGCAACCAAGGGACCAGAGGGAGTTTCGGGGTAACAGTGATAACATCGATTCCCATGGTCAGAACCTGAGATTGTCACCCGTATGATCTCATTGGATCCTCACAACAACGAGTTTACAGGTGAGGTGGCTGAGGTCCAGAGAGGATAAGGGATCTGCCCAAGCACAGTAAGTGCTGAAGCCAGCCGGGATCCTGGGCAGTGGGGCTTCAAAGCCCATGCTCTTCATTCTTAGGACCCCTGCCACCCCACTCCTCCACACCATAAGGTCCATAAATCAAGGCCGAGAGAGGGCAGGAATATGACCAAACCACACAGCAAATTAGGGGCAAAGCCAGGACCAGAACTCAGTTTCTCAATGGCTGGTCAAGGGGTCCTTCTTTCCCTTGGCAGAGATGGGACTGTTCTGTCCTAGGTGCTCTTTACTGGGAAACACACAGTGGAAGATGCGCTGGAGGCAGATAGGCCTGAGTTGGAGTCCTAGAGCTCTACTGTGAGTTCCCTGGAAGGGTGAGGCCTGGACCACTCAGTCCCTCTGCACCTCAGCTTCCTCCTCTGTAAAGTGGGGAGTGTAGCACCACCTCCTTCACGAGCTTAAGTGGAGCGGCAGGCACAACTGATGGTCTTGTCCTGACCCATGCCTCCCCTCTCTCCACCCACCCTGCAGCAGCGGCCCCTGAAACAGTCCCTGGGAAGCTCCCTGTGTCGCGAGTCGCACTGGAAATGCCTGCTCCTCACGCTGCTCATCCACGCCTGTGGTGCCGTGGTGGCATGGTGTCGCCTGGCCACAGTGCCACGGCTGGTCCTGGGGCCAGAGGCAGCCCTGGCCCATGGGGCCGGGGGCCCACCACCCACCTACCCAGCCAGCCCCTGCTCTGATGGCTACTTATACATCCCACTGGCCTTTGTCTCCCTCCTCTACCTCCTCTACCTGGCTGAGTGCTGGCACTGTCATGTGCGGTCATGCCAGGCACCGCGCACTGATGCCAATACCGTGCTGGCCCTGATCCACCGGCTGCAACAGGCACCACCTTGTGTCTGGTGGAAGGCCACGAGCTACCACTATGTGCGGCGCACCCGCCAGATCACCCGCTACCGGAATGGCGATGCCTACACCACCACACAGGTCTACCACGAGAGGGCTGATAGTCGCACAGCTCGTGGCGAGTTTGACTACTCAGCCCACGGTGTCCGCGATGTCTCCAAGGAGCTCGTGGGCCTGGCCGACTACGCTGCCACGCGGCTGCGCTTCACCAAGTGCTTCAGCTTCGGCAGCGCTGAGGCTGAGGCCTCATACCTCACCCAGAGGGCCCGCTTCTTTAGTGCCAACGAGGGCCTGGACGACTACCTGGAGGCCCGCGAGGGCATGCACCTGAAGGATGTGGACTTCCGTGAATCCCTCATGGTCTTCGCCGACCCCCGCAGCCCTCCTTGGTATGCCCGCGCATGGGTCTTCTGGCTGGTGTCAGCGGCCACGCTGTCCTGGCCACTGCGCGTTGTGGCGGCCTATGGCACAGCCCATGTGCACTATCAGGTAGAGAAGCTTTTTGGCGCTAGTTCGCCCCCTCCTGGCACTGTGCCCAGCGGACCCCCACTCTCCCGTGTGGCCACAGTGGACTTCACTGAGCTCGAGTGGCACATCTGCTCCAACCGGCAGCTGGTGCCCAGCTACTCAGAAGCGGTGGTCATGAGTGCCGGTTCCGGTGCCTACCTCCGTGGCTGCCAGCGCTGCCGACGTTCTGTCAGCAGCAACTCGCTGCCCCCTGCCCGGCCCAGCGGGCCCCGCCTGCCTTTCAGCCGCAGCCGCCTCTCGCTGGGAGCTGGGGGCCGGGCCACACCAGGCGTCTTCCGGAGCCTGAGTGGGGGGCCACTGGGACGCCGTGGAGAGGACACGGAGCCCCTGGAGAGCCCACCATGCTACGAGGACGCCCTTTACTTCCCGGTGCTCATTGTCCATGGAGACAGCGGCTGCCAGGGGGATGGGCAGGGCGGACTCTGACTCCCACGCTCTCCGGAGTGTCCTCCTCCCCACCAGCCTACCACGGGCTTCGATGCCTGAGTAATTACCCAAAACAGGAGGGAAAACAGACCAGCACACAAGCGTGGGGTGAGGGTGCAGCCTTTAAACAGTCTACAGTGCAGTAACAGGTGGTCCTTTTGAGGGCAAATGGGCACCACCAAAGTTGAGCCTATGAACCATCCAGCGCGGCTCCTCCCACCATCGCCAGGCTTCACTTTCTGGTGGCAGATGAGCTGCCTCAGGGGCCCCTCAGGCTGCACAGGGGAGGAAGTTTCCAGAAAACCTGAGGTGGGGGAGGAATCCCCGGGACAGCTGTTGCCTGCCGCAGAGGGCTGCCTGTGGGCTCTACTCTGCATGGCGGAGGCCACACGGGGAGCCCTTGAACAACTGAGAAGCACAAATTGGTGGTTTGGGGCCACGCCTAGCTGGGCTAGCCTCCTCCGTGAAGCTGAAGAGCCCCCTTCGGCAGCACCATGGTCCCGGCTCCTTTACCAGCCCTAGTCCCCATCCTCCTCGCCGGACAGGCCCCTCCCTGCCTGCTGCCCGGCCTCTGCACAGGGCCAGTCCTGATCAGACCCTGGGGTGCGTCCCTGCGGCTGGGAGCCGGGTCCTTAGAGTGCAGCCTTGCCCCACCCTGCCTCCACTGTTTTCCCTGCCATACCCTCCTTCAGCTCCCTCTAAACCTGGGGTTCCTCCTCAGGGCCCTACCTTGATCTCACATCCCCTGGTCTCAACTCCTGTCCTCCTCCTCCAGGCCCACATCCACCTCTGTCAGCCACCCCCCACTCCCCCAGGCTTTGTCCTCTCATCGCCCTGTGGACTTCTCTGCCCTTCACCTTCTGGATGACCCATAGAGCCCAGGGTCACAGGGCATTCGAGGGGCCTCGGCCTTGGCCACAGCCTCTTGGACGGTGCCCTTGCTCTGCCATGGAGGCCCCTGCTTCCCTCAGTGGGCCCTGGCCCAGGGGACACCATCCCTCCCCCAGGGAGGAGAGAATAGTCCCTTTCTTCCAACCGGGACTTCCACCCCCTCTCAGGGGCCGGTGGGGTTGGGAGGAGGCAGAGAAGATGCAGATAAAATAAAAGGTATGAAATGGAAGGTCTTCTCATGTGCATTCCTGAGTGGTGGGTCCAAGGCCACCAGTACAAGTGCAATGGGCCGCCCTGGGTCGGGGTGCAGTGCAGCTTCAGGCCCCAGCATTCCCAGGAGCAGGTAAGCTGAGAGGGAACCTTCCCGTCCCGCCTCTGAGACTCAGGTTTGAGTTGCTCTGGGCAGCTGACTCTAATCAGCTGGTATCTGGGTCACTTCTAAGGCATTGCCCAGCATTCCCTCTGCCAGCACAGTGGGGCTTTCCATTCTGCTGCTGGGTGTGCTGAGGACTAAGGGACTATCGGCTGGTCCCCACAGCGGGAAGAAAGAGCTGCGGCCTGTGGCCCAAGTTCAGTTCCCCTGCGGGCTGTTGGCGTTAGAGATCCAGGGGAATAGGCGCTGAGCATGTTGAAGGACATAAGCAGGAAACAGCCGGCCCCACTCAGGGCATGGGCTCTAGAGGCAGAGAACAAGGGCAAAGGAAGGGCCTCACTTACTGATCAAGCTAGAGAGGTCGCTGGAACTGGTATCTTCACATGCCCAGCTGTGCAGGGGGTTCACTGTGCAAGCACACCAGGCTGAGGGGCACCTGTGGGTAGAATCCAGCCCATGGGCCGCTTCTCGAGCCCTGGCACGGAACTGCTTCCATTTGGCTAAATCCATGCAAAGGCACCAGAAGGGCTATTGGCGGTGCTAGAAGGGCGCTGCGGATTTCCCTGGGCAGAGACAGAGCAGAGTGTTCTGGGCAGAGGGGGCCGCCCACAGAAAGGCCTGGGTGCGGGGCAGGAAGCAAGGAGCCCCATGGAAGAGTCGGCTGAGGCCTTCAATACCAAATCACAGAATTTGTCCTTAAACTGGGGCAAATGAGCCATGAGGTGACTGAGCAGGTAAGGTCAGGGCTGCATGTTAGGTTTTAGGCAGCAGTCCAGCTGCCTGCCTGCCACGTGGTGAGGGGAGGGCCAGAGAGCAGAGCTTTCTCTGGGCATCAGCCCACCGCCTCACTTCCTTGGGGGTGATGTCAATTCTTTGTTCAGAAGCAACTTAGATGGAAAACTCTTTGGTGCCCAAGCATTCAAGAAGGTGTATGGGCAGCGGACCAACGTGCTTGCCAGTGTGGCTCCTTTGTGGGCAAGGTTCCCCCTCCCATTGTCCTGTTCTTAACAGCACAGCCACCAGCTGCCTGCCAGCCACTATCCATTCTCAGTAACAGAACCCCAGTTTTACTTCAGATGGCAATGAGCCCGGCTAAAAGGCAACATTTCCAGCCTCCCTTGTACATACTGTGTGGCTGTGTGACTCAATTTTAAGAAAGGAAATATAAGCAGAAGGTATGGGAAAAGATTTTTTAAATGCTCCTTGAAATAGAAACAATATTGGTGAAGGCTAGTTCTGTCCTCTTGCTTCATCTTGCATTCATCCTGGAATGCAGAGGTGATAGTTGGCACTCCAGCAGCTATCTTGCATCAGGAGGCAACCTTGAGAATTGAAGTCATGTGCTGAGAATAGCAGAGGATCAGAGTAAAAGACGTTGGTTTCTGATGACAACATAAGAGCTACTTCCAGACTCTCAATGAGAAAAAGAAATACACTTCTAGTTTCTTAAAGCCGCTGTTTTTTTCTTGTTTCTATTACTGGCAGCTTATATTATCTACTGCTGCATAACAAGGTATCCCAAAACTTAGTGGCTTAAAACATCAATAATCATTATCTCTCCTGGTTTCTGTGAGTCAAGAAATCAGACAGAGCAAACAGGGGTGGCTTATCTCTGTTCCAGGACATTTAGGCCTCTGCTGGAAAACTCAAAAGCCAGGGCTGGAATCATTTGAAGACTCATTCACTCACATGTCCGGCATGTCTGCCAGAGGCTGTAGTGCATCTGCTCCAACCAGTTTCTGTCCAGAATGTCAACAGAGCCCCAAATTAATTAGCAAGTTTTCAGTAACCCAGGGTCATACTCCAAACGACAGATGTATTTTTCTTCTCTTTGCTGTTTTAAAAACATAAAATGAAACTGATCAAAATAAAATACTGACTTTTTTCAGTAAAAGAGTTTCAATGTATGTTATTAAGGACAATAACAATGTCTTATAAAAGACTGCAACAGTATAAAGACTATAATTTTAATAAAAACCAATTCCAACCCTTAAAAATCCTTATAAAGCAAAATATATGATCATTCAAAAATTCCAACAATATGGACATTTATGAAGTGTGGAGCTGTAGGTCCCTGCTGCACTTTGATGCACTCAGTCTGTTTCCAGAGCCAAATTGGGAAAGCAAGGGGTGGGGAGTGCTGGGGCCCCCTAGGTGGTGGTGGCACTGCTGGTGGCTTCCAGGATCCCCCAGCCTTGCTGTGGTGCCATGGAAATTCAAATCTCTATCTTCAACTTGAACACTGTTTTGAGCTCTGGATTTGGTGACCTCCAGACACCAAAGACTCTACAGATCCCAGACCAACTGGACATCTGTCTTCACAGTGGCTGCTTCTCCCACGACTCTGCTCCCACGTGGCTTAAAACATCAATAATCATTATCTCTCCTGGTTTCTGTGAGTCAAGAAATCAGACAGAGCAAACAGGGGTGGCTTATCTCTGTTCCAGGACATTTAGGCCTCTGCTGGAAAACTCAAAAGCCAGGGCTGGAATCATTTGAAGACTCATTCACTCACATGTCCGGCATGTCTGCCAGAGGCTGTAGTGCATCTGCTCCACTTGGGAGCCAAAACCCAGTGGCCATCACTCCTCTTCATGTTCAGCCAGTCGCTGGGCTCTATACAGATCTACCTGCCAGCCCCTCTCAATTTTGCTCTCTGCTCCCATCCCAACTCCGCCTCTCCTAGGTTCAGGGCACCGCCTCTCATGGGCAGGACCCAAGTGGTGGCACCATACATATGCTCTCCTGTCCGGCTTCTTTTGTACCCATGATCCCCTGTGGAGTCTCTGAAGCATAGTAGGCTCTCAGAACATAATGGATAAATAAGTGATGGCTTATCATTTTCGTGGGCAGGGGGTTCCAGTGGCCTCCACCTGACCCTTCCCCCTGTAGTAGCTCTTGTTCCTGTGGCGATATGGAGCTCTGTGTGTGTCAGAAGTGTCCTACACTTAGGGAAGATAGCCGTAGCTAGCTGTGAGTGAGCCCTGCAGTGGAGGACAATACTAGAGCAGAAAATAAAATCTAGTCATGGTTTGCTTTTCATGAGATAAACAGCCACTACAATGCGGCCTGCTGCTTTAAACCCAGTTGGTGGGTTTGTAACTGGGAGCTGTCCCCTCCTCTTCAACTGACAAAATCACAGGCACAAGACCTCAGGAAGGCTAAATGGGTAATCCCTCCTCAGAATGTACATTTTAGGCAAAGTCTCTAAGGTCCTAAGCATGGCTGGGGATGAGCCTCGGGCAGTGGCCTGATCCCACTGCTCCAGAGTCCCTGCTACAGCCTCGTGGGCTGCCCAGCCTCTGCTGGCTTCAAGTCTGACTTCCGGCCCACCTGAACCTCACAGCTCCAGTACCCTACCAAAGATTCCTGTTTACTTGCTCTCTGTCAAAGGCCCCTGACAGGCTGGGGGCCACGTGCTCCTGGGAGAAGACCATTTGAGACCTCTTCTCTTTTGGGGGTTTATGGTGATTAAGTGGCCCCCGATGGCTGGAGATAGGCCCGAATTGAGATCGAATGGCAGGAAAAATCTCAGAGGAGCTCCCAGAGAGGGATGACCATGGTGTGGGTGTAGCCAGACAATTCAGCACCGGGGCCCAGATGGGTCCTAGAGGAAGGCCAAAGCTGAAAACACCTCCTGACCCAGCCCCACACTCCAGTGGCTGTGACGGCTGTGACAACACACTGGCCCCTCCAGCCACACGGCCACGTGGCCAGGAATGCCTGTTGTGTGATGATAAACAGCCACAGCGCCTCGGGTTAGTGGCTCTCCCAGCTGTCTGGGCTGTGGCATAAAGCAGCTGGCAATTTTCAAGTAGCAGTTTCTCTCCCTAATAAACAGCCAATGATAAACAATAGGTTTTCTGTCCCACTGGCTGCTCCTCTGCAGGACCGGCTCCCTGGGGTTAGTGGCACCTCACACCAACCTAGGACTCTTTTCCTGGTCCCTAAGTGTGGATGGCAGAGTGATGGCCCCAAGTATGTCCACACTCTCACCTCCGGAACCTGTGAATGTGTTCCCTACACAGCAGCAGGCACATGGCAGATATGGTTACAGTGAAGAGCCTTGGAGCAGGGAGCTTGTTATCCTGAAATACCCAGGTGGGACACCCATTTTAACCAGCCCTTTGGGTGCTTCTTTGATCGGCCTATTTTTGATGATTTCATTCAATTCTCCAAGAATGGAGAATCAGGGGAACCTAGCGAGACTCAGTCTGTGGCTCGGGCAGCTAATGAGTGCAATAGATTGGTATTACCATGCCTTTCTCCTGAAGTCCAGGAGTTCTTTCCTCGGTATTGTTCCAAGGGAAATCTGACTTTTCCTCACATGGGTTAAGGTCCAGGCTGGAGCAAGCCCTATGGAAAAAGCTACCACCAGGTGACTGTGTTAGGGCAAGCAAGTCCAGCTTCCCCACGGGCCCCCAAGACAATCATGTGTCAAGACCGAGATATATACTTTCTTGGCCTGGTGGCGTACCCCCAAAATCTGAATTTGCATGTTCTTCCGAGGCTCTCAGCATTCATCCTGGTTGTGATATTGTCTTGCTAATCTGATTTTGCACAGCACCAGCGGCCCGTTTGGGTTTCAGTCCCACCCCATTATCAGTTACCCTGGGACAATCAGGCCATGGAGAAAGGGAAGGGAAGGGCTAGAAGACCCACACCTTCCTCCTCCTCCTAGCTTCCTCCTTCAGGTTTCTGGTGTCTAACAAGACCCTTCCTTTGATGCAGGGCCCAGGGCATTGCAGCAAACTCACAGGGACACCATGAAATACTGTGAAACTTTGAGAGAAATGCAGAGATACCAGACATCTGTCAAACAACTGGCAAACCGCTAGCTTGAGGTAGTTCACAGTTTCAACATTTGATTGCTCTACATTCCTTTTGATGATACGATATTTTTGCAAAGCTGGGTTTTTGGCAGCTGCCACGATAAAAAGCAAGTGCCACTGGGAAAGTGAATGTGGAACAGCATATGAAGGTGGTGATGTCCAATCTGATTCCAAGTTTCGAGAAGTTGTGCAGTGCCCAAGTGGCACACACATCCCATTAGCAAATGACTGTGGTTATTTAAGAATAAAATAAAATATTCTTGTATTTTTCAATGTCTGTGTGTTATTTTTTCAAATGACTACTGAGGTATTAAAACGCAAGTATTATGTTGTTTGGACCTAAATGGAGCTGTTAGTATTTTTTCAACCCTAGGGTGTCATGAAAAGCTCACTGAGATATTCAGGATACGGGGAACTGAAGGAGTTTGAGAACCTCTGCAGAGAGGTTTTGGCGGGTGTGAGACACCAGTCCACCGATTCAGCTCTCCCACGATCAGTTTCTAGACCCCGTCTTCAGGGCTACCCAGTGGCAGCTACAGCACACAGCATTTCTGGGGCAGGTTCCTGCAGCCACCCTGAAGACCCTCACTGGCTTCCAGCAGGAAATCTGGACTCTGCTCACAGAGTCCTGTCTCCTCTCCCACAGATTCTTGTGGCTCTAGTGCTTATTATAGTATTCCCACTTTTCAAATGAGGAGGCAAACATTGAGCGATTAGGGAGCCAGCCCTTAGGTAGTGGAACTGGAATTGAAGCAAGGCTGTCTGGTGCAGAGTGCCTGCCCGTCATGAGCCTGGTTGGCTTCCTGGAGAGAATCCTGGAACTCAGCAAAACCATGCTAAAGCGCGGCCACTGCCAGGGGCCCTAAAGCTGTACTTTGATTTAGCCCCTTGTCTGGCTCCCGCAAGGTCACAAGCAATGCCTCCCTTCACCAAAACCACACTGAGTGACTCTTCCTCCGGGAGGAAGGCTTCAGCCATCCTCCCACCCAACCCCACTGTGTTCCGCTGGGGAGTCCCATCTTGCAGCCTCACCCATGAAAGTGAGTTCCCTGGGAGGTGGGCATTTTCTGATTGGAGACACGGTTGTCATTGTCATTATGGGCTGCTTTTCTCTGGGGTTGAAGATCACAGAATCTATCTGGGTTCAAACCTCCATTTACTAACTGGGTCACATAGGGCAGGTGGCTTAAGCACTCAGGCAAGTGCCTTCAGCCTCCTCCATCTGTGAATCATAATAGAATAGTACTTCATGGGGCTTGTGATGGATCTTAATGGGTCAAGATATGTAAAGCTTTAGCATAGGACGTGGTATGTAAGTGCTGTGAGCATTCACTATTATTTTCATTATTATTGTTTGGCTGCAAACCCTACTCCTGTTCACAGCGGCCAGGGCACCAGGGGTAGAATCTCGTCTGGAAGGTGTCCCACTCTGCAGCTCTGAGGTTGTTGGGAGGTGGTTGTGTTGGGTGCCCAGCTGGGTGCTAGTACCTAGCTGAGCTTGCTAGGTGTTAATTCGGCCACCCTCAACTTTAGCTCCCAGGCTATCCCAGGAATGTTTGAAAAACATTTGGTTGAGCCCCTAGCGCTAAACTCCAGAGTATCTTACCTTCCTGGAGCCCCAGTCTAGTGTGGGAGTGAGTAGGCGAATATTCTCAAATGTAGTGATGAATGCTAATGACACAGAGTCGCCCTGAGATCAATCCCGCCCCAAAACTGCGACTCTCAGCTGCCCGCTGAGGGCCTCTGAGTCCAAACCCACGCCTTCCCGACACACACCCCTGTAGGGATGGTGTCCACACTTTGGAGCTGGGTCGGGAGGAGAGGACCCAGACCTAACAATTCTGGGCATCTAGGTGAGAGGCTGTGCTTTCGCTCCCGGGAAACAGGATCTGTCTTAAGGTTACAGCAAGCGTCCCACCCGCCGCTGTAAAGACTGGCAGGGGCTGCCTCAGCTCACAGAATGGCTTGAGGGCTGCTGTGAAGATTCCCTGGGGTTTTCCAAATACGACGGGGGCAACCGCTAGCGGACCTGCTGTTGCAGTGGGAGCAGGGGGCAGATATTTGAGTAACACAAACATTTAATAAATTAAACAGCGATTTATTGAACACTGGTGAGCTTTGGGAGAGGGATAGGACTGAGGCTTCCCAGTGGCTGCAAGGCGCGGCGCTGAAGGCAGGTGGTGCCAAAGGCCCTTCTCATTGACGCCATCCGCAGACGTCTCGTAGCTCTCTCCAGGGAACCCGCAATCTAGACGAACGGAAACCGGGGGAAGGAAGGAGAGGGGGGCGCCAGGGCAGGGTTTAGAGGTATCCGGGTCAGGGACGAGGGGTTCTGTCTCACTAATCTGAACACACCCCAAAGGCGGTGATCTAGGGGTCAAGGCCGGGAGCGAGGGGGGCGTACGCCCGAAAAAGGGGGACCTAACGTGGGCGGGGCTAAGCATTAAAGGAGGCGGAGCCTGAATGAAGTGTTTGGGATACTTTCTCTCAGTGGCCCGTAGGTGCGCGCAAAGCCCCGAGAGAGGGGGGTGCTCTAGGCCGGCGGGACTTAGGGACTGTCACAGGCGGGGCTTGTGGTCATCCTTAGTGGGCGGGCCCCGAAGCTCTGGGTAAGCGGGCCATTACCTCAGAGTGGAGGGAAAGTGTGTCAGGGCGTGAGCGGAGCTCTTCCCCTAGTGGGGCGGATCTGGAGCTCCGTCCCTTCGGTTCGGGACGCTCGGTTACAGGGCGGGGCCTGCAGAGGGAGGTGCTTCAGGGGAAAGCGTGAACTCCTGAAGGGCGGAGTCTGCATCTCCCCCGACTGAGTTAGTCTCCTCAAGATCCCCTGCACTGGCCGACCGGGTCTCTGGCTCTGTGAAGGGGTGGAGCTTGCGGTTCTGTTAGGAGGGGCACGCAACGTCGCGCGAGGAGAATGCACAAATTCAGGGCGTAGCTCGTACCTCTGGGAAGCGGGAGCTAATAACGCTGCCAGTGTGCGCTCGCGGCGCCGAAGAGGCGGGGCTTGTGGCCCTAGTGGGCGGGGCCATCGGTAAAGTCTCTGCCCGGGTGGAGCTGATAGAGCCGAAGCGGCGAAAGTTCTGCGAGAATCTCTGAGCTGGCAGGGGGCGAGGCTTGTGGCTTTGGTGGGCGAGGCCTCTGGCGAGCTCCTGAGGGGGCGTTAGACTGCAGTGGGTGGACGTGGATCGTAGCTCCGACGGACCTGGGTGACAGCGCCTGGGTCTGTGTGCAGGCGGGGTTCTCGCCTGGGTGGGGTGGGGCTTGAGACCCAGCTCGGGGCCTGGGCGGAGCCCCGGATCGGCGCGGGCGGGGTCTCAGCCGTGGGAGGCCGTCTGTTTAGGACTGCACGCAGCTCGGCATCTGGTGCTCATTACCGGATGACAAAGGGCCGGCTCTGGGCCCCCTTCCCCACTCCCATCCCCTCCCTACGACATCAGTACATTTAACTCCTAACTGCCCTTGGAGCGCTCTGGATGCTCTGCCCAGGGTCACAGGAAGGAGCTCCCCTCCTTCCCGACCTGGTAGGCTTTGTCACCGCCCAGTCTGCGCCGGCTCCGCCTTCTCAGACCCAGGCCCTTGGGGCACCGCTCGACGCCCACTCCCATCCAGCAAGGCTCCCTGGTGGCGCCTCCGAGGTTAAAAGCTTGGGTAGGATCTGGCGGGAGTGTCTGGTTTGAGTTAGGGGAACGTGAGCGCGAAGCCAGTGGGTGGTGCGTAGCGTTCCCTCCTCCCGTTCCGCGGCCCCCGGGTTCGTCCCCAGCTCCAGCCCTCCTCTCCCGGTCCTCTGGGGTTCAGCCCAGGCTTCCAGCCCAGGCCCAGGCCCTGGGGCCAGAGGGTGACACAGGGCACCGGGTAGGTAAGGGGGGCTCTGCGGGCCACCCCTCCTCGGCAGCCGGGGTGGTCGCGGTGGTTCTGTCCTGTCCTAATCAGAGGCCCCTTAGAGCCTGCAACTGAGAAATTGTAGAGGCGGTGGGAACTGGCACCTCCCCCGCCCAGGTCCCGCCCCTCCCCATCCCCAAGGCAGTGAGCCCAGGATGGTGGAGGTTGCCGGGTCCCCCAGGCTCTGATGTTTACCCCCTCTTCATAAGACACCTCAGCCTTGAGCAGCCTGAAACCTCACTCATTCGGGGCTCCTGGGTTCTGTGTCTTGGTGCCGCCCATATGGAGAAGAGCAAAGTGTGGCCAGAGAGGAGAAAAGCCCTGCTCAGGAGGCTGGCTGCCCAGGGCGCTGGGTGTGGGCTCTCTCATGGGTCCCCTGCTCTCCCCTTCCCAGCCTGCTGGGCTCTGACTCCCACCTCCTCCCCAGGGCAGGGAAGCAGGGAGGAGGAGAGCCTCCAGGGCACCTACAACACAGAGGGGTGGTAGCACCCTTGAGTGGCCCTGAGCCCCAAACCACCAGCTTCTGGGCAGCCTGTGGGGATGGGAGGGGAAGTACCAGAAGAAAGTTAGGAGCTCACCCACTAGACCCCCATAACTCCCCAGAATCACCAGGCCCAGGGCTTACTTTTGACTCCCAAAATCCCAGTTTGGCTCTAGTTCAGCAGAAGCCCTCATTCTAGAAGCTTCCCCTCACAGTCAGCCCACTTCTTGGAGTTTTAGTAAAAAAAAAAAGAACAAATATGGAATTCTCTCCATGCCAAACCTCCCTGCTCTTGGGCTCACTGTGTGACCCTGAGCAAGGCTCTGCCATCTCTGGGCTGGTTTCCCTGAGAATCTCTGGAGCCTACCCTCCTTTAAGGGGTCTTACCTTATTTCCTTAGGGGCTCAGAGAAGCTGAAGGAAGATTCCCTCTTTTTTCCTGAGTCCTCCCAGACCCTCCCCTCAGGCACCAATGGGGATCAGGAGATTTGGGTGAGGGCTGGCACCCTGTTTATTGGAGAAGACCCAGCACCCACTTCTTGAGGTCCTGGGGGCCTTGGTGTCTCCTCTGTCATGAGTGCTGGGTTGGGGAGCAGAGTTCCCGAGAGTCAAGTCTAGTTGGTTGACTGAGGGAGGAGCCTGGCTGGGCCCCGGGGAACAGGAAGCCCTCTGTCCAGCGGGGCAACCCCCATTGGTCCCTGGTGCAGCCTGGGCCAGGTGTCCAGTGCATGCCCCTGCCCCCACCCTGCAGAGGTGGGGCTATACCCCATCACACGCTGGTTCTGCAGGTCTGCACCCCTGTGAGGCTGCCCTGGTGGGGAGCAGGTTCTGTTGGGCCCTTGCTCCCAGCATGGGTGACCCAGCGATAACAGTCAGTAACACGCTTGTTGGGTGCGTGGGGGCCACAGCGGGTGCAGTACACGATGCCCAATGCAAGTAGGACCACCAAGAAGATGCATGTTGGCACTAGGAGTGCCACTAGCAGCCACCGGTCATCCCTCTGGCTGTGGCCTGCCAGACTGGCCTCCCCCAGGGATGTTGGGGCTGCTGAGGGCAGCCAGGGGGCCAGCTTGGGGTCAGGGGCACCTTCTCTTGGGACTTGTGGGGCTTTGGAATGGGGGTGTGAATGGCTAGTGAGTGAGGTCTGGTTAGTGGGTCTCTGAGGGGGCAGGGGAATGGGGGGAGCCAGGGGTTGGGTGGCAGTAGGCACAGGGACTTGAAGGGCAGGGGGCACAGGGGACTTGGAGGTAGAGGTCAGAGGGGGCTGGACAGTTGAGGTAATGGGAAGGTGAGTGGCCTGGGTTTTGAGGACTGGAACATCTTGAGTCACGGGGGGTTGATGGGCACTGGAGGTGGTGACCAGAGGGGTGTGGTGAGCTATTGGAGGCAAATGAGTGGTGGTCTGGGTATCAGCCACTAGGGTGTCTGGAAACATGGGGGACTGGTGGGCAGGGAACAGTTCAGGATATTTGGCTGAGATAACTGGGGGCTGGTGGGCAGGGGTCCGTGCTGGGCGAGTGGCAGAGATAATGTGAGGTTGGTGGGCAGAGGGAAGATCTGGATAGTTGGGTGAGATCATGGAGAACTGGGGGTCAGGGGGCAAAACAGGGTGCATGGCAGGAATCATGGGGGCATGAGGGGCAGAATCCAGAGGTGGGCGCACAGCAGGGATAATAGGAGGTTGGGCAGAAGGCAGTGTGGGGCGCGTGGCAGAGACCACAAGGGGCCGGGTGACAGAGAGCACTGAGGAATGGTAGGGGACCCTGGGGGCACTAAGAGGGGGCGGCCAGGTGGGGTCCAGGTAGGGCATCTGTGGCTCTCCTTCCTCTGGGAAGCTAGGTCTGTAGGCCAGGCCAAAGTCAGATGACTGGGTGGCCTCCATCCATGGGATTCTAGGCATCTCTGTCCAGCCACCATCGAAGGCCTCCCAGGCCTCTTCTTCATCCTCTTCATCCTCCCCAGCATCCAGCAGCTCATCCCCAAGGTCCTGAGAAGCCCGGGCACCCACGGCCCCAGCAGGGCTGCAGCTGATGCCATCAGCCTCAAGCTCATGACCCTCACTGCAGTAGCACTCGAAGCCACCAACGTAGTTGACGCACATCTGCTGGCACACGCCAGCGATCTGGCACTCGTCTGTGTCCACGCAGCGGTGCGGATCATCCTCAGCAGGCCGGAAACCTAGGCGACAGTGGCAGCTGTAGCCCCGCGGCCCGCCAGGCTCACACTGCTGCTCACATGGGGCATGGGCACAGGGGTCCTCGCAGCTGCGCCCGTCCGCTGCCAGCTGAAAGCCTTCAGTGCAGTGACAGGACACATGACCATCCACCTCCTCCACACACTCATGCTCACAGCCCCCGTTGTCCAGGCCACAGCCAGTACCCGGGCACAAGGGTCCAGCCCGTGACCAGCCCACACCACCCTCAGGCTGCTTTATGCAGAGCAGAGAGACTTCTCTGCCAGCCTGACAGGGCACGGCAGCCACAGAGCCAAAGGGCAGCCACTCAAACTCCATGGAGACCAGGTGGAAGGGCGTGGTGTAGACGGCTGGTCCAGCCTGGCCCGCCTCATTTGGCAATGCTGGGCAGGAACCCTCGAAGCCGAATTGGCACAGGTAGCCATCCACAGCCAGCGTGCAGGAGCCCTCGAGCCAGCGATGTTCGCCACTCGCCTCGAGGGCCGCACAGCGCTGGGCCGGGCAGGGCCCACCTGTAGCTGGCTGGGCCCAGTTGGTGAAGGCCGTGTCCTGGTCCCCAGTGGTCCACGTGAAGCCACGCAGTGGCCGCTGCAGCTGGCATTGCCGGGCCTGCCGCTGCAGGCCGATCCACAGCAGCCGACTGGCCGGGCCGGCACCCACCAGGCTGTCCACACGCCGGGCTTCCTCGGGGGTCCGTGGTGTGGCCAGATCACCCCCCAACTCGCGGCAGGCCCGCCAAGCCTCCAGGAAGGTGCGGCGCCTTGGGAAGAGGGCGTAGCAGCTACCCGGGCCGCAGGAGGCACGGGGTTCAGCAGCCCAGGGGGCCTGGCCCATCGTGGGCACCGCGGCCACCCAGGCCAGGAGCAGGCGCAGCAGCATCGCGACGCCCCCCGACTGGCCCTGGCCCGGCCCGCGGCTGCTCTTGACAGGGGGAGGGACCGGGCCCCTGGCAGGCGGGGCGGGGGCGGGCCGGGCTGCTCAGGCCTTGTAAGGAGCGGGCTGGGGCTGCTGCCAGCTCCCTGTTCCCGCTCCCCCGGGGCCGCCAGAGCAGGAAGCAGGGGGGCGGAGGGCAGGGATAGGGGTGCTGGGGGGCGAGGTGGAGGAGGGGAGGAGGCGCAACTAACAGGCTGGGAGTCCAGAAGAGGAGGAGACGCCTGCCTCGGGAGACTGGACGACCCTCGGAAATCTCCAGCACGGTCTGGGGCTCTTGGCCTAAAGTGGGATGAGGTCGCTTCGCAGACTCTCAGAGACCCAAATCTGGACACACCAACCTCATCACACTTACGAAAGGCGTCCCAGCCCAACTGGTCGTCATACATGTGGAAACATACTCTGACTCATACATTGCACACGCGTGTCTGCTCTCCCCACACAGGACACTTCCTTCATCCGAGGTTTGCACATGCTCTGACGTACTAACCCCCTTAGGTGCACATAGAAAAGTGGTGTGGCATTCTACATGCCCTAACACATGGCATCCTTCCCAGCTGTGTACAGGCGCGGAGTGGGAACCGCCTTGATCACGCAGGCACCCTCGACCCTCGTTTATATACTAAACTCCTGCCTCAACCTCCTGCGCAAGCTTCCTGGCTCCAGCTAGACCGGTGTGTGCAGAGGAGGAGGAGGGGCAGGGGGGCTGCCCTCCCTTCACCTCTGCTCAGCCTGGGGTCCTGGGAACATGGGCCCAGAGGAGAAGGAGGCGGCCCCCAAACAGGAAATGCTTCTCTGGGCTCCTGCTGCAGGAGGGCAGGGTGTGTGGGGGAGGGGGTTGGGCAGGGGCTGGGCTGCACTCAGGGTGAGCAGGGCTGGCCAGGAAAGGACTGGTGAGAGACCATGCATGGGCATGGGGCACACAGTGCCATGTGTGTGACACAGGCATCACATGTGTGGAGCCCTCCCTGCCCCCGGGGCCTGCCGCTTGGACCTGGCCAGGGTCCTCTTCCCGCCCCTCCTGGAGGCCTCTGGAGGCATGTGCACCGAGCCCATCATCCAGGATGGTCCCTGGGGAGCTGGTTGTCAGATTAACCCGTGCACACCCACCGCACTCTTAGCAGAAGTTTGAGCCAGAGGTGGGGATGTGGAAGAGAGGTGCTCCCCCTCAGGAAGCTACCTTCATCCGGCTTCCCACTCTGTCACTAATCTGCTGTGTGACTGCAGGGAAGTCACTGGCCCTCTCTGAGTCTCCATTTTTCTTAAGAACAAAATGGGGTAATGTGTCGGGGCCTTTTAGCTCAGCAGGGCTATCACAGCACTCAGCCTTTACCAATGTGCTTTGTCAGCTGCAAAGCATGAGGCAAATGTTCCTCAGTTCTCTGAGCAAATCTGGGTGGGGGGGTAGGGATATTGTTGGTTTTCCTAGCCACCTTACAGTGCCAGGGCTGGCCCTGCAGACATGGCCAGTCCCCAAAAGCTAGGGCTTTTGAAGCACTTGCTATATACCCAGAAAGTCATTCTCTTAAGGTCTCCGTCTGTGGAGCACATAGAATCCTCCCCTTCGATGGGAGGAAAGTCAGTATAGGGCTGTTCATCCTTCCGTTGGCTCAGGTCCAAGGCCTTGAGATCATCTTTGACTCCTCTTTCTCCCACACCCCATGTCCAATCTCTCAGCCAATCCTGTTGGCTTCACCCTCAAAACAGGTCCAGAATCTGATGGCTTCTCACCACCTTCTTTGTCCCCACCTCTGGCCCATGCCACTGTCATCTTCCATCTAGATTCTTGCAACTGCCTGCCCTCTGGTCTCTCTCTCCTCCTCCTAAAACCTAACTCAGATGCAGTCAGATCCAGTCACTGGCCTGCTTAGGATCTTGGAGGCCCCATCGCACTCAGAAGAAAGGCCAGAGTCTTGCCCACTGTTTCCAGGCCGATGTGATTTGCCCTTGAGTTTCCCACCCCGCTCCACCCCCCTTGCTCCTCTGCTCCAGCCTCTCTGCCCTCCTGGCTGTTTCTTAAGTCCACCAGGCCTTGTCGGCCTTAGGGCCTTTACCTTGACTGCTCTGCCTAGAATATTCTACCTGCAATATTCAAACGTTCTGCCTCTTCACTTTCTTCAGGTTGCAGCTCAAGCGGCAGAGTCCCTGGCCCCCCCCGGGTGCCCTTCCGTTCTTCTCCTTTGCACTCATCACTGTCCAGCATGGGATGTATTTACTTGTTGGCCTGAATCCCCCAATAGCCAGGGTTTCTCAACCTGGGCATTTACTGATGTTCAGGGCTAGGTGATCATTTCTTGTAGGGACTGTGCTATGGACAGGGCGATTGCAGGGGAAGCTGGGGTTCAGCTTGGAGCCAAAGCCCACCCACTCCCACACTCGTCCAGCCTTCCCCAGAACTAAGACCATCTGAGAACTGGGCGGTCCCTGGAAATCAACAAGCCTTTCTGCAGGTGGGGACACTGAGGCCCAGGGAGTCCCAGGGTAAGTTAGTGGCAGGGCTGGGGCTCCAAGCTGACTCTTACTCCAGTCCTCTCTCTGCTGCAGCCCCCTGAGGAGTCGGTGGAGCCCAGTGGGAGAGTTGGGCATGGGCGGAAGGTGTGAGCGGAAGAGGCAGAGCCCAGCCGGAAGCGCTGAGGTGGGAGAGCTTCACCTGAGTTTGGGGGATACCAAGGACGCCCCTCGGCCTGGAATGAGGGACATCTGGATGGGCAGTGAGGAGTGGAGCAAGAATATTGGGAAGGGGCGACAGGTAGTGAAGCTGCCCCTGAGAGGCAGGCCTCCACTGTGGGGCCCTTGGGGAAGAGGCATGCGGGGGATCCCAGTGGCTGGTGCGTGCTAGGCAGAGGGACCGGAGCCCAGGGACCAGCTAGCGGGTTGTAGCAATAGTCTGTCAGGGGGACGGGAGCTGGCTGCAGGGCCAGGCTGCAGGGCGGGCCGGGCTGGGGGAGGCAGGCTCTGGAGGCTCCTTAGGGGCGGGCAGGAACTTGGGCCAAGGGCGTGGCGGGCCCAGTCATGATTCGGGCAATTGCTGGTGCTGGGGCGTCTCAGGGGAGGGTGCGGGCCGTCTGGCGAGCCGGCGGGTCAGATCAGAGGTCAGGACTCCAGCCTCAGTTGGGGTGAGGGGTTGGGAGGCAGGCAAGGGAAACAATAAAGACAGTCAAAGGCCAAATTCCAGATGGCCTGGCTGGGACTACTTGCAAGTCAGGGGAAGCCTGAGCCGGGGCTGTTGGTGGTAGGGAGGAGTGGGGTGCCTCTGACCCCCAAGAAGGCCTAAGGTGTGGTAGATAGGCAACGAGGCTCGGAGGTGCACCTGGGTGTCCAGTCTTGGTGGGAGCCTGGAACTCACCTGCCCTCGCGCAGGTTGAGAGAGGTGGGGTTGCGGCTGCTTAAGAATTTCCTTCCCTAGTCGGGATAGAGGGTGCTGTGGGCGCAGCATCAGGGACCTGGGGGTGGGGGGGAGAGGGCGCTGGCCGTGGTCTTGCTCCTCCTGCCAGTCCCATTCAGCCTGGTGCATCTTGGTTGTGCCGTAGCCCAGGGGAGATGCTAACCGAGGCAGGGAACACTTGGCGGGTGGTGGACATATGGATGGATGGATGCAGGAGTGGGTGCGGAGTGAGTAAATAGGTGGCTAAATGGATGGGTGAATGATGAGGTGTTCAGATGCAAGGTTGCAATTAGGGTTCAGGCAGACGTACTAACTCATAACCAGTACCAGCATGCTGGGTGGTGTGCTCAGAATGTACCCCTCCGGCCCTGCAGGAGTGTGGCTCTGGCGGGGGCGGTAGCTCCAGCCACCCCAGCAGGGATTGGGGCGATGCTTCCTTGTTACCATATGGCTTGTTTTCTCTTTTGGGGCCTGAGGCCAATGTGTCTCCTTGGCTGGGCCTGGGGCTGCTCAGGACACCCAGCTCTGCCCACAGACTGGGGTTCCCTGTTCTGATCATGGACCTTGTGGGGAGAATTAATCTCAAGAGGGGCAGGAAAACAGAAGCCCACTTCCCCAGAAGGAGCCTTGTCTTCCAGCCACCACGGACAATCGGATGGTGGTTTCAGATGTGCTGTGTGGGCCCCTGGGGGTGGGGGTGAAGGCTGGCCTGAAGAGGGCCTGGTGGAACAGCCCAGATGGGGGGTTGAGTGTGATTGGGGGCGCCCCCCAGGCAGGCGTCCTAGGGAGCCTTGGCATGCCTGGCTGCTGAGCCAGCACATTGCTTTATGTACAAATCACCTCCTTTCCTCTTTTTTCTTTTGTCCCCATTCCCGCACCTCCCTCCATTTCTAAATTCTTCCTAAACCACCCCAGCCTTCAGGCTGTCAGGAGGGCCAATGGATGGTGGGCAGGAGGTGCCTGGTCTTGGGTGGGAGCCTCAGGAGGGGAGGGGAGCGTCCCAGGGCCGGAGTGAAGAGGGGAGCCTGGGAGGGAGGGGACTCGTGCAGGCTCCCCCCCTACCATGTGCTGCTGCCTGACCCTGTGAGCATGTGGAGGAGGGAGCCTCACAGAAATGGGGGTGGTGCTGGCCACCGGACAGGGTGGGCGAGAAGGGCTTGCAGAAGGTGGGTAGGAAGAAAAGGTGTCCAGGCCTGGCCCATGTGGGTAAAGGATTTTGACAGCTGGGGGGCTGACAAGGGTGATGTCTGACTTGGAGAGAGACTGTGTGCTCATGGCTGTACCTGGCTGTCTGTGCATGAACACGTGCGCATATGTGTTTGGGCTTGCATGGGCCTAGCGTCGCCTTGGTGTGTGCAGCTGGGTGACACATGTGTGTCCCCAAGGGCCTGCAGCTGTGCCCACAGCTGTGAGGGGAGAAGCATATGGCTGCCCCTGCATTGCCCAACCTGGGCCCAGCTGGGACCCCAGTCTGTCTCCTGGCGGGGCCTGACCTGAACATCTGGTCACATCTGCCAGCAAGGAAGGGAACCCCTTCCTCTCAGTGTGCATTGTACACACGGCCCAGAGAGAAACAAGCCTTGTGCCCGGTCACGTGGTGCGGGCAGAGGGGATCCGGAGCAGGGGCAGGTGCCCTTCTGTCTCTCACTCTCCTGCCCGACTCTGGGGCCCTCTGGCTGTGAGGTTCCAAGTGGCGGGCCCTGCCCTGGCCTCACTGGGCGCCCTTGTTGGCCGGCTTCCTTCTCTGTGTGAGGGTTCTATGGGAGTAGGCCCTGAGGTCCCTGTGGCATCTGGCACAGGCCTGTCACGTAGGGTGACCGACTTGTCACAGTTTGCTGAGGATTTCCCTGGCCTCAGGGCTCCAAGTCCCATGTCCTGGGAACCCCCTGGGCAGATGAGGACGGTCGGTCACTTGGCCGCCACATCGCCCCTCGCCATTGCCCAGTCGCGCCGTCTCAGCCCCGCTCCTCCCCCACACTCCTGGGACTTTGCCTTTCTCTGCCTGTCCCTGCATCCTCTTCTTCCTGCCCCCTCACTGTCCCCAGGGGTCTCACTCTCTCTCCCTCTGACCACAGGCTCTCTTCCTCCCTGTTCTTTCCTCTTCCCTCGGTGTTGGGGGTCTCTGGCTCTCCTGTCCCCAGGGTTGTCACCTTGCTGGTTTCTGGGGTTGTCCCTCCATTCCTGCTCTGTCCACTTTCACATTGCTCCTGTTTGTCTCTGGCGTCTCACCCCCTCTGTCTCCCCTTTCCTATCTCAGTCTCTGGCTCACCACCTTCCCTGGGTGGTCTGGGCCTCCCCCCTCTCCCCTGGCACGCACCCCCAGGCTTGACTGGGGTGGGAGCCAGGTTTGGGGGCTGTGACCAGGCCAGGAAGGGGAACCCAAGCAGACATGATATTTATGTTAGGACTTCAAAGGGGAGCAGGGCCCAAGGGGGGAAGCTGGGGCTGGCAGAACGGGAGGGAGTGGGAGGGTGACAAGCCAAAGCCAGACTGCATCCAGCTCAGACCCCACCCTGGTGAGGGTCTCCCATGGGACACTGAGATCCAGAGTAGGGACAAAATGGGCTATTTTGGTGCAGAGTTCCAAGAAAGGCACTTCCTGCACCCCCGTCCTGCCCCGGGCCCCATCCTTTCTTCCGGTCACCCTGCAGGAGCAGCCGGGTCCTCTGAGCATCAGCCCAGCCTGGGAGGCAGGAGGCTCAGGCGGCGGCAGGAGCAGAGGGCTCCATCGCAGAAGGAAAACATCTCTGGCGCTGGGACAGCCGTGCATTCTCGGCTCTTCGGCAGAGGCCTTGCCTGGCAGGACAGTGAGGGTCTGTAACCCTGTCAGCCCCAACAGGGTCAGGCAGGACCAGCCCTGCAGGATCTCTGGGGTCCACTCCAGCTGCCTGCACGAGAACCTGAGGGGTCAAGATGGCCGTGAAGGTCACCCACCCCTGCCCCGCACCCTTGGCCTAACCCCTGCTAAAAACACCAGCTGCTGGGGCAGGGAAGGCATGGGGTCAAGGGCCCAGGTCCCAGGAGGGGTGGGCGGGAGAGCTGATTGTCTCATCACGTGGCTCAGCTCTGTGTCCTAAGCCCCTCCCGGGAACCAGGCCCCACAGACACCCCTTCAGACTGTGCCACCCCACAGGGAGCCCCCCACCCAGACTAGAGGCTTGCTCTGGACCTAAGTCTCACTGGTTTGAAACCTACCCAGGCCCCCAAAGCCCCAGCCCCTGGGCCAGTGACCCCCCCAGATCCTCCCCAAGCGCTCCCGGTGAATCACTCAGGCTGGAATCTGATGAGCTCAGGCCTCCCCACCCAGTGCTGCTGGTCTCTGCCTCCTGCCTAACCAGCAGGGTTGCCACACCCCCCACAGGGGTCTTCTAGGCAATTCACAGCCCCCGACAGGGTCTACCATGGGGTGGGGTGGCTCAGTGGTGGAAGGACTAGGCAGGGCTGGGAGTGAGATTAGTCAGGAGAAGGGCTTGGACTTCAGCATGATCAAAAGTGTAAAAGTCTGAGTGTCTAGTAATGTACACAATTAACTAGTCACTATGCTGTACATCTGAAACCAACATAACATTGTATATCAACTTTGTTGCACAAAACAAGTCAAAAAATATAAAAAGTTTATGTGTGTCTTTGTGTTTTGCCTGTCTCTGTGTCTGTGTCTGGGTTTGTGTCCTGTGCCTGTGCATGTCCGCACTTCCTCTGCCTGTGCAGAGGGGGGAGGAGGAAGCCCGTGTGCTGTGTCTGAGTGGGGCACTCAGACGTGGCGGTGGCAGTCCTGCACAGGTAGGTATATGTCCTGGAGCTTGGAGTCCCGCCTAGCAGTCACCGCATGTCTCTGTGCCAGCCTGTCCCCATGTGTGTGTGTGTCAGAGAGTCACATTCTGAACCCAAGAGGGAGGGTGTTGAGGGAATGTCTCTTAAGTTTGTGGAGCTAAGGATGTCTGTGTCAGGGCGTGTCTTAGAGGAGGGACCCATGTGGGTCCCTGGGTCCATCCCACTGGGCATGAATGGCTAGTAGACTCAGGGCCTTCTTAACATTCTGAGTGTTCCTGTTAAGGCTGAGGGTGCCCAGGGATTACTGTACATGACTATGGCAGGCAGAGTGCCAAATAGTCTCTGTGCAAATGTGGGTCAGGTTGTTTGTGTGTGTTCAGTTGTGGGCGTGTGCATGGGTCACAAGGCGATGGCAGGGTGTTGAGGTGCTCTGTGCTGGAGATGAGTCAGGGCTTTGCAGTGGGTCTTAGTGACTGACTGCCTTCCTCCCCTGCCTTCCTGGAACCACTTGCAAGGTTCCCTCTCAGGCTACCGCCTCCAGCCTGGCAGGTGGAGCCCCAGAAGTAAGTAGCTCATCCCTCACCCCTCTTCTCAACCTCCATTTTGCAGGATGGTCACAGGGCCCCACTGGGGGGCTGCTTCCCTCTTGGCACCAGGCCTGGTGCCAATCCTCTGAGTTGCCTTGGGTTCCTGGGTGGCCTCAGGCAAGAAGGGTGAGCTGGCATGTGACCGGGAACAGGCACGCTCGCCCCCTGGTGGCAGAAATGGAGAATGCGCCTCCCTGTGTCCCAGGAACTCAGAGGAACTGTTTAGGCTGTCTTCCCAAATCAGTCATTCCACATATATTTATAAGTGCCAATTCCGGGCCAGGCATTGTTCTAAGACCCCGAGGTGTAGCAAGGAGCAAGGCCGACTTGGCTCTGGCTTCTAGTGGGGGAGACAAGCAGCAAACTCACCCATGGAACTATGGGGCCTCTAGAGGTGGTACATTTCCAAGTAGGTGACTTGGTTGTTTCCCCAAGAGATCCAAATGTCGGGGTTCCAGCTCTGCCCAGAGGCTGTGGGTGCTGGTCAAAACTTCCTCTTCTGAGTCAAAGTTGGGGAACGGGTTGGGAGGGCAGTGCAGAATCTGAGTGCAAGGTGGACTGTTAGTGCCCACATCACACCTGTTTTCCTCTGGCGGGGACTGTGAGTGCTGGGTCTCTACCAGAAGACTGGCAGCAGGCAGGGCCTGGCAGTGCTCATGAGCCACTGCTGGGGGCATTATGAATTCCCAGAGCCAGGAGTCAGGACAGCAGAGCTGCGGCAGGTGGGAGGGGCTTGCCAAAGCCCTCGAGGCAGGAGTCCAGAAGCCTGGACAGTCCTAGCTCCCATGGGACCAGCTCCACATCCAGCCCTGGGGTTCTCTGGGCACCCCTGACATCATTCCACGTCCTTCTTTCGGGACTGAACTTCTTGAGACACCCTGTGTTTGGTTCCCAGAACCGAGCCCTCCCTTAATCTCCCTGCTTCCCACCTCATTGCCCTTCACCCAGTTATCAAACTCCAATCAATGGACAACATTTATTGAGCGCCTGCGAAGTGCCCAGCACTAGTCAAGGCACAGGAGCAGGTGTGGGACCAAGGGGGAGGGGAGACTCCTTACCAGGGAAGCACTGAGGGAATTGCTGCTCGTAGCCTAGTGAGAAATTTGGGAGCCTTGCACCCAAGCTGTCTCTGGATTGTCTGAAATTCTAACGCCTGGGATTTCCCCCTTTCCCTGTCACGTCTGACATGCAGGCTGATGTCCTTTGTGCTCTGTGCCTGAGGGAGTGCCTCAGAGACCTGCTTGGGTCCTCCTTCCACCAGGGGACAATTCCTTCCCAGGGAGTGGTCCCCAGGGGGCTGGCCCAGACCGGGGACTCCAAGGGAGCTGAGGGCTGGCAGTCTTGGGCCCCGCACTGTCCTCATGTTGCTCAGAGCTGCCAGAGTGCAAGGACCTCGGCCACCTAGGCTGCTGCAGCCCTGGAGCACCCCTCGTCCCCCGAGGGGCACCCATTCGGCAGCTTCCTGAGCCACGCACGCCCCCTTGTGGCTAATGATGGCATGTTCTTTGTTCAGATTTGCTGTTTGCTCTGGGCCCCGATTTGGGGCTGCTGGTCTCAAGAGTCTATCTGAGAGAGGCTGAGAATAGAGGGTGTAGTTGGAACCTGACAGCCTAGTTGGGGGGGGCCCTAACGGCCTGCTGTGAGATATCTTCCGAGTCACTTTCCTCAACTTCAGCGGCTAATAAGCCAGGCACACCCTGCCTCTCAGGAAGCTCTCACAAAGTCCGAAAGAGGTTAAGTGCACAAAAATTGGTTTCCAAGTCTCCTGTCCACCCTGGAAGCCCGTCTCTCCTGTCCAACTCCCCTGAGACGCTAGAGAGGGGGAGGCTGGACCTTATCTCCATGATCTGCCCTGGGTTGACTGGAGAAGCCACCTTTCCCCAGTGCTGAAAACAGACCCTGGGGGCAAGAGGGCTTGCTAACATGCCACCTCCTCCCTCCCCTTTTCCCTAGTCTGAGCTCTGCTTGGGAGCAAAGCCAACCATTTTGACCCCTGGAAGACTTCTGAGAGAAGGCAGGTGGCAGTGCACCCCCACTTTACAGGTGAGGACACTGAGGTTTGGGGGTGCTAGTCCTCCAGATGAGCCCTGAGCTCCGGCTGCCTTCTTGAATCCTGGAAGTGGGTGGAGACCTTCCTGGGCTGTGCTGCTCCCTGGCTGCCAGGTGTTGGACACCGGTTGCATTTGTCATCTGCTGGGCACACTTACCACTGCAGGCTGGCTGGCCTACAGCTAGGGGAGAAGGATAAGCAGCAAAGGGGTCCCCCAAGCTCCCTCAGTTTTCCTCCAGTGCCCCAGATATGGCCAGTCCTGGCACCCCTTCCCCTGCCAGCAGGGTGATCAGAGAGATAACTATCCGACAGAGGTGATGGCAGACACTGGGGTGGAGAGGCCTGGGTGTGAGGCCTTAATTGTGGGGCTGATGGCTCTGAAAAGCCTTCCCAGTACTGCCCCAAATGGCCCTTCTAGCCACTCGAAGCTACTCCTCTGCTACTGGACTTTCCTCAGCCTCTGGCCCCCCTGGCTGAGTGGGGCATCCTCTGGCCGGGCCCTCGCCTGCCTCGGCAGTTGTCTCAGACTCGCCCCTGATGTCCCTGGGACAGGCCTCGACCTCAGTGTCCCCATCTCCCCAGCCCGCTCTCTCCTCCTCCCTGACCCCTGTCTCTGGCCCCGCCCTGCCCTCCTCCATTGCAGCCCGAGGGGCAGCCCCCTGGGCCTCCGACCACTCTGCTGGGCAGTAGACCAGGTAGCCAGCTGTGGGAAGCCTGTGGGCCGGGGCTTCCGGGGGCAAGCGGTGGTAGCCTGGCTCCTTATACAGGAAGAGGCCGAAAGTGTCAGGCTGGGTCACTCGGAACTTGGTAGCACAGAGCTGATTCAGGGTAGCGATCGAGGCCCCCGGGGGCACGGCCAGTGTCTTGGAGGTGCACCCACTGCTGGGGTCCTGATAGGCAACTCGGATGAGGCGCTGTGCAGGAGGAGAAGCAAGAACAGGGACTCAGCCCTGCTGGTACATACCCGGCTGAAAGGCTTAGGGCCCCAGTGGAAGCTCCGCGGGGACAGAGATGGGGCGGCATAAACCCAGTGGTGGAGCTGTTTGGACACGGTGAGCTGTGAGGGACAGATGTGCCTCGGCCAGTGGGTCACAGCTGCAGGCCGGTAGGGGGGCCCCAGCCTGACAACCGTGCCCCGGCCTGCGTTAGCTCCTTCAATCCTCATATCAGCCCCAGGAGGTAGGTGTTAGTACTGCTTTTTACAGATAAAAAAATTGAGGCCCGGAGAGGTTATATAATTTGCCCAAGTTCCCACAACCAGAAAGTAGCAGAGCCAGGATTTGAACCCAGGATCTGGCTACAAAGTCTGGATTCTTAACCAAGGCTAGGAAGGTCCCTTGGCTGGCTGGAGAGGAGGGCGAAGGGCAGGGATGGCCTTCTGGCTTCTGGCCTGAATCCAGATAGGAGGATGAATGGAGAATGGGCCGGAAGCAGGCCTGGGGCTTGAGCCGGCCACCTGTGTCCCTCTCCCGCTCCGCGCCATCTCTGTTTCTTCATCGGTAACATAGGGGTAATGATGGTTCTACCGGAGTTTCTGTGAAGATTAAGGGCTGAGCCCTAGGGTACTGAGCACAGTCCTGGCATGTGGAGCTCGGGCCTGGACATTTGTCCTGTGTGGGGCGCTGTTTCCACTGCAGGGTGATGCAGGACTGGCCTTTCTCCTGGTGGGTCTCACTGGGCAGAGGAGGGGGCTGCACTGGATGGTGGCAGGGTCCCCCTGGAGCTGAAAGTTCAGGGGATGGTGTGGAGTGCCTGTTACCTGGAGGCTGTGGGTGGCGGGCAGGCGGCGCTGCTTCCAGAGGCTGAGGGAGTGTTGCAGCTCCTGGGAGGGGCGCAGGGGGCAGGTGCGGGCCTGGGCCAGGCCGCTCAGCAGGGCCAGGCTGGCTGAGAGGCTGGTCAGGTAGTAGCCGCCTAGGCCACAGGGGGAAGAATGTGCTCCGGCTGGGGGTGGGTAGCCTGCTCCCTCTCCCCTGCCCTGCTTGCTCTGGGCCACAGGGGCACCCCAGCCCACCCACCCAGGAAGGCGGCTTGCGTGTGGCGTCCCTCACCCTCTCCAGTGAGTAAAGCGGGCTCCAGCAGTTCCGACATGTACTCAGACTCCAGTAACAGCTCAGGAAGGTCGCACTGGGCCAGGACCAGGCTCAGCAGTGGGAGGAACTCATCAGCCCCGGCGCCCTCCCCTGTGGGGCGGAAAAGGAAGCACCAGGCTCTTCCGGGGCCCTCTGCCTGCCAGACCTTGGGCAGTGAGGTTGGTGTGACAGTCATTAGCAGGGGCTGGGGAGAGGATGCTCTGCTCTCTGGGCCTCAGTTTCTACGAGATGGTAGCGTTGGACCAACTTCCCCCCTACAGTGCCGTCCCTGGGACCTCTGCCTGGGTGGGGGGTGCTGCCTCTGGCTCGGCAGGGGCCGGTGGGAGAAGCTGTGCAGGCCTACCCCTGTGGGTCCTCAGGGCTGTGTAGAGCAGCTTGCAGGCCTGCAGGAGCCGCTTCACCTGGGCACTGGGTGAGTAGGTGCGCAGCAGCTGCAGAAGCTTTTGGCGCACCTGCTCTATCTCTCCTGGGGAAGGCAGGCTCAAGTGGGCCCCGAAGGCTGCAGGGCCCTGGGCTTGGGCCAGGTGGAGGCCTTCAGCCAGGCGGCCCAAGGAGCCATCAGCAGAAAGCCGGCGCCTCAGGCGGCCCACCAGGAGGGGCCGGAGTGGCTTGAGCACTGCGCGGTGCAGTGACTTCTCCAGGACACGTTCTGTGGAGGACAGGCAGGCTGGGTCAGAGCAACCAGTGCAGGGGTGGGGGGCAGAGTTTCAGGGAGAGGGGGTACACCCAGGGAAAGGGAGGGATGAAAAGGAGGGGGGATCTTGGTGAGACGGCAGGCATCGGGGAGAGGCAGGGCATGGAATTCACTTGACTGGTGGTTGGACCAGGTGGGTTTGTGAAGCAGCAAAACGCACTCAGAGATGGGCCGGCACTGCGCAGGGCAGAAGAGCATGGCTTGGGGAACAGCCAGAAGTGTGGAGACAGGGCTGAGCCAGCAGAGGCCTGGGTTGGAGTCTCACCCAGTCTGTCGGGCGGTAGCGACTTCTCAGAGCCCAGCTCTGCACTCAGCATGGCCCGGGCCTGGCTCAGCACCTCTCGGATGCCCTGCAGCTCCTGAGGCTCAGGACCGGCTCGCACCTGGGTCAGTAGGTCCTGCACCAGCTGGCCAACGTCCGTGTGTCGGTCCTGCATCAGCACCATGGCTGCCCGGGTCACGTGCCGCTCAGGCGCCAGCAGGGAGCAGAAGGCAGCGCTCATGGACCTAAGCAGGGGCCGCTGGTGGGCCAGGCAGGGGGAGGTTGTTGGGCTCCTTGGGGGCTCCGGCACCCCCTCCTCCTCCGAGCTGCTGGGGGAGCCGCAGTCCACCTCCTGGAGGGAGGGCAGGGGTAGGAGGCTGGGGCCAGCACCCCCTGGCACACGGTACCCCACCGAGCTCTCCCTCCGCAGCAGCTGGTGAGGCGGCAACCTTTCCGTCTGGTTGGGGGCTGCCCCTGGCAGCACAGGCACTGGGGGAGGTGGCACAGCCGGGGGAGATAGGGGGCTGGAGGTCTCCATGGACACACGCACTTTGAAGCTCCTCTTGAATTTCTCCCGTCTGGTGGGGCCCAGGTCCCCTGGGAACAGGGGGTTGAAGAAGCACAGGGCGGCTCCGGTGCCCTGGTCCAGCTCTTGTGGGGAACGGGGCTTCAGCCGGGGAAGCAGCGGGCCTTCGGATGGACCCATCTGAGTCTTGGTGTTGAGGGAGGAGCTCCAGAACTCTAGGAAAGAGAAACCAACTGGGAAGGTGCCCAAATGAGGGAAAGGTGCAGGCTCAGGCTGTGTGCCCACTGCCTTTCCTGTCCCTCGGCCTCAGCTTGTCCTTCTGTGCAATGGGTAGCTGAGGAACCCTTACCAATGCCCAGATGGGAGATGGCTTCCAACTCCTTGTGGGTGGCTGCCTGGCAGATAGCTCTGGGGAGCTGGAGGGGGAGAAGAAGGATGTCCCTAAGGCCAGAGAAGAGCAGAAAGTCAGGAGTGAGGGTTGCTCAGCACTGTGGAAGGCTGAGAGACCTGTGGCAGCGGGAGGACAGGGTGTCCCAGGGAGCAGGGCCTCCCGGACAGGGGGCACCCTGTGGCTAGGCTCACCGGGCATGGCAGTAGGCGCAGATGAGCTGGACCAGGTCTGGGAACACAAGCTCTGAGCCTTCCAGGTAGACGCCTGAGATGGGAAGTGAGGTTGTTCTATGGGGAACCTCCCTGCGCCCCACCCGGAGTGCTGCCAGTCCCTCCCCGCCCAGCCAGCCCCTCTCACCCACTGGGCTCTCCTGGATGTAGTGGCTGGAGACAAAGGATGGGCCACTAGCCTCGGGCAGGCGCATGCACAGGGCTTGGCACTGGCGCGTGTTCGATTTCCGCACCAGGAATGTCTGTGAGTGGACAGCGGTTGGAGGCTCAGGGCCTCCGTGTCTAGTCCCTCTCCCTCCCACCGTCCACTGGCCAGTCTCCGGGGTGCGGGCAGGACTCACCCCCGGGGGCTCGGTCCTCAGCACGTGCAGTGCCGCTGCGGCACTGGCTCGCAGCTGCAGCCACACGGGCCGCGTGAGCAGTAGGCGCTCCCGCAGGCTCACTGTGCGCCCGGGCCGCTGGGGCCCTCCCGCCTGCCCTCCGCCGGCGCCGGGCACGTCATACAGTGGGTCCTGGGCTGGCCTGGGTACGAACACAAGACCTGAGCAGGGAGCCAGGGGCAGGACCCTTGCCCAACGCTCTCCCTCTCCTCTTTGCAGACAGACTGCTCTGCCAGCCCTCCCTGCCCCACCAGACTGCCCTTCCAACTTCACTAACTTTTCTCTCTCCGGGTGCCCAGGCGAGAAGTCGGATGGGCTGGGGGCTCCAAGAAGGTCTGCTTTTGGGTCCCCAGGGGTTTCCATGCCTGGGAGCTCCTTCGGTTCCTCCCAGGACTCAGGAAGAGAATCCAGCCCCCAAGGCGAGAGCGCTCACATTCCCAGCGGTGAGTAACACTTCCTGAGGGCGTTTCGCCCTGTCACACCCCGCCAGTTAACTCTTGTGTGTCCACTCGGCCTGGGCAGTGTCTGCTGCTTCTCTGTTCTGGGCCGAGCCTCTGGGGGCACATGGATCTCCTCCGTGCAAGCGTCACTCCGAGGGGCCCCAGCTGTGTGGCTGCCGCCTCCACAGCGCTTCCCAAGGCCTTGCCAGCCTCCCCAAACCACACAGGTGGGTGAAAAGGGGTTAAACAGGGCCACTCTCACTCCCCACAGGCCCAAGACTCACCCTTGGGACACCTTTCGGTCTGTGGTCAGTTGCTCATCTGTCCATGGCCTTAGGGTCAGCCTTGTGCGAAAGCACCCCCTACTGGTCACAGATGACTCATTCCTGAGCCTAACTTGGGTTTTGGGATTTCAGGTTGCCATGGAGAGAGGATGCCATGTCTCCATAGTAACTAACCCTTTTGCTTAACTGAGGTTCTGGGGGTGGTTCTAACACTCAGCGCTGAACAGGGGGAGTCTGGCTGTGAGGTCGTTGGCACATGGTGCTGCTGCCTCCCGCCTCCTACGCGCGCAGGCCTGCCAGCCTGCCTTGCCAATCTGCCAAGCAACTGGGGCAGGTGCAGACAAGCCCAGTCTCCAGGCACCAAGCACCCAGCCCCCATCTCCACCCAGGGCCTTGGGTTCTGCCTGTGCCACATGTTGCTTCAGACTTTGCTCACCAGCGCTGGGGAGTCCAGGGCCCAGCCTCCCACCAGAGGTGGGAAAGCGCCCCTTCCCCAGTCTGTACCCCAAGTCAGAGTGTGTAGGTTCCTGCTGGGCCGTGAAAGAAGGTACTAGGGACCCCAGAATACACTGCCTGTCTCAGGTACTCCACATGGGAACCCTGATTCCCTTGCAAAATAAATCAGACACGTGCAGATCACGCCAGGGTCTCATGAAAGTTTTTAATTCGAGTCCCCACAATCTGGGAGGCAGTCCCTAAGAACTGCTTTGAGAAGACCTGGGGATCCTGCCTTCTCACCGTCAGCAACAGCCAGGACAGGGCCCCCAAAATATAATTTCTGGCTCAGAGTTCCCAAGAAGCTCAGCTGACTGGCTCAGTGACTGGGGAGCCAGGTCCAAGGTCGGCAGGAAGGACATTGCTTTGGCTTAAGAAGGGGCACATCTTCTTCACCAGGGAGGGCACTGAGGAGGCTGACCTTCTCAGGGGAAGTTGGGGGGCTGGTGGGGGACCGAGGAGACAGTCTGGCCTGCTGGGGCAACTCCAGGCCCAGCTGTGCAGGCCCTTGAGAGGCAGAGGAGCCCAGATGAGTGATGGCTGGAGGGGAAGGCCCAGCAGCAGCACCCTGGAGCTAGCCAGGCAGCCCCCGAGGGGCTTGTCCGTCTGCCCTTCTGCTGCAGGAAAATGCAAATCCTGGGTTTGGTGCTGGCTGTTCCAAGGGGCCCCAGGGCTGCGAACAGCAGGTCATGGTCCTGGGGGTGTGTGGGAAAGGAAAAGTCACCGCAGGTAAGAGGAAGCTGGACCAAGAGGCAGGCAGTCACTATATGGGGACTGAAAGGAGTGGCCTCGGTCTGGCCCAAGGCAGGTGAGGCCAGGTGGGCGCAGGGCAGCTCCGCAGCCCTCCTGATCCATCCTGCTGCAGGGCTCCACACCGAGCCCTGCAGTCCTGGAGCCTCCCCACCCGCACCCTGGCTCCTGTTCCCCGGACTCCCACATGCCCTCACACCCAGACTGTCCCGGCTCCCCTGGGCCAGTGACCTGACATGGCCGCTGCCTCTCTGGGCTCGGAGGCTAGGTTAGGTGAGGAGGAGTGAGGTGAACAACCCCTGCTTCTTACCATCTGATTTTCTCTTCTGAGGGGACACAGCTGCCCTAGCCTGGACGGGGAGAGAAAAGCGCCCCTGAGAGCTGGCCTCCAGCCTGGAAAGTGCCCCCTCCACACCAGCCTGGCTGGGACAGTGCTTACCAAGCAGGAAGGGGGGCAGAAGACCCTTTCTAGGCAAAGCTCTGATGGGGCCTCTTGTCAGCCCAGCCAGCCCAGCTTTCGTGCCCTAGCCTCCCTCCCTTTCTCCTGACCCATCAAACCTGCCCAGAACAAGGGGCTGACACAGCCTCGGGCCAAAGGCAGCTTGTGAGCTGACCGTGATGCCAGGGCACCTGGGCTGGGGGCACAGTTGCCAAGGGTTGGCAGGAGCTCCCCAGGTCCTCAGGAAAACCGTGTGTGGAGAGCTGTCAAGAGACCAAAGCTGGTATCTGGGCATGGGGGGGGCCTGCACTGCCAGCTGTACCCAAGATGAGGCGGGCAGCACCAGACCCACCTTTTTGATAGCCGTCCAGTCCTCGAGGATGTCGATCTCCTGCAGCATATACACGATGTACGGGCCTGCGCCAGCGGTCAAGGAAGCAGGAAGCCCAGCGGAGGCGGCAGGTGATGGGCCTCGATCTGGGGGCTCAGACACTCGGGAGAGGTGGTGCCCAGGGCAGTCAGGAGGGGGCTGAGAGCCTGGGTTAGAGCAGGGGCTCCTCCTACCTCCCCTCCTCTCTCCAGTCTCAAGGTCAGCAGGCCAAGACCCACCCCATCCACTTAGGGGCATTGCTCCTTCTTTCCTGTGCCGTCATCTGGCTCCTTTCCCCATCTACACACAGACTCTGTTTTCCAGCCCGAAAAGACCCCCTCTTTGGTCCCACAGTCCCCTGTGGGCACCACGCACCCTGCTCTCAGGTGCTCTGTCCCAGATGCACCTTCCGTGCAGCCCTCAGGCCCTTGCAGTCCAGATTCCCCCCTCCCTGCTCAAACCTGACTCTTGTCTCTGGGCCACCAATGCCCTGAGGAAGGATCACTGCAGGAACACTGGGGGATGGGGAGGGCACATAAATTGAATTCAGCTCTGCACTGGGCTGTGCCAGGAGGGATGAAGGTACAGCAGGACATGGATGGAAGGGGCTCATGCTCAAGGTGGGGCAGAGCAACTACCCCCACATGGGATGAGGGTGCCCCGGTTCAGGCCCCAGGGGTGCTAAGGAGAAGCAAGCCATAGCTACTAGGGGAAGCCAGGAGGGGCTTCATAGAGGAGGAAACACCCGAGAGGAGCACTGAACAGGCTCAGACAGGCAGAAAGGTACTCCCAGAGGAAGGGGGGAAGCCTGAAACCTGCCTGCGAACATCATGGCAAAGAAAGGCAGGCCGCAAAGGAGTTTTCACTCAGGAAGTTATGGGGGGAGTCGCCAAACAGACATCTCCCCTTTCCTGTGGCCCACGGAGCCTGGGAGGGACCCAGGACCTCACAGAACTCCTGACAGCTGGATCCGCCTGCACATGGCCACACGGTGCCAAACGACCATCAGTGTGTCTAGCCTGACTCTGGCTTCCGTGCCTCTCCCTCTCCCCAGGTCTGGAACCGGCCCTGGCGTCCTGCCCAGCTCAGGCCGCCTGCGGTGGAAGGATACCAGAGACGAGAGGCGCCTTCCTCCTCTTGCTGGGCGGCAGGGAGTCCCAGGTTTTTGAGCTGCCGTTGGCGTGCAGTCTGTCGTCCCACCACTCTGTGGCTCAGACCCAGAGTCAGGACCAGGGTGCTGGCCCTCCCAGGACACCCCCGTCCCGGTAGCCTGTGTCCCTTAATTGCACCAAGCCAGCCCTTCCCCACTACCTCCCAGGTCAGTGGAGAGAATCTGGCCTTGGGGGAGTTGGAAGCTGAGTTCAGGTCCCATTGCTCAGCTGTGCAACCCCGGCGCAGAGGTTACCGCGCTTTCGTGAGCCTCTGTTTCTTTGTTTAGTGGACAGTACGCAATAGAATTCCTGCCTCCTCAGGGCCCTGTGTGGACGTAGGTGCTGGGGACATGCAGGGGCCTGTGGCTACTGTTATGTGTGAGCATGTCAGAATGACACCTTCTGTTCTGGAAAGAGGGTAGGGGGCCCCCCTTCCTGAGCCCCAACTGTGTGTAAGGTACCAGGCTAGACCCTTTCCATGCCTGGTGTCATTCAGTCCCCACAGTGACCCCATGAAGCAGGTCCTCTATTGTCCCCTCATGCAGCAGGGAAGTGGGGGCCCACACAAGGGTGGGCATCAATCGGACCAGGCCAGGGGCAGCCTCACCGGAGCTGATGTCCAGGCTCTGGCGGTCCTCCTGCAGCCTCTGGACCCGCTCCTGGAGCTCCCCCTGCAGCGCGTCATAGAGCAGCAGCTTCTCACTCTAGGAGGTAGGACAGTTCAGCAGGGGGGGCTGGGGAGGCCGTCTCAGGCCCCCTTCCGGTCACTCACCTCCAGGTGCTGTCTGGCTCCCTGCAGTTCACACTCGTACTTATTCCTAATCACATCCAGACAGAAGCCTTTGTAGATCCCTGTGGAGGGAGGCAGACGGGAGGTTCTGCCTGGCCAGGAACCCTGGTGCCCAAAGAGGGGGCCCAGGAGCACAGGGGGGGCAGGGATGGCATGACAGGGGTAGGGGATAGGGAGCTGCGGGCTCTGGCAGGGGAACAGGGAGGAGGGCTGGGGCTGCCCCAGGGCACAGGACAGTCCACAGACCTGCCACCTGAATGCGGATCTTGAGGCTCCGCTGCAGCCCCCCCAGAGGCTCTGTGTACTCGGGGGCTCTCTCGGCTCCCACTTCCTCCAGACGCACCCGCAGCTGGCTCAGTCGTTCCCTAAACAACCTGCGGGGTAAAAGGCAGCCGTGCACCCGCACCCAAGGGCGCATCCGTCACAAGGCGTTGGGTCCCCTCCCCGCAGCAGGCCCTGAGCCCCAGCCCCGCGCCCAGCACAGAGCCGCTGCCTCCAGACCCGCCAAGGCGTCCCCTGCTCACTTCTCCTTCAGCTCTGAGAACTGCTTCTCCAGGTCCAGCATCTCACTGACACACTCACTGCGGCGCCGCTCGTAGTCCTCGTCATCCATCTCTGGAACAAGAGGCCAGTGAGGGCCGGCGGGGGGCGGCAGGCCGGCGGGCATGTGCGGGGGGCTCACCGGAGCTCTCCTCCTCTGACTCGGTCTGGCTGCCGCTCCGCTCCTCCTCACTGTCTTCCTCCTCCCCATTCATCTCCGCAGCCGAATCACCTTCTGCTTCCATCTCTTCCGTGTCTTTGCTTGGAGGCTGGACGGGCATCTGGGCTCTGGGAGGAGGGGAGCCATCACTCGCTACCGCCCACACCTCCAAGTGGGAAAATGGCCACACAGGGAGTCAGACCAAGCCTGACCACAGACTGGGCGGGCAGGGCAAGTGACTGGACTAGCCACACCTCCCAGAAGCCCGGGAACCATGGTCATGCTTATGCTGTAGACCCTGCTGGTGATGCCAATCCTGGAAATACTGGCCAGAAGGTGGGAAAGGCCAATGCTGGTTTCCCCAATGCGTACGGGACTAGGCCCAAACTTCTGACTGGGGCTTTCAAGGCCCTGCACAAGACTGGACTTGAACCGGTCCAGCTTCCTCACCCTACCATCTAATGGCCAATTCTGAAATGCATGCACTTCCTCCCGCCCCCCTCCCCGCCTCGTGTTGTCCTTCTGCCTATAGGGCCCTCCACTTCTCTTCCTGAGCACTCTACAATCCTGCCTTCTCACGTGCACTGGCCAGATCCCATCTCCTGCTTCCTCTGGGACCTCATGCCATCAGAATCCTTCCCATGAAACTTTAGCCATGCTCAGGTATTTCTGCCATTTACAAAAGACAGGAGCACAAAACCATGCCACACTCCGGCTCACAGCTACACTGCTCCAGGCCTTCCGCACACCTGCTCTTCCCGCTTCCACTTCCCACTGTTTCACTTCCGTTTCTGCATCACCACTCTGCTGAAACTAATTCTGTGGTTACTAATGACAATCTAACACCAATAGTTTTCAGTGCTGATCTCAGCTGACTTCTCAGCAACTCTGATCACTGTTAAGTGTTCTGTTCATTCACCCATCTAATATTTATTGAAAATCTAACATAGGCTAGGTCTCATCAGAGACTGCTGTGACCAAGAGACACAACTTGAACCTCACGGAGTTTACAAGTTCCTGGGAGAGAGAGGAACTTGTAAAGCTACAGTAGACCATTATTGCGGTGTGAGAAGTACTAAGATTGGGGGCATATGGGATAGGCTTCTAAGTGGGACCTGGAGCTTGTAGAGGCAGGGAGGGCTTGCAGAGGAGGAAGGCCCAGACGCACAAGCTGAGCTGGCTTGGGGAGGGAACATTCCAAGTAAAGTGACTAGCATGTGCAAAGACCCCCAAATTAGAGAAGGGGCAGGGCTGGAGCAGATGGGTCTAAACCTCAGAGAAAAATCTGGACTGCAGAGGTCTCGTCATTGGCATATAGTCAGTTTTCCAGCCCTTGGGAGAGGTGCAACTAATAAGGCAGAGCACAGAGTGAGAAGGGGTCTAGGATGGAAATTCCAGGGTCACCACAGGGGAAGATGATGAGACCCCTTCAAAGGAGAAGGAAGATAGCAGGAAACTAGAAGGAAAAAGAGGTGAAGGAGGGAAAAACTTAGTCATGGGGACAGAGAAAGGAAGGAGTGGTGACAGTTCCAAATGCTGCCACGAGGTCACCTAAGAGGAAAACTGAACAGTTCCTCTCAGATAATTTCTGCCTACTGAGGCTTTCCATTTCAGTGTGATCTTCCAACTTCTCTGGACACTATCTTGTGTCCTTTAGATTGGTGTGGACACCATTCCCTCTAAGAAGCCCCATTTGCTTAAATCTCCTCTTGATTTGCCTATTCTCATGTCTGGCTCTCCAAAGAGTCAGACTGTAGGGCAGGGCTGCATATGCACCTCACTTACCTAGCACAGTACAGACCCAATGCCTGGAGGATTTGCCAATACAAATTAAACAAAACAAAATTTAGCAGGGCAGGGATTGACTTTAACTTCTTGGTAGCTCCAGGACCCCGGAGTAGTAGCAAGCCCGAAGTGTTCTGTTCTGACACCAATTCGAATTCTGTAAAATAACTGGCCAAGAAGATAGTCACATTCCTCAGTGATTTCACAAATGACCTGAGCCTGACCCAAAAACCTTGGTTCTCCAAATCAGCATTGTCTTTCCCATTCTCAAAATTCATTTCCTGCAGTTACCAAATTTTGCAATTCCTCTTCATTGTTAAATACATTTACTTTGTAAGGCGCAATAAAAGTCCTACCTTGTGAGACCAGAAAGGGTGGGGGTGCGGTGGTGGAGGGAGAGTCTCTCCAGCTGTGTCTGATTCTACTGAGTGAGCTAAACTAAATCACAACCTCTCCTCCCTGCCCGGCTGCAAAAAGAGTACAACCACTGCATTTACAACTGAGCGCTGTAAAGACTGAAAGAGGTAAGCGTCGGAAAGCAAACCATAAGACGCAGCGCCCATATATTTATCTTTTCAAGAACAGCATCTTAGAGGCAGGCTTTTACGGAAGGCAGATTCGTCCCCACCGATGAGGAAGCCAACCGAGCCCCTCCACGGCGCGCCAGGGGCCTCCCACCCCGCTCTATCCACGTCTGCGCCGGCGCGGGCGGGGGAATCACTGGCTCTTCCGCGGCCAGTTTGGACCCCGCGGCCCAGTACGCGTCCAGCAGGTTAGGTCTCCGGTTCCGACCGACTGGCCGGGGAGGCTGAACCAAACGCCAGGGGTGGCGTTACGCACCGCGAGGAGTGAGGCCTGCAGCCTCACGTCGACACCGTCGAGAAGTAGCCGCGGATGCTGAGCTCCTAGAAGCGCGGCGGCGGCCCCTCTTCCCCGGGAGGCGGGACCGCCGCCGCGCTTCCGCATGCGTCATCAGTAGGCGCTCGTCGCGGGGCTCGCAATTGGGTAGCTGGGGACCAAGCTTGCTGGGATACCGCAGGCCGGTCTCCAGAGCAACCGGCGGACATTCACACTGCACCTCTCCTGGGGAGAAAGGCCCTAGTGGTTTCTTTGCATTAAACCCGGCTCCTCTCAGTCCGCAGCCACCTCTCCGGCGTTAAAGGGTAAAACCCGCGACCGCCCCGCCCCAACCATTCGGTTCAGAAGAGTAATGGAGCCAGCTGTAGGTGTGAACACTCATTTATTTACATATTGGCATCGGTAGGCAAAAAACCCAGAACGGCTACTATAGGGTACAGATCTCGGACTATCACGTACAGGTTCACGCACAGAACCTGCAGACGTTCCTTTCTTCAGAGCTCCCGAGGGCGGAGGCCTGGGAGAACCAGCAAGTTTAGGCTTCTGCCTACAGGTAAAAACTAAATTCAATGCCTTCATCTGACTTCCTTTCCCAAAGTCATTTTGTTAAGTACCCGGACTGCTCAGTTCTGTCCCATTCATACTTTCTGCTCGCCTACTGCCCACCCACCCAAGATTGTTAATAATAATAACAATAATAACAACGATAATACTGTAATAATATTAATACTTCACATTTGTACGAAGCTCACAGAATGTTTTCACATATAGCATCTCACCTGAGCCTCCCAACAGTGCTGTGAGGTAGGTATTCTCACCTCCCTTTTTACAGACGGGGTAACTGAGGCTCAGAGAGGGAACAGGATTTGCTCAAGGCCACACAGCTAGTTAGTGGTAAAGCTAGGACTTGATCCCAGCACCCCATATTCAAGTCCAGGGTTCCAACACCACAGCTACCACTGTAAAGTGGAGTGACATTTCTTACCCCCGTCAGGCCTGAGGGGCGGCCTAAGGGGAGAGGGGGATGAGACTCTCAGACTGGGGAAGAAAGGGCTCAGCAGTGACGGGGAGAGTCGGGGTACTTGGCCTTCAACTCCTGCTTGAACTGGCGGTAAAGGATCTTATTGTGCTGATTTTCAGCCTCCTTTTGAGGATGGAACTTCAAGGCTTCTTTGAAGCCCTTATGAACCAGAAAACCTTCATTCAGCACCTCGAAATCAAATCCTGCCACGTGCAGCTCACAGGCCTGTAGGGGGGAGAGAGAGGTCAGCAAAGTTTGATGACATTCCTAGGGCCAAGACTGACCTCCCTAAAGCTGCACTCCAGCATCCCCATTCCTCTGGAGGCATCTTGGATCTTCCACACCATCCAACCAACTCCTGAGCTATAATTCCTCCTGTCTCATTGCTCTTTTCCATCTAGAGCCACTCATAGCTCCTTGACCCCACCACCCCTCCTGCCCCATTTCCCCTGCCCTCTCCCTTATGGGCACCTGGCTGATGCGATTGAAGCCGTACTGCCGAAAGCGCTCGTCGAAGGTGGGCACCTTGCCTCCAGCGATGTAGAATGGCTCCCAGGGGTCCTGCCAGGGCACCACATAGGCAGGCCTCAGCAAGGTCTCTTCTGGCAGATTGACCCAGCGGGAGTAGTTGGTGGGCGCCTGGCAGGGCGTGCACAGCCCATAATAGAAGGGCCGCACCTCGCCCACCTGGTAGAGCTGCAACAGCTCATTCTTGTTCGTGGGCATGCGGCGGGCTCGGCGGATCTCGAAGGCAGGCACCACGAGCGCTGTGCCCGCCCACTGCTTGCTCTGATCCAGCATTTCCCGAAGTCCTCTCCACAGCCCCTCGCTGGGCACCATGTCCACGTCAATTACCAGGGCATAGTTGGCCCCCTCACGAGCCAGATTCCGCAGTAAGTTATTGGGGTAGGAGACATTGGTACCCAGGGCGTAATTGATCCCAGGCTGGGCCACCCGGGCTAGTTTGTCAAAGACTTCTTGGCAGGACCGCAGCAGGGCGAACTCCCCCGGCTCCCGCGGGTCGGGCACGGCGGCCTCGTAGCGCGAGGGGCACACGAGGTGCATGGAGACCCTGGCGCGCATATCGGGGCAGTGGCTGCTCAGCGCGTAGGTCAGCACGGTGGCTAGCTGCGCCTCCTCCTTAGAGGCTGCGAACACCGACACCGATAGCGGGCCCTCCCAGCGTTCCAACAGGCCCGACAGGTGCAGCAGGTTGTCCACACTGGCGTGCGTGGCTAGTATCACATCGTTGGGGTCCATGGTGGTCTTCAGTAGGCCCCTATAGACGCGGTAGTCGCCGCTGGCGTCCAGGACGCCTCCGGAGGCCAACGCGGTGCGGAGCTGCGCCTTGACCTGGTCCACGGACCGCGGGGACGGCGGGAAGAACTCAAAATACTGGTCTTGCTCCTCCTGCCCATGCAGCCCGGAGAGCAGCGACAGGTAGAGCAGCTGCAACATCGCCACCAGCATCAACGCAGCCAGCAGAAGCTGGTAGAAGGCGCACCGGATGGCGTAGGACATCTGCATGGCTCTCGGGGCTCGGGGCGCGCAGCAGGGACCACCGGGCCGCAGCCTCCGCCGATCGCTTCAAGCCCGGATTTACCGCAGCCTGCCGAGCGCACCCGAAGAGAGCCGAGCCGAGCCGAGGCCCCGAGCAGCCCCGCCCGCCCGCGCCGGCCTCAGGGCGCGCCAGCTCGCCCCCTGCGCGCCAGGAGGAGCTACTGCACTCTCCGCCGGCGCCGCGCATTTGCAAACGCTGAAACTGCCCGCCGCCGCGCCGCCGCGCCGCCGCGCCTGCCGGGTTCCCAGGGACGCGTACCCCGTCCCCACTCAGTGCCCGACCCCTGGACCAAGCGCGTCCTGAAACCCGGCGCGCTCGTCCCCTACTAAGGGAGGAGGAGCCGTGGCCTAACTCGGCTGCAGCTTGGTGAAGGGCGGCGCGAGTTCCCGGCTGCGGCGAGCGGAAAGGAACGCAAAAAGCCCCTTTCTTTTCATGGCTTCTCCCTCCAAGTCCAGCGAAGTTCGCACTCAAGAATAGAAATAAGGAACATGAAAAGTGCGGAGGCGATAACAGAGTGCAGTAAACCGTGCTTCTGTAGGACGAGGTGGCCGAGTGGTTAAGGCGATGGACTGCTAATCCATTGTGCTTTGCACGCGTGGGTTCGAATCCCATCCTCGTCGGTGCTGAGTGTTTTATACAGAAAATGGTTCTTCGTTTTCCACATCCCAACTACCTGGAGCTTCAGGTTGAAGAGAACTGACTGGGGGCCAAAACGCAATTGGCCCCAGTGTGGGCCTCTCTCCACCTTGTTCTCTGTGCATCTCCTGCTGCTTCATACCCCAGGTATCTGAACCTTCTGGGTGCACGCCAGAGGTCTATGTTTCTTTCTGCCGATGAAGAGGGGGTCTTTGGGTCGGTGACATCTCGAATACCAGAACTGGAATTATGGCCAGTGCTAAATTGGGGGCCAGCATACTGTTTACAGGAATTAAAGAAGCCCACTTGGAGGGGCCACCTTTCCTGTCTGAAGTAGTGAACCTTGGGTGGGGTGTTAGTCATTTAGATTATTACACTATTCAGCCCACTGAATCCCTTCTTCCCTCCCCCCAGCACTTCTCACACACACACACACACACACACACACACACACACACACACACACACGAGAAGGCCTTGAATATTCTAACACCAGCCAAAGTACACAGAAACGCTTCATAAGTGTTTGTGAAATGATCCATTTAGAAGAGAAGAGGCAGTGGGGAAAGGCAGGCACTTCAACAAATCTATCAATAATATGCAATAATATTTGAGTACTCTGAATCTTGGGATGATGCTTTGGGATAGACTGGGGAGGGCCTCAAATGGTGGGTTAAGGTGTCTGCCTGCTACCCCACATTCAGTAGGGAGCCAAGCTTGTTGGGTCGGAGAGTAACCAGGAGACCTAGATTCTTCAGCTGCAGCAGTGTCACCTACTAAGCACCAGGTCTGCACCAGGAGCTTGCTCGGCACCCGGGATGGGGTCCTTGCAGGAGACACAGGTGCTGTCCTGGAAGGTTTTCACTGGTGACCTGGGCCAGGAAAGTGGACAGAGGTATGTACAGATCCTTGCAGCACAAACCTTGCAAACTGGAAGCTCAAAAGCCAGAGTTGGTACCATGTGGGTTTTCTTTGACCTGCTCAGTGTTTAAAAATGACAATTTAAATCACATTAGCTGCTAATGTTCATGAATCATATTTCACATAAAATCCACATTTCCAAATTCTGTTTTAAATTCTGGGAGATCTGGCAATTCAGGCCTGAATTCCCACAGGGTGACAATGGGCCAGAGCATAAGAGAGGCTCCCATTCTGCGAACAGTCTTCTCTTTGGGGAAGTCTCAATCCTGCACTTTCCCTGCCTGCTCGGGCCTTTGAACATCTGAGTTTCATCTGCAGTGTTCACACAATACCTATTCACCATCTTGATTGAAGATTTGCCTAGGCATGTGCCTGCAATACCCCCTTTCCCACTAAATGTTAGCCACCTAGCAGACACCAGTACACATTTGTGAATTAGTAGATGAGAAGCTTCCGAAGTGACGCAGGGCCCTAGTTTAAGGGGAGACTGAAAGGTAGTGACTTGACCTTGGTCCGGTGTCAAGATCAAGGAGGGCTACATGGAAGGCCCAGAAAAACATCTGAAGCCTGCTGTTGTGGGCAGAGAGGCCTGGCTGGGGAGAGGGACTGGCTGAGATGGAGAGGGGCATGAGAGATTCAAAGGCCAAAGTTACAAACCATTAACAAGGGGTCTGCTTCCCACATACCTTTCCCTATGTGTGGCTTCCATCTGGTTGTTCCTGAAATATACCTTTTATAATAAAACTGAAATAATTTACCTTATAGCCAGTTGGTCAGAAGCAAAGATAACAACCTAGACTTGGATTGGCACCTGAAGTGGGCGCAGTCTTGTGACGCTGTGCCTGTAACCTGTGCGATCTGGTGCTTTGTCCAGGTAAACAATGTCAGAACTGAGTTGCGTTGTAGGACATTCAGATGGTGTCAGCAAATTGCTGGGTGTGGGGGAAAAAACCCACATATCAGACCTGGTGTCAGAATCATGTGTACAGAAATGCAACTGAATTTTGCATGTTGATCTTGAATCCTGCAACGTTGCTGAACTCATTTGTTAGCTCTAAAAGTGTGTGTGTGAATTCTTTAGTATTTTCTATGTGTATACTATATCATCTGTAATCACAGATAGTTTTACTTCTCCCTTTCCAATTTATAATCTTTTTATTTCTCTTTCTTGCCAAATTGCTCTGGATGGAACTTCTGTTACACAGTGGAATAGGTAAAATGGTGAAAGCAGGCATCCTTGTCTTTTTCCCAATCTTAGGGGGGCAGGATTTCAGTCCTTCACCATTGAATATGACATTAATTGTGGATTTTTCATAAATACCCATTATCAGATTGAGGAAGTTCCTATCTATTATTTATCTTGAAAGGGTGTTGGCTTTTGTCTCATGTTTTTTTCTGCATCAGTTGAGATGATCATGTTTTTTTCCCCGTCATTCAATTGATGTGGTGCGTTACATCAATCGATTTTGCATGTTGAACCACCTTGCATTTGGGAGTAAATCCCATTTGGTCATGGTGTATAGTCCTTTGAATATGCTGCTGGGTTTGATTTGCTAGTATTTCATGGAGGACTTTTGCATCTATGTTTATAAGGGTTATTAATCTGCTGTTTTCTTGTGAGGCCTTTATCTGGTTTTTGCACTGGGGTAATACTGGTTGCATAGAATGAGAATGTGTTCCTTCCTCTTGTGTTTTTTGGAAGAATTTGAGAAGGAATGGTATTAATTCTTCCTTAAATGATTGGTAGAATTAGCCCATGAAGTCATCTGGTCCTGGAATTTTTGTTTGTCGGGAATTTTTTGATTACTGATTCAGTCCTGTTACTTGTTATAGGTGTGTTCAGATTTCCTGTTTCTTCTTGAGTTAGTTTTGGTAGTTTGTGTGTTTCCGGGAATTTGTCTGTTTCATCTAGGTTTCTCATTTGCTGGTGTACAGGTATTCACAGCATTCTCTTACCATCCTTTTCATTTCTGCATAATCAATTGTAATGGCCCTACTTTCATTTCTGATTTTCATAATTTTAAAGTCTTCTCTTTCACTTCTGACTTTAGTAATTTTAAGTTCTCTCTTTTTTTCTTAGGCAGTCTAGTCAAAGGTTTGTCAATTTTTTGATTGTTTCAAAGAACCAACTTACAATTTCATTGATTTTCTCTAGTGTTTTTCTAGCCCCATTTTGTCTCCACTCTAATCTGTATCTCCTTCCTTCTGCTATAGCTTTGGGTTTACTTTGCTTTTCTTTTTCTAGGTCCTTAAGGTGTAAAGTTAGGTTATTGATTTGAGACCTTCTTTCTTTTTAATATAGACATTTACAGCTACAGATTTCCTCTCGGCACTGCTCTTGCTGCAATGTATACATTTTTGTTTTAAATAAATGTTATTACAAGTATGAAAAGTAAGGTTTCAACATTATCCAAAAATTACGTTTCAGTTTAACAAGTACAAAACAAGACTTCCGACAAAAAGTTCACAGTTAGGTATAAAACACTTAAGAATATATTTTGATATTCACAGTGAGCATTTTAAAAAAGTAAGTTTTGCTAATAAGTTTTAGAAGCAAAAATATATTTACAGTCCCAGCTAAAGTAAATCCTAACTGAGGAACAGTCCTTCCTTAGAATGGGTAGTTAGCATTCCCAATAAGATCTGTATGAGAATTCCTTTAAAAATAATGGTAAACTTGGTTCAGTGATGTCAAAATTCAATGCCTTATGGTTTGCCTGACAAATACCATCTATTTCTTGTATCTGCTACCCACAAATAAGGTTCTCAACCATGTACTGCAGCTTTGATTTGTGGCTGAATATGTTTATATATGATCTATGCTGGAGAATGTTCCATGTGCACTTCAGAAAAAGACTTCCTGCTTTGTTGAGTGTAGTGTTCTAAGGAAGTCTGTTAAATCTTGTTTAAAGTGTGTTCAAGTCTTTTATTTCCTTGCTTATCTCCTGTCGATGTGTTCTACCATTATTTAAAGTGGGTTACTGTTATATCCAACTATTATGGTAGAAGAGTCTATTTTGCCTTCAATTTTATCTAATTTTGCTACATACATTTTAGGATTTTGTTGTCAGGTGTGTACATGTTTATGATTACTGTATCTTATTCATGAATTTACATCCTTAAATATGATGTATAACATTATTCTTTGTCTCTTAAATTATTTTTGAGTTTTTTATTATTATTTGTCTGATGTTAGTATAAATGTATTCACTCCGTCTGTCTTTTGGTTACTGTTTGCATGGAATAGTTTTTTCCATTTTTTCACTTTCAACCGATTTGTGTTTTTGGCTGAATTTCTTGTAGAAAGCACATGTGAATTCATCTTTTTAATCCACTCTGACAATCTCTGCCTTTTAACTGGAGACCTGAGTCAATTTACAAACCAAGATGCCTCTTCCTCATAAAAGGGTGAGCAGCTTGCAGGTAGAGGCTGGCCTTCAAGTGTTTGCGTCTCTTCTCCAAACCTGCCTCAAAGCCAGTGCTCTCCACATGGGGCCCTGTGTGTTTGCTGATGGACACTGGCTGCTTCTAGGTGGCTCTGGGCCTGCTGGCAGAGCTGTGCCAGGCTGGGGAAATGGCAGTGGCCGGGGAACTGGGCATTAGGAGAGAGGTAGGCAGGTGCAGCCCAAGTATTTGTTTCCAACATCAAAGCCAGCTTTCTCCTGATGTGACGGGAGAGCTGAGCTGGGTCTACTGAGAATGAGGATGGGTGGAAGGAATTGCAGGACCCTTGAGGGGTGAGGGTCCTCTTTCTGGGCCCATCCTCCATTGCTCAGCCCAACCTGGGCTTGCTCCGGACGACCATGGACCAGCACCAGTGGGTTCCCTGGGACCGTGGCCTGGGTTGGGCAGGTAGAGGGAATTTTGGGTATGACAAACAATAGTCTCTGAAGGTGGACAAGGGGACTCAGGAAGTGCTGGGGTCCGGCCACCACCAATCCCAGTCAAAGGGAACAGCTAGGCCTAGTGGTCTGCACCAGAGACTCCCCAGACTACAGCTGTTTAGTAAATGTCAGTCTGTACTCCAGCCCCTGCCTCTGTCTGGGACTCCCGACTTAGGCAAGCCCCAATTCTCCTGCTTGTGAATAAATGAAAGGATCTGATTTTGAACCCAGGACTCTGGATCAGGGCACATGCACTTAAGCACTAAGTCAAGTGGCCTCCGTAGAGGCAGCTGCTACTTCTCCCCTGGCTCCCTCCTCCCCTCTCTTAACGTCCTGCTCAGGCCTCATCGCTAAGGCCCTTCACCATTTGTCCCCAACCCACTGCTCCAGTATCATCCTCTTTGCTCCCCAGCTCTCACACCTTAGGGGATCCCCCTTCCTCAACCCCACCAAAAGTCCCCACTATTCTCATAATAGTCCATGTCCCAGCTTTTCACACCTGCGGGTACCTCTGCCTGGGATGCCCCTCCCTCACCTCAGCCAAGCAAACTCATATTCACCCCTAGAGGCCCAGCTGGGTGGACACGTCATCTGGGATGCCTGCTCTGACTTCCCAGTGGGAGCAGTGGCCCTTCCCCTGGAGTCTTACGTCACACACACAGGGCCCTCACAAGCCCATCACAAGTTACATCCTGCTTCCCAGGGCCTTAGGAGCAGGGACCACACCTCCTTTGTTTCAAGGTCACCAGACGAGCCAGGGCCTGGCACAGTGAACGGTGGTGAAGGAATGAATCCTCACTTCGGATCTGCCCTGTGGCTTCATTTTGGCCACGAAGCTCATCTGCTTCCCCTTCCTCTTTGATAGCAAAATAGCCTCTGGCTTCTGAGCAGGAGCCCTATGCTGGCTCAGTGCCTGGTATATCATAGCTGCTTCGCGAATGTTCACAGAAGGCAGGAGGGCAAGTGGGCAGAAAGGCTGAGCATATAATGGCAAAAACAAAAAACAAAAAACAAAAACCCTCACTTTTGTCTGGGCCGGGCGGGATAGTAAAGGTATGTGGTCACGCAGGCCTTTCCTCCATGCCTCCCTTCCTCCAGGAATGTTGGCTGACTGCCTCTCTGAGGCTCCACTCCTGAGAAGGGGTCCTCGAGAGGCAGAGGACACCAGCGCAGTGAGAGGTCAGCCAGGGACCCTGCCCTGGAGCACAGGGCTCCTTGCAGGCCAGTGCCCATTGGCCATCGTGTGGTGGAGGGAGCCGAGCACGGGGATACCCACAGATCACTGCCCATCTGCCAGATGGGCACAGTCATCCCCAGCCTACCCAGCTCATCAAGCTGGTATGGTTGATAGCACTTTGGAAATAAAGACTCAGTGAATTCATTATACAAATGAAGAAGGTTGTTATTAGACCCAGGAGCAGGGTCAGAGGGGGAAACAGCAAAGGAGGTGAAGGGCTTAGGGCTCCTGCCTTGAGCCCTTTGAGAAGAGAAGCAGGGAGCAGGCAAGAACAGCACCTGCAGGGAGCAGGGTCCCGGCTCTGCCAAAAACCAGTCACTTCCCTGGGGGACTCAATTTTTTCACCTGTACAAAGGGAAGCCCCATCCCTGCCTGGCTCTCTCCAAGGACCTCAGCGCGGCTTCAGTGAGAGAGCAAGTGTGGAAGAGCTTTGAAGACTGTGAAGTGCAGTGCACACATGCAGGCTGCCTGCAGTTCATGGGCCCAGGCCCAGCTGGGCTCTAGGGATTGGAGACAGCGGTGTTGGCAACAAAGACACTGTTTGAGGCCCAGAGGCTCCCTTGAGCACCCTCAGATCCCTAACAACTGTTCTTTCTCCCTGTTCCCCTCAACTTCCCTGGCATCCTCTGTCCTGGGGTCTGAGAGACTTGACCCTGGGATTGCTGAGGCCTGGGGAGAAGGAGCTCCTGCTCTGGGCTGGTGCCCACTCCCACTCAGAACCTGATGCTGGGGCCACACCACCCACACCCTTGGCAAGGCTCCACTGGTGATCTCGGATCTCCGACGATTAGCAAGTGGGTTTGTTGCGATTCACAAATGCACTCCTCATGGTGAGGATGCACCATGCCTCTCTTCCCCAGTCGGCACCTTGCCAATGAGCTCTTGTGCATGTCAAGACAGCCTGTCTTGCACCAGTCAGCCCCAATCCTGGGCAAGGGAATGACCAGTAGTGAATTTTTCCCTGCAGCAACCCGAGGGGCTGCCAGCCGGGGACAGAGAGCAGCACCCGTCTCCTCCAGCCAGCCCCAGACCAAGGGGCTGCAGCCCAGATTGAGCCTGGCTCTCCATTCTCCCTGTGCTGGGTCCCAGCTCCACGGTGGGCAGAGAAGAGGGCAGCAGGGGAGCCCTGGACAGAGCACTTCAGAGCAGCGCCTTGAAAAGGAAGGAGAGGGCGGCTCCGCAGGACAGCCCCAGGGCCAGGAAGAAGGTCATGAGGGTGCCAGCCACCTCCCTCTCATGTGGCAGCACCTGCCTGGAACACAAAACACACAAGCATGGGGGCTCTTAGAAAATGCCGGTCCCAACCTGAACCCAGCCCCGGTGCCCGGATTTCAGCTTCCTGCTCTACAAGATGAGGCACTGGACAGGGCTCTCTCTCAGGCCCCTGGGGTCCACTGCTATAGGGTCCTAGATTCCACTGCCTGGCCTCTTGACTGGTCCTCCCTGGTACATTTACTTCCCCTAGATTCTCAACTCCATTTGTCCCTAGGTAAACAGCCCGTGAACCCTGCTTTTGATCGAAACTTTAGCTCTCCTTCAACTGAGAATTTGGGGAATATCTGGGCCCTAAGGAATGATAGTCCAACCCACTTATTTCACAGATGGGGACTGAAGCCTGGGAAGGAGGCCCCAGAACCAGTGTCTGGGTTACCTTACGAGGCAGGAACCTGCCCAGTCGAGTCTTCCTGGGGCTGAGCCCACAGGGTGGTGCCAGCGAGCCTGAGACAGCTAGGGCTGGACTGGCTGAGGCAGAATGGCCCGCCCTGCAGCCTGTCCCCCATCGGAGAGCTAGCCCACCCAGGCTATCCTCCCATCCGAGACCTGGGCGCCAGGCACATGGTGAGGGACATCAGGTAGCCATTGGAAACAGCAAACAGCAGCATGAAAGTGATGAAGTAGGCGTCCTGCGGGAAGAGGATGGGCAGCCGGGACCTGTCGGGCACGTGGCACAGCATGAAGAGTGGCACAAAGAGAACACGCAAGCAGACCAGCAGGGGCAGCAGCCGGCTATCCTCATCTGGCTGCGGAAGAAGTTGGGGTGAGGGCAGCCCCTGGGAACAAGGCTCTGCTCTCAGGACCCCCAGATAGACTCATCTATCACCTCTCCTGTCCTACCCTGTATGAGCCAGTAAGCAACTAGGGGCCAGCCTGGGACCAGCTTCTGCCCCTCCTGATTGCTAGCCCTGCTTTCTCCACGGCAGATGGCCTTCGAGGCATCGTTGGTTTTCAAACTCCATTCCTCTGAGCACCCTTGGGAACAGGTTCCATAGACCCCTTTGGGGCAGATGGGGTTGCTGGATGGGATTGGAAGCGGGGATCCAGGCCCCATTCTGGCTTGGATCTGAGCAGCTCCTCGCTGATCTACTTTATTTGTTGTGCCTCTTTGGAAGATTTCACTTAAAGAAGCAGCACTTTGGCTGAAATCAATCCAAACACAAGGAATCTTGTCAGCCTCCCACACAGTGCAGGGACCCCCAAGTAGCTGTCTGAGCCCTGAGGTGCTGGACCCCGGGCTGTATGCTGGGGACACAGCTCAACTGGATACGGCTTCTGCTTTCTCAGAGCTCACAGTCTGAGCCCTGGCCTGCATACCCCCAGGGGCCTTCCATTGCCGGGCCAGCCTGTCTGCCGGGAAGTCACCTTTCTGGGCCCTTTCACACCCTCTGATCCCGAACTGCCTCCTCAAACCATCAGATCACCCCAGCCCAGGTGTGCTCACCCACAGGAAGTAAGAGGTCAGGCTCCGTCCCAGCCAGTCCATGATGTTGAAGAGAAGGAAGCAGCAGATGGGGTTGAAGAACTGACCTGGGAGAGAGAGAGTGCTCATCCTGTCCCTCCTCCCCTCTTCCCGCTCTCCCCTGTCCTCCCCTGCCCTGACCTCTGTGCTGCCCTGCACTCACTCCACTTCCCAGGACTGGCAGAGCTGGTCACCATGGCTGTGATGGCGGGGAAGACAGACAGGGTGACCGTGAAGACCAACACGAGGCACAGCGCCGTCAGCCAGATCTGCAAGCCGGGGGCAGGGGTGTGGGCAGATGGGGCAGTAGGGGCCCAACGCAGCCCCAAGCCTCCTGTTGAACCCCAGCCCAGCTGTGTCTCTGACCCACGATGACCCTTTCACCTTGGGGTGGACAGGTGAGTTCTAAGGTCCCATTCCATTCTAAGAGTCTCTGAGGAGGGCTGGAAAGGGTGGCTCTGTCTTTCCCAGGAATGGTGGCTGGGGCTACATCCAAGCCAAACCTTTTGGAAGACAATGAAAACTGAAGGTTTTCTTGGCTGCTGGGGCTCCTCTGGCTCCTTCTCAGTATCAAGATCCAGAGTCAGGGCCACCTTCTGGGGGCTGTTGGGAATCCCGTTCTTCTCATCTGGGGTGAGAGGGGAGGGCAGGGTCATACCTGTGACCCATGCCTGTGACAGCCGGGCCCAATGCAGGGAGTTCCCAACAGTCAAGAAAACTGCCCTCCTGCAGCCCAGGGTGCAGGCACAGAGGATTAACAGCAGAAATGTGCTTAGCTACTATTCATTAAGCTCATACACGTGCCAGGTAGAGTTAAGCCCCTTAGGTGGATTATCTCACTGCCACTGCTTTACAAGGAAATTGAGGCTCAGAGGGGTTAAATGACTTGCCTAAGGTCACACACTTGGATGTTGTGAAGCCAGGATCCAGAACTTGCATGCCCGGAGCTCTACTGCCTCCCCATTTCATAGAGGAGGGAACTGAGGCCCAAAGGGCAGCAGGATGACTCTAATCCCACTGACTTCCCTTCATGATCTTCTGCCTGTGCTCACACAAGGCTACTAAGGCTGAGGGCTCTAGTTGGGGACAGAGGGGAAATGCTTTCCTGCAGAGGTGGCTCTAGCCTCCTCAGGGCCTCCACCTCCCCAGCAGGGTCCCCACTCACCAGGCTGGAGGAGCTCAGCTTTGGTCTCCAACTCCTGCCCTTGCGCCTGCGATGGTTTCTTGGCCAGGTAGTAGCGGGCAAACTCCTGCAGAAGGAAAGAGTTCACCCTGCCTGGCTTGGCTGAGATATCTGGACCTCTCCCCACCCTGTTGACTTAGAGTCTGGGGTCCCCCAGTGGCTGACTCCTTTGGGAGTCAGGTCCCCTCCGCCTCCCCTGGCCTCTCTTGGGGCCTCAGACTCAAGGTATATCTGAGATGCTCTGAAGAGGGGCCTCGAGCCCAATACCAGGCGCACCAGGTGGGACAGGCTCAGGTAGCACAGGACGGACATGAGGATGCCCACACAGGGCGTGATGAAGTACCCCAGGGCAGAGGTCTGGGCATCCACACCACCTGTGCAGAAACTTCAGCTGCAGAGGGGAAGGCGCTGGGCCCGCGGGCCCCCACAGGGCTAACAACTCTGATCCCACTTCTCATCAGCTTCATCCCCCAGCCTCCTCCCACTTCACACACTGACAAACTCAGGGATCCTGTGCAGGGCCTCAGCCCAGCCCTTCATTTCTCTCCCCTTCCATACCTGTCATGTGTTGAGCACCTGCTATGTGCTTGTTATTACTGCATGCTCCTTACCATATGCAGATGGAGTTCTCAGACTCATTTAGGTGGGGACACTGACACAAGTGAAGTGTTTGTCCAAGGCCCCCAGCTAGGGAATAGTGGGACTGGGATCTGAACCCAACTCTATCTGCACCCCAAACCTGTCCCCCCTTTCCTACCTCAACTTGCTGCCACATATCAGTGGTAGCCATAGGAATCCCGCTCCTGGCCCCAGGTTAACCCAACCCTCACCTAGTCATTCTCTGCAGGACCCAAGAACCCTGCTCCCTACCCCCAAACCCAATCCCCAGTGTTCCATCCAGAACCCAAGGCATCTTGCTCCTGGCATACTCTTTCTGCTCCCCAGAATCCCAGAAGCCACCCCTGCCCTCCAGCCACCCAAATCCACTCACTGGCCATGGACATGAGCATGGCAAGAGCAGCAAAGATCCCAGCCAGTCCTTGGCCACTGAGGAAGAAGGTGCTGTAGGTGGAAGGCATGGTGCCTAGCTGTCCGAAGAGGCTGCCCTGCAGAACTGCACAGAAGGCTGTAGAGGGGCAGGAGTGGGGGCCTCTGCTCAAGCAGGCAGGCCTCAGGGGCTCCCTGGAAGAGGTGTCAGCAGGGTGAACACGGACTCTGGGCTAGGTTATGCAGGCATGAGACTGGGCACTCCGGTGTGACACCCCCCATTCATTCTTCTGAGATGTAGCCGGAGGTCTGCGGGGCTAGGGGCCAGGGTCCTGTGCTCAGGCCACTGAGGGTCTTGGGACAAGTGACTTTTCCTCCCCCTGTGGGCCTAGCTCCTCATCACCCGTATGGGCCGTGCTGCTCTCTCCCCTTCCTGGGTACATTGGGCTGTTTCAGTTACAAAGAAGAGGCTGGGCTGACTCCACCAGGGAGTCGCTGCGAGGGGAGGTGAGTGGGGGCAGCGGTGGTGCTCACAGTTGATGAACCAGACAGAGGCCATGGTGATGGAGAAGAAAGGCCCAGGGCTCATGTCCACCTTGACCAATGCTGCTGTCAGGGCAAACAGCAGCAGGATGACCAGCAGGCTGCCCAGAATCCGCACCGTGTCAGGGACACTGTTTGTAAGGGGGCAGAATGGGGATTGGCTGGGCCCAGGCCAGGCGGGCAAGGTAGGCAAGAGGTTCAGCCTGGGCCTGGACAGAGGGCCCCGGGGGAGATGCAGGGGCCGTGGAGGAAGGACAGGAGGTCTCCCCTGGGCCTCGGTGGAGCTGCCTCAGCAGGGCGGGACCTCTCACCACTGATACAGGAAGGAGTTGAGGAGAGTGAAGAGCAGCAGGGGCAGCTGGGACAGCAGCGTCACCCAGTTGTTGAAGTTGAAGGTATCCGCAGGGCCCGTGTGGTTGGTGCACAGGGTCGTGGCAGTGCTGTTGGCCCCCACCAGCCGCCCCTGGAAGTACTGCCAGATGCCGAGGGAGGGGGTACAGGGTCACCCTCCAACCTCCCCTCAGGAGCACCCAGCCTTCTCCTCTGCCTCCCCCGATGCTCGGGGTTGCTTGGTTAGTGGTTAATGTCTTAGGGAGTCTCCATCCTCATACTGTCCCCAGCACTTGGCATGCACTGGGAGCTCGGTGAATGTGCACTGAATGCAGGGCTGAAGTCTGGGACAGAGCCAGGCCTGAGGAATCCCCAGCCTGGGCCTTGCTCCGTGGTTGGATCCCTGCTCCTCTCAGCACCCTGGTTCCGGCGCCAGCCCTACAGCAGCTTCTAGGTTCCCAACCATATACTGAGCACCTGCTGTGAGCCAGGCTCTGGTCCAGGTGCTGACCAACTGCATTCCCTTTGAAACACACACCCTGTCATGCCTCTGCTTGGCCTCCCCTTCTCCCTGCCCACGTTTTCCACACACTCACCAGGCTGGAGGAGCTCAGCTTTGGTCTCCAACTCCTGCCCTTGCGCCTGCGATGGTTTCTTGGCCAGGTAGTAGCGGGCAAACTCCTGCAGAAGGAAAGAGTTCACCCTGCCTGGCTTGGCTGAGATATCTGGACCTCTCCCCACCCTGTTGACTTAGAGTCTGGGGTCCCCCAGTGGCTGACTCCTTTGGGAGTCAGGTCCCCTCCACCTCCCCTGGCCTCTCTTGGGGCCTCAGACTCAAGGTATATCTGAGATGCTCTGAAGAGGGGCCTCGAGCCCAATACCAGGCGCACCAGGTGGGACAGGCTCAGGTAGCACAGGACGGACATGAGGATGCCCACACAGGGCGTGATGAAGTACCCCAGGGCAGAGGTCTGGGCATCCACACCACCTGTGCAGAAACTTCAGCTGCAGAGGGGAAGGCGCTGGGCCCGCGGGCCCCCACAGGGCTAACAACTCTGATCCCACTTCTCATCAGCTTCATCCCCCAGCCTCCTCCCGCTTCACACACTGACAAACTCAGGGATCCTGTGCAGGGCCCCAGCCCAGCCCTTCATTTCTCTCCCCTTCCATACCTGTCATGTGTTGAGCACCTACTATGTGCTTGTTATTACTGCATGCTCCTTACCATATGCAGATGGAGTTCTCAGACTCATTTAGGTGGGGACACTGACACAAGTGAAGTGCTTGTCCAAGGCCCCCAGCTAGGGAATAGTGGGACTGGGATCTGAACCCAACTCTATCTGCACCCCAAACCTGTCCCCCCTTTCCTACCTCAACTTGCTGCCACATATCAGTGGTAGCCATAGGAATCCTGCTCCTGGCCCCAGGTTAACCCAACCCTCACCTAGTCATTCTCTGCAGGACCCAAGAACCCTGCTCCCTACCCCCAAACCCAATCCCCAGTGTTCCATCCAGAACCCAAGGCATCTTGCTCCTGGCATACTCTTTCTGCTCCCCAGAATCCCAGAAGCCACCCCTGCCCTCCAGCCACCCAAATCCACTCACTGGCCATGGACATGAGCATGGCAAGAGCAGCAAAGATCCCAGCCAGTCCTTGGCCACTGAGGAAGAAGGTGCTGTAGGTGGAAGGCATGGTGCCTAGCTGTCCGAAGAGGCTGCCCTGCAGAACTGCACAGAAGGCTGTAGAGGGGCAGGAGTGGGGGCCTCTGCTCAAGCAGGCAGGCCTCAGGGGCTCCCTGGAAGAGGTGTCAGCAGGGTGAACACGGACTCTGGGCTAGGTTATGCAGGCATGAGACTGGGCACTCCGGTGTGACACCCCCCATTCATTCTTCTGAGATGTAGCCGGAGGTCTGCGGGGCTAGGGGCCAGGGTCCTGTGCTCAGGCCACTGAGGGTCTTGGGACAAGTGACTTTTCCTCCCCCTGTGGGCCTAGCTCCTCATCACCCGTATGGGCCGTGCTGCTCTCTCCCCTTCCTGGGTACATTGGGCTGTTTCAGTTACAAAGAAGAGGCTGGGCTGACTCCACCAGGGAGTCGCTGCGAGGGGAGGTGAGTGGGGGCAGCGGTGGTGCTCACAGTTGATGAACCAGACAGAGGCCATGGTGATGGAGAAGAAAGGCCCAGGGCTCATGTCCACCTTGACCAATGCTGCTGTCAGGGCAAACAGCAGCAGGATGACCAGCAGGCTGCCCAGAATCCGCACCGTGTCAGGGACACTGTTTGTAAGGGGGCAGAATGGGGATTGGCTGGGCCCAGGCCAGGCGGGCAAGGTAGGCAAGAGGTTCAGCCTGGGCCTGGACAGAGGGCCCCGGGGGAGATGCAGGGG